TATTTCTTATATAACCCTTTTTATTTAAAAAAAAAAAAATATGTATGTCACATATTATTACTATATATATAATATCATGAACTTACATATAAAATACTAATAAAATTTTAAAAATATATGAATATAAAAGCTTTACATTTTACATCTTATTTCCATTTTATATAGCACATATAAATTTATTATTTAAAAATATATAAACTCCACTTGTATTTTCCGAATTTATTTAAATATTAGCAATAATTTTGTAATTGTATATAAAATAAAAAAAATTAATGATATTTTATACATTTATTATAACAAAAAATAGTACTATAATTTTTTGAGACAAAATGAAAATAATATATATATATATATATATGTATATTTGAATGAGGTAGTATGACATGAGTATAATTTAAGAAATGCAATATTTACTACACATGTTCTATAAGCAATAGAGCAACTTCAACGTGATAATTAAATTGGAAATTCTCGAAAGTTATTACAACAAACTCCTAAATATAGAAAAATCAAATCAATAATCATGCATGTTCAATATATATATATATATATATATAATTAAGAAATAAAATGACTAATTATCTCATTCCAATTTAATAAATAAATATAAAATTAATTTTAAAAGAAATTTCATCGAATGATGAGATTCCATTTGCCCTAAATTGAGTCGGATCGATATCAAATTTTTTGTTGAAACGTGACTTGAATTTAGCGATCTATCTGATCCGAAACTAAAATGAAAAAACTGTTTCAATTGGTAGAGTTCTTTTTGGGCTTATATTAATTAATAACAAATGGATTTAGGGTTTAGGGTGTTTTGGGTATTATAATTGCTAGCCGTATGATATACTCAGTATAATAAAATCTCTCCGGTTCCTACCCGTAGATGTAGGTTGACACACTGTAAAACCTCCGTATTTTTTATTTACCTTCTTTTTCATTTTCTTGTAACACTTTTGTTACTGTATTATCCTATTTATAATAAAATAAAATTTTATTTTTAAAAATATTGAATGTTATCAAATATAATAATTTGTACAAAAATAAATAAATAAATAAAAATTGTTGTATGTATGTATGTTTAAGAAAGGGGCCATGTGGAATGGTGTTTACATCTCAATGAGACGAGAGTATCGGGTGAGAGTGAGAACCCGTGACATGTTTCCTTACCACCCTTCTTCTGGGCCCCCACAATCCTTTATCCACACATGACAGTTATAACTGTAATGCTATTTTCATATTGCTCCGTGGGTAGACTATTTTTTTTAGTGACAGTAACGGACTTTTATATCATTAGTGAAAATTTTTTGTTGTTTTAGTCTTTCGGCACCGGAGACATTCGCGTGGCTCACCGGAAGTCACATATCCCGCAAGGTCAACGACACCTGGCGGATACGTGGATTTTACTTTTTTAATTGTTTTAATTTTTTTTAATTGGACCAAATAAAAAAATTAAAAAAAATTAAATTTTAAAAAATAAAAAATAAAATAAAATCCTCGTGTCCGCGGACACGTGGCCTCCGACGAGCCACCCAGGCGTCTCCAACACCAGAGAACTAAAACATCGAAAATTTTTCACTTATAAGACTAGTTTGCGACATGCTCCACTTACGAGACTAAAATGATAAAGGGTCCATTTACGGGACTAAAAAAAAGTGAGCCTGTCGCAAACTAGTCACATAAGTGAAAAATTTTCGCTGTTTTAGTCCTCCAGCGCCGAAGATGCCGGCTTGCCGGAGGTGACGTGTCCGCCAGGTCAGCGAGACCACTGACCTGGCGGACACGTGTATTTTTTTTTAATTTTTTTTAATTTTTTTTAAAACTTATTTTTAATTTATTTTAAATTTTATTTTTTTATCTAGTACAATTAAAAAAATTAAAAAAAATGAAAAAAAGAATAAATCCACGTATCCGCCAGGTGTCGCTGACCTGGCGGGACACCCGGCGGACACGTCACCTCCGGCGAGCCACGCGGATGTCTCCGGCGCCGGAGGACTAAAACAACGAAAATTTTTCACTTATGGGACTAGTTTGCGACAGGCTCCACTTACAGGACTAAAATGATAAAGGGGTCCAATTACGGGACTAAAAAACAGTTTACCAAAAAAAAAAAAAAAAGTTTACCCTTACTCTATTAGTCATAGTACAAAGTTTTAGATAATGTGTAACTAGTAAGTAATTAAAAAAAATATTAGTTAAAAATAATTATGATTTAATAAAAGTAATTATAGATTAAGATTAATATGACTAAATAGTTTAATTAAACTAAAAATATATATAAATTTTAAAATATAATTAAAGTATATAGTTGTATTTATATAAAAAAAAAAGACAAATTGTGAGACAGATAAAAATAAAATTATGGGACAAATTAAGTGGAACGGAGTAAGTAATATTATCATTAGAGTTTGAAGGTTTTTTCTTTTTTTTTTTAAGTTTGAATTTAGATTAAATTTTCTTTTGTTATTAAATAAATATACTAAATGTTGTGTTTGTTTTGTAAAATAATTTTTAAGAAAAATATATATTTTTTTATGTCAAATGTAAATAATTGTGTATATCTTAAAAAGTAATGAATATATTTAATTTATTAATATTTTTTGGTAAAAAATATGTGGAAGAAAAGAACAGAAAAAGCGTACTACTTTTGTTATGTATCAACGTAATCATTTATCTACCTTTCTTTGTTACATGTACTGAAAATATTTTTTGATATAAAATAAAATATTTATTAAATATAATAATTTTATACAAATAAGGATAAATAAATAAATAATGCAGAAATATAGCTGAAAACACAAATTAAGAGTTTTATGAATTTTTTTTCTCAAATTTATATTATTTAATCTGCAATAGTTTTAAATATTATATTTAAAATTAATTTTCTATTTTAAATATAATATCAAATATTATTTCACAAAACAATTATAAAATTTAAAATTAATTTTCATATAATTTTCAAATTGTTTATTATGCAATATTGCATTTTTCATAGTGAAATTATGCACAATTTTTAATAATTAATTAAGTAGTCGACATTATTATTATTATTTCAAATTCGAATTTTTTATTTAGGGTTAGCTGTTAGCTGATTCAATTATCTGGTTTAACTAGCTGATTCAATTAGCGGTTTGTATTAAAAGTGTTTGGTAAAACAATTGTTTGACATTAGCCGTTTATACATAAAATGACTATCAAGTACATTGATATGTTATTTTTTAAAATATTTAATTTTGTTCATTTTGGTTTGAAATTTATAAGAATTGTTGTTATTAATTATTGAAAATTATAAAAATATTATAAAATATTTATTTTTATTTTTATTATTTAGATCCAAGAAATTTTTTTTACTAAAAAATAATAATTTTTTATTAAAATTATGTAACATATAAAATAATAAATCTTTCGTATCTATATTTTTATTATGTTAATTATTATTTTAATATATATAAATAAATTAATAACCTTTGTTTTTTCTATTTTATTTAGTTTTAAATTATATATTTTACAAATAAAATAATTTATATATAGTAATAATAATTATTATTATTTTAAATTTACAATAAAAATAAATATATAATTTAATAAATTAAATATATTATAAATAATTAATAAATACTGCTATAAAAATATATTTATATGTAAAAAATAAATAATTAAGTTTCAAGGGTAAATAAAAAATAATCAAAATTAAAATGAAAAAGCTCTTTCAAAAAGCTGGGTAGACGAGCTTTTCAGAAATTAGCTTTTTGGGTCCAAAAAGCTATTTCAAAAAATTAATTTACCATCAAACAGCTAAAACCTTTTCAACCCTAAAAGCTCTTCAAAACGCTGTTTCCAAACACCCCTTATTATTATTATTATTATTATTATTATTATTATATTGTAATTTGAATTTATAAATATAATAAAAGCGCTGGATTTGATGAGAGGAGCACTACAGGCCCATTACTTAAAAAGGGATATAGCTCCTAAAATTCTTTATATATAGCATTAGGTTTTTTAGTTTTTATAAAAGAAACTACAATAAAAATTAATATTTTAATGAAATAAATAAATTTCATAATGAATTTTTATTTTTTTTTATATAAATTAATTATTTAAGTAGGAGTATTTTTTTTAAATAATTTTATTCATAAATTTACTAATATATATGTTCAATTGTGTTTTGTTTTTATTGTTCAAATAAAAAATATAAAATCAAGTATCTACAAAATAAATAAATATAGTACATCCAATATCACTTAAAAATATTATTAATATATAAACATAAATATAAATTAATACACATCAATTAATCTAAACTAAATATATGGAAAATTTTATTTTATTAAATATGTAAATATTATAAAAATATTTTAATTACTTGTAATCCTCCGTCTTTAACGTTACAGATGACCCTTCTCTTTTTTTGTCCATTTATAAAAATTTACTCATTTCTATATCTTTAATAAATTTATCTATCTTAAAAATATTTATATCTACTTAAAAATATTACTCATTCAGTTCCAAAATTATAATTTTAATTGGGTTGGACACTACGTTTAAGAATATTGATATTATATTGGTAATTGGTAAAAAATATACTTAAAAGATTTTTTTTGTCCTTGTGAGTGTATTAGTTGTGAGTGTATTAGTGTAAAAAGTAGTGACAATTGTGTAATAAAAATGAAAAAATAAGAGTAATTTTATGGTGATATGATTATTTATGGAAATAAGACTATTATTTTATGACAAGACAAAAATAGTAAACAAGACTATGATATTGGGATTGAGGGAGTATATAAAAACTATTTATGTGTTGTAAGGAGAGATAAAGAAAGATAATGTAACAAAAATAGTGACATTTGTTATAAATAAATCATAAATGTTAATGAAATATTTAGTAAAATTATTACTTTATAATTGCGCATCGTAAAATAATAATGTGGTATGGACAAAATATAATATATTTCATATAAAAAATAGTAATATTTTATTGCTAATGAAATTATCTAATAAAATAACATCAACAATAACAACGCAAAGCAAAGCCCGAACAAAGGTAAAAGTATATAAATAATTCCCCCATAAGAACGAACAACACATTTCCGAGTTCTTTGCTACACCAAGTCAATTTTGCTTCCGTTTCTTCTCAAAGTAAAGATGGTTTCTCTGAAAGTTCAGCACCGCCCACACAAGGTGGCGCAGCCCAATCTCCGGCCACAGCGCTGACGGCGAGTACAGCAGGCAGTTCGTGGTCTGCCACAGCAAGAAGTTGCTCAGCCTCGTCTCCCCGGAAGTCCTGATCATAATATCCGGATCCGGAGCCACTCCCATCGACATATGTTTCTCCACGTCCGCTAGCTTGATAATCTCCTCATCTTCATCTTCGTCTTCAACTTCATCTTGTCCGTTGCATTCGCCATTTTCTTCCCCCTCGACGACAATGTCCCCGTCTTCATCTTCTCCTCCGATCACTCCGGCCAATCCCAACTTCTCGTCGCAAGAAACTTGAGCAGCATTCGTGATCTCATCCGTCGAAGTATAGGCGACGCAGATGAGAAGAATGCTGTTGCTGTTGTTCGACGTCGCCTTCATGGCGCGCTCGGCGGCTGCGCGGACGGGATCGTTCAAGAGCTTCAAGTTCCCGATGAAATAGACGCGCACGCCGTACTCGTTCACGAGGCTTTCTTCCTTGATCAGCCCCTCGATCTTCTCGAGCATAAGATCCATCACCGACTGCACTTCCTCCGGCCGCCTCCTGAAATTGTCGATGCTGAATGCGTATATCGTCACGTACTTCACCCCGAGCTCGTAGCAATACTTCATTATCGACATTAGAGCTAGAAATCCAGCTCGGTGACCCATCCCGTCGCCAAGATTGTGCTTCTTCGCATACCTCCGATTCCCATCCAAAATGAAGGCTAGATGCCTCGGAACCGGGCCAATGGACAACACCCGAAACAGCCATTTTCGCATATAGGAAACTGAATTCCCCAAAAATTTAACACCAAGATTATCCTTCTTTCTGTCCATTAACAGATAAGTAGCCAATACCCGCGCCTGCCCTGCGCCGTATTCGACAGAATGTATTCATGTAGCAGAATTATTCAAGTAAAATGATACAGAGTGATTCATGGCTAGTCACAATGTAGAGATAAAAATGTATCAAGTGATTGATTGTTGTTGTTCATAATGCAGATGAATTTGTTTTTGTTCGAATTTATTGATTTTTAAGCATGATGTGGTCTAAAATGCATCGACAATTCAAATCATAGCAACATTTTATTGTCACTCAAATCAACAAACGAAACCTAAGTGGATCAAACTCAGCCCTAATTGCACATAAACTACGAATCATTTAGGGGCAAATTTTGAAACAAGAGATTTCTCGGAAGCAGTTCTGATGAAATTGAGGATTCAAATTTCATTTTGACGATCAAACTTCTTCATATCGCACAAATCACTGTCAAATTGCATCCCCCTAATTTATTCCATTGAATTTTCAAAAGATCACAAAACCGCCATTCCCCGATCAATGCTACCTACCTACGTTACGTACCTTTGCTGCTGAGTATTCCGAGGAATCAAAAACAGAAGAACAACAAACCTGCAACCAAAACCAAAAAGAACATTGAATGAAATGAAATGTTTCAGTGAGCAAAAATGAACTGTGTGCCGTAACATCAAAACGATATTATATCATTGAAGCAAGAACTATGCAAGGCAAAAGAACACCCCCACCCCACGCTCACGCTCACGCTCTTGGGATGGCCAATTGAGAACCAGAAGGAAAGCAATGGCGGAAACGGTGGAACTCACGGCAGAAATGGAGAGCGGCGCTATGGGGAACTGGAAATTCACAGTTTCTGTGCTGTGTTGTTTTGTGTGGGTCCTTCAATTTCCGCTTTGTGTATATATATATACGATTTTTCGGCAAACTTTTGAAGTAGGTGGACCAATAAATCAAAGATTTTATTATTATTATTTTATATTTGTGGAATGATGTGAATTAATTGTTTTATTTAATGTAATTAGGTGGTTTTATATGTATGGTAAAATTTATCATCAGATTCAAGAATGTGACCACATCCTATTTGATACAAAGGAGTATTTTATGTAAATCTTATTGATTGATTGTGACGTTAATGGAAAATTATTATTGGAAAATATAATCCAATGAGATATGGACAGTTTAATTGAGGAAATAAAAATTAATAAAAGGAGGTACTTACGGCTAATCATCAGTTAACCCTGTCTATAATATAGATACATTTGGCCATTCGATATTTTGCTAATTGAGTCAATAATTTGACCCAATTAACACATATTAATAAAAATAAAAATAAATATTTTATGGCATATGTTAATAGAATACTTTCTTTGTTTTAAACAATAGACACATTAGGTTCCATTTAATTTGTTCTAATTTTTTATTTTTGTTTGTTCTACATAATTTTATTTTTTTATATAAATATAATTATATATTTAATTATATTTTAAAATTCATAATTTATAATTTTTTATTTTAATTAAACTATTTAGTCATCTTAATCTTAATTTATAATTATTTTTATTAAATTATAATTATTCTTATTAATACACTTATTATTTACTTATTAATTACATATTACCTAAAAGTTCTTAGCTATATGAGACAATTTAGTTGGGAAGAAGGGTAGTGTTATATTGATAGTGAGTGTAAAAATATTTTTAAAAGATCAAAATACTCATACATATAATTATTACAAAAATTGATGATAATTTTTTTTTAAAAAATGAAGATTAAATTAACAAAAATAAAATAGAGCTATAGAGCTATTATTTTGAAACAGACAAAAATAATAAAATAGACAAAACAGTATAATTTTAGGAATGAGAAAAAGAGTCTAATGGTGAAGCCATTAATCTATTCTTCTATAAAAAATTAAAATTATTTTTGTATTATTATATGATTGAAATGAATATTTTGAATGGATAAATAAAAATTATTAAAAAATATTTTAAATTATGACTGAGAGACTATTAACTAGTCTAATACAAACACTAGTGCAACTTTCAATCCGAAGCTTCGTGCGTAAATAAATACAGATGAACAATGGAGACAACGATAAGCTATGTACAAACATCGAAATAAAAATAAGAACAAAGATGATTCCCGAATGTGCAATGCCATGGAAGAAAGCTTGTAAGTATATATATATATAGAAAGGCAGTTCTACCCGAGATTTCGTCGTCGTCGTCGTCATCGTCGTAGTCTATTCCAAAGCTGCAATGGCTTCCAAGGCGATCACAACCTCTTTCATGGAGGGCCTCTTATTGTGCTCTCTCTCCAAGCATCGGAACGTCAGGCGAGCGAGCTGCTGCAGCGCCACCACCGAGCACTGCTCTTGCAGCCGCGCGTCGACAATCGCTTTCACCTTCTTCTTGCACGAGAGCTTCGGTTTCATCCAATCCACCAAGTGATGCCGTCCGGCGGGGCGACGAGTGTCCACCGCTCGAAGCCCCGTCATCATCTCCAGCACCACCACGCCGAACCCGTACACGTCGCTCTTTACGTATAAATGCCCTTTTGTTACAAACAATACAGATCAAATAATTGAGTTCGAAACAATGGAGATATGCATATAGATGGCAGCGTTACAACACACAATGTCTTAACAAACAATACACAATATTAATATACTCTCTCTGTTCCATAACAAGATATTCATTTACTATATTTGCATCATTGCATTGTACTCAACATTAAAAATAATCTTATATTTGTATAATTTTTTTTGACAAATGACATTATATTAGTATTATAAGACACTAATAAAATTCATTTTCTCTTGATTTATTATACGTTTTGATATTATAATTAATATTCAATATATATACACTAAAAGTAAATAGATACTTAATTACGGGACGGAATGAGTAATATAAATACAGCTCATGAACTAACAACGCATAATATAGTTTCACATAACACATACAACTGATTAGGCACATAATATACTTTTATCAATACATATTGTGTATAATAAAGACATATGTTGTTTCGCTATTTTACGTGTGCTAATTTGAGAGAGAGATCTCACCCGTTGCGACGTATTCAGGCGCCGCGTAGCCGACTGTCCCCATAACTCGCGTCGTCACATGAGAATCCCCGCCAGATGGCCCGAGTTTGGCCAATCCGAAATCGGAGATCTTGGCGTTGTACCCCTAAAATCCAAAGAGGAATAACAATCACAAAAGTTGTCATTTCATTTCCTTACGAACAAACTAAAGAGATCTTACGCCGTCGAGGAGAATATTTGATGCTTTGAAGTCTCGGTAGATAACATGCTTGTCCGCGGCGTGCAAGAACGCGAGGCCCCGAGCTGCTCCGAGCGCTACTTTGAGGCGTACGTCCCATGAAAGTGGTTCGATGGCTGCACCTCCTGCACATCCAAGAAAACCAATTACATATAACCTCGACTACGCGATCATTTGACCATATAGTATGGTATCGATCTGCTTTTCGCCAAGAAATAGCTTCTCACTTCCAAAAAGATGGTTTTCGAGGCTCCCCTTCGACATAAACTCGTAAACGAGCAGAAGCTCTCTGTCTTCCCAACAGTATCCCAAAAGCCTCACTAAGTTCGGGTGCGAAAGTTGCCCCAAGAAGATCACCTCCGACTGCATTCAGCAACTTATCGATGTAGTAAAATTCGATTCTATAGGATAACAAGCTTCGATTATCCAATATTTTACGCAATCGACAACTAATTAACAATTCAACAAGTTGAAGCTAAGCAATGGCATCCATGGTAGGTATATCATACCTGCCATTCCTCGAAACCTTGTGTGCTCTCGGGGTTCAACTTCTTAACGGCGACCAACATTCCGGTGCCCTGTCTAGATGGCGCGAGGGTCTTCGAATCAACCCATCCTCGGTACACTGCCCCGAAACCTCCGATTCCGAGCATCATGTCTGGCTTGAAGTTACGTGTGGCACTCCTCAATTCCGAGAATGTGTACATCTTCAAATTGGACAGCGGCATTATTCGCCCTGGATCGCCGTCGCGGGAAGCAGCCGGAAACTGGCCGAGGCCACGGCTGCTGTTTGTGGTTGTGAAAAGGCTTCCGGCATTGTTGAAACTAGACGACGTACCTAAGTTATGTAGAACACAGAAAATGCAGGATTAACTAAACACAATCATTTTCAAATTCAATCGATTCTCTGAGGAAAGCAATCCAGAATTGAAACTCAAACAATACCGAATGAATATTCATCTTCATCTTCAACAAGGTAATTTAATGATTTGTCCAACAATTGAGGTTCGCGAATTAAAGGTAACTGCTCCATCCTCATGAAGTTCGCGAATCAAAACGGAAATAGATTATACCTGAAGTCGGAGGTCTGGTAGAGTTAATCCGACCATTGGAGCCATTAGCAGGACGACATCCGAAGCAATTCCCCATAAGATATCAAAGCTCGTCAAGAGATCTTCTCTGCACTGTATATATGCGAAAATTACAGAGAGTGGAGGAGAGGAAAGGATGACGATGAGGAAGACGACGATTATGATGCGAAAAGTCGTTCACGGAGGAGTTTGGGAATGAATGCGTCTGCGACTGGAGACGAGATTCATGGAAATGTCTCGGCGGTTTCGATGCCTCAGCAATTCTACGCGCCATTGACATTTTAGGTGCTTCATTCACTTCATTGAAGGTTGGGAATGGACGGACCCACCCTCCCCACCATCGCCATCACCACTACCATCGCCATCACCATCACCATCGTAGTACTTCTTCCTTGTACCGCAAGGTTGAATAATTTTCCTGCTTATTTTACTAATGATTTCACATTCAACTATACTTCAATCTTCAGAGTATCCATCCTTTCACCCCTATACATTCGTCAAACCTGCACTTTCTTGTTCGCTAAGCTGGTTTTGATGAAGAAGAAGAAAAAGAGTAAGGAGGAAGAAATTGAATTTGAAGATGGAGAATTTTTTTTTTTTATGTTTGTTTTTGTTTTATGTCTTCTCTTTTTTCGATTTTAAATTTTAATAAATATTAATGTAACTAATCACTTTTGATCGACTTTAATTTATTAAAATTATTAACGTAGACTATATTCAATGTAACGCTTTTATCAAATCAAAATAGAACACAATACGACCAATAACATCAGCACAAAGTCAATGCTAACACAGGCACAAAGTCAATACTAAAAATTAAAAATACTTCCTCCTCCATGTGTCCACATTTTCATTTTATGTACTCGTATCTTATGAAAATTGATCATGCACCTTAATTTTATTTAAAATTTTTTAATTAATAATTTTATATAAATATGAGATTATTTTAATTTCAAATTATTTATATTATAAAATAATTATATTTACTGATACATCTCAATTATTTAATTATAATTATAATAAATTTCACGTGTTTTACCATAATACTCTAGATAAGACAGAAGGAGTAAAATAAAAGACCATCTACTTCAAGAACTTTATCTGAGTCAACTATCTTTTTATTTTTATTATTTTTTAATAAAATATATTTTATTTTTTTTGTGTCGAATACATATTATAATTATACGGATGAATGAAGTATTTAATTTTACTAAATTGGGATAGATCAGCCACGACCCGCTATATAGACTCGGGCTCAACACAGTTCACTAACGGTGTGTTTGTTTGAAGGATTTTGGAGGATTTTCACTATTCATCCAATTTTTTTCCCCCAAAAATATCAAATCAAACACCTATTTTTCATTTTTTATATTATACTAAAAATCAATTTTACATTCAAAACATCACATCAAACCCTATTTATATCACATCATACAACTATTCAAATTCAAAATTTTTACTTTTCAAATTCCAATCCAAAATCCAAACCCCCAAACAAACACACCCAAATTTTTACAACTTCTTTTCTACCTCGTTCTTCTTCCTCATTCTTCTTCATTCATTTTTTTTAATTTTAAATCTACTAAACAGAACATAAATCAGAAATCTAAAATTTCTATTTGAAATCAAAATTTAAAATAAATTTAAAAAAAAAAAAAAAAGAAAGAACTTACTGCAACAAAAAAATTAAAAAGAAAAAATAAAGAAAAACAAAAAATGGAAAAAAAAAAGATAAAAAAAATTGAAGGAAAAAAAAAAAAAAAAAAAACTGATATTCAACCCTTTCTTTGTGTCTCTTCTTTCATTTCTCTTCTTTATTCTCTTTTTTTTCTTAATGAAGAAAAAAAAAATGGGGAAAAAAGAAAAAAAAAAGAAAAAAAAAAAAGAAACAGCTAGAACTGTTATGACCTGAAAAAAAATTAGAGAAGAAAAAAAAATTGAGGAAAAAGATGTGTGAAAGAAAAATTTGGAAAAGAAAGAAGGAAGAAAAAAAATTATGAAGAAGAGAAAAAAAAAGAACAGAAGAGAGAGAAACCATATGGACATAACAGTCTAATAAAGCTAAAATTTAACGTCGACGACATTGTGATTTAAAAGAAAAGCAAGCGTGCACATTTTATAAACCACAAATAAATTTTTTAAAATTTTAAAACTACAAAAAATTTTCAGCACTGAGGAATTTTTTTTGCTATTTTGAAAAAAAAAAACAAAAAACAAACAAAACAATCAAACACATCATCAATTCAAACAAATTATTTTTGTAAACCCATGCTCTTAAGAGTATTCTGTTACAATATTCCACTAGATTTGCTCTAACCAAGCCAAATGGAATGACAAGTTGTCGCATGGCCGGCCAAAGTGCAACTATTCATAATCTTAGACCAAGTAAAAACAAAACTGTGTTCTTTGATACGGTTAAGATCCCAATTGGAATCGAACAAAATAACATTGAAAAAATGACATACAATATATGATATTGGTTTAAATATCCCATATGTTAAAAATCAATCATAGGACAAATTATATAAACCAATATCATATACTATTCATTCATTTTCTGAGTCATTAACTTATAATTCATATGAGATCTATATTAGATATGCCATCGACACAGTAACTATTAATTCAACACACAATTACAGAAACCTAAGTTCTTGATCAGACCACAATCAGCGCCTCCATAGAAACTACAATGTTTAACATCTAAAACCTTGATACTGATCCAAACAAAAATATCCCATCATAACCATACATGTCTGCAAATTAAAATCTGGATTTTGGAACAAAGACGTATGAATACAATAATAAATGCAACCACCACAAGAATCATACCACATCTTTCCAAATCCAATTTAAATAGAAACATATATAATTTAAGAAGTGTTATTCCTTTCATATGCAAGCATGGCATTAAAATATAGAACAGAGAATAAAATCATATTGCATTGCTCCACTAGTAGGAAACTTCCCCAAAACCAGATTTATGCAAATAAATTAAGAAAAGAATAATGGAAAGATATTACTGCACTAGCTAAGGAGTGGATTATCATTGAACAAGTGCATCTTAAAACAGTACATAACCAAGTATAAACCCATCTATTTTAATTTTTTTTTCTTTTTTTTTTTTAAAGAAAAGCAAGAAACCCACCAGAGTGTAGTAGCATCTACCTTGTTGTAGTGGGGGTGGGGTGGGGTTTACTTGTTTGTACAATAAACGAAGAACTAAAACACAGCCTTACTTTTCACCAATTTTTTACTCGTCATCATCTTCATCATCCTGCATGTATATCCAAAATGAAATTACTCATCAAAACAGCAGAAAAAAAATACTCATTAAAAGAAGTGTGTGATCTGTACCTCTGCACTGCCTTCCTCATCGTCCTCTTCATCATCGTTGACTTCAGATCTAGATTTGTCGGACTCTTCCTCGTCCCCAGGTCCGTCGGCCTGCAATTCAATTAGTATAATCTTTTTCAAAGTTGAAAATCGGTTTGCATGATTGATTGTATTGAAGATCTGAGTGAGATATTACTAATTTCTTGTTGTACGCCTGGAGGTTTTTTTCATACTCTGATTTTCTCTTATCGGCTTTAGCTATGTAAGGAGCTTTTTCCTGAAACAAAATTTTAGGAAACTCAATAATTAAGAACAATCCGTAAGCTCTGACAATTTACTTCGCCGTCGGTGAAACGATGCTTACTTCATCTGACATGGATTTCCATTTTTCGCCTCCTGCTTTACCGACCTATAATAATTTTTCAAAGACAAAATTCTAAACTCAGAAAATAAACTGCAAGATCTTCACAAATGATGAATATAAAGAAGAAATCACTCACGGCGGCAACGGATTTGTTGTTAGGGTGTTTCTCTTTGTACGTCTTCCTGAACTCCTCCCTTCGTTAAATAAACGACATATTCAACACTTCGCGTACCGAAACCAGACGAAATTTCCACGAAATAACATATAAACAAAAAAGGTAAAACATACATGAAAACGAAGAAAGCACTAGCAGGCCTCTTAGGCTTGTTTGGATCCTTCACTGGCTTCCCCTTCTTCGCCGGCTTTTTTCCGGCTGCAGCCGCTCCTTTCTTAACAGAAAGTCTACAAAGTCCACCATGGACGAAAAATCAACACAAAAACAAAAAATACCAAAAACTATAAATCAGATCTTAACCAAAAATTGAGTCAAAACTCACTTCGCATCGGATTTTTTCGTCTCCGCTCGCGATCTACCTCCCTTCATCGCTTCGCTGCAAAACAACAGCGAAAAAAAATTTAAAAAAAAAAAAAAACGTTTAAATCGTCTCGAAATGGTGCGGATTCAGCGGCGAGCAGCTCGGAACTGACCTAGAGAGAGAAAACCAAAAGACGTGGAGATGCGGTCGCCTTAGCTTTGCCCTTCTTCGAAATCGCAATGAAAGCGAGTGTACGTATTACCGTGTAAAGTATAGAGATAGATATATGTGAAGGAAATGCTTTTTTTGAGAGGACTCAAAGGGAAAAGCCCATCAAAAAATCCTTCCGATTTTTATACAAGGCAAAATGGAAGCGCGGGTTCGGGCGGGATTTCAAATTCCTACTGCCACGTCATCGATCCGCGCCAAACACATCGCAGTGCTGTGATTGGCTGGGATGTTGACCTCGCTCCCCCTCTCCTGGCTTTGTGTTTTCTATGTGTTTGTTGTGAAGGCCTCTGAGCCGTCCGATGGAGTGCTGGCAGGGCATCAGGGTGATGTGGCGTGATCTTGGGAATTTAGTGGTTAGTGTAGGGGGATTGTGTAATGACCAAATTAGACTTTGTGAAATGACGGTTATGGGCTCCGAGTGGTCGTTGGGGCTTTTTATTTAAACAAATGTGGATAAGCTTGATGTGATCGAGATGGGTGCGTGGTATTGGAGGCTCTTTTGGTAATTTGCGTCTAAGATATTTTCGATCTCAATAATTATCTTGTGTGATAGACTGAAAGTGCTGTTTGGTAGTAGCATTACAGAATTAGGATTTAGGACGCAATGTTTGGTAGCGAAATTATGTACTGTGCTATGTTTACATAGGCTATCTTCTTCCATTAAAAATTTTTCTGCGTATTTTTTTTTTAGTAATATTATATAAAATATATTCATACAAAATATATAGTAATCTATTTTAATATAAAATATTATATTTTATATTAATGACATTTTTCATATCTGTCATAAAATTATTTCAATTTCAAAATAATATAATGAATAAGGGTGTATTTTTTTTCCTATTCAAAAAAAAAATACTCCCTCTGTCCCATAAATTAGTAAAAAGTACGGATAAAAGACGTTTTTGTCCTTATGAGTGTATTAGTGTAAAAAATAGTGGTAATTGTGTAATAAAAATGAAAAATATGGGTAGTTTTATGGTGATATGTTTATTTATGAAAATAAAACTATTATTTTGGAACGAACAAAAATAGTAAATAAGATTGGGACGGAGGGAGTATATTTTTTAAAAAATATATATTATACCATTCACTAATTTTATACTCCCTTCATCCAGAAATAAAGTAAATATTTATTTTTGACGCGGTATTTAAGAAATATTATTATTTTAATTATAGTTAGTAGTTAAAAATAGTGTAATAATATTTTTGCTCTTGTTTTTTTGTGTAAAAATAATGATGTGATGTAAAGTAAAAATATTTATAAAAAAAAATAATCTACTTAATAAAATATTTACTTTATAATTGAATATCTCAAAATAAAAATATATATACTTTGTGAACTTACGGCGGGTTTGAAGGAGTATGATTTACACAATTACTTCTCTAGTATAAATATATATATATATATTTACAAATAATTTCACTAAACAAATACACCCTTTTTTTTTGTACGAACACCATGCTTTATTATTAACTCTTAAATAATTTTTTATAATACCTACTATGATGCACCATCTATATAAAAATTAAATAAAAATGCTTCCAAGTCATAATTGAACGATGAATCCTCCAAATATGCTTATTGGTGCATATGAATTGATTTTTGATAAAATTTTGATGGTGATTTAATTGCGCCTTGTATGAGTGCAAATCAAATTATTGACATATTATAATATTTAAAACTAAAGGTAAAATCACACTATTCAATCTACTAACACATCTGATGAACTGATAAGCATTCTCATAGCCAGAATCTACCATGCATGAATAATAATTTATTTGTATATTTGTTGCCTTGAAGTTAGCTAATGTAGAAATTGAATTGAGATTTATTTTGATATAATTATTGACTAAATTTTAGTGATCATACCTAATCTGGAACTCTAAAGGTAGGTCAAGTTAAATGTCGTGGATTAACAATTGCTCTGTGTTTCTTCTTCTTCTTCTCTTTTTTTTTTTTTTTTTTTTTTTTTTTTGTGCATGAATTGTAGAATAATTCAGAAACTACCTATCTCTGCTGATATGTGGATAAATTTTGATGTTATTATTCATTTATTGTTAAATTAAATGAGATTGAAACCAACTATAATAAACAAATATAATACTATATTTATTAAAGTCGTATAGAGTTTCCGAAGTGAAATATATGAAGGTTAGCTAATAAGAAATGGAAGATACAAAAAATATATAGAATTGAATGATGAATCCTCCAAAAATACTTATTGGAGCTTATGATTTTATCAATAATTATTAATTGATTGGAGATAAAAAAATAAAAAATAAAAAATAAAAAATAAATAAAATTTGATGATGGTATAATTGCACCTCATATGAATGCAAATCAAATTATTGACACTTTAGTGTTTACTGTTTGAAAGTAAAGTTAAATTCACACTATTCAATCTACGGACACATCTGAGAACTCATAGTCATAAATAATAATTTATTTGTATATTTGTTGTCTCCAAATTAAGCCAATGTATAGATTGAATTGATATTTATTTTGATATAATTATTAACTAAATTTTAGTTATTATGCCTAATTTGGAACTCTAAAGCTACGTCAAGTTAAAGGTCCGATTGGATTAACAATTGCTCTCTGTTTCATTTTATTTTTTACTATTTTTAGTGTGCATGAGTTGTTAGATTAATTCAGAAACTACCTATCTCTGTTGTTGTGCGGGTCAAATTTGATGTTATTATTCATTTATTGTTTGATTAAATGAGATTGAGACCAACAATAATAAACAAATATAATACTGTATTTATTAAAATCGTATAAAGTTCCCGAAGTAAAATAGACGCAGGTATGTGATTAATTGATGAGAAATAGATACAAAAAAATATATAGATTGAACAACGAATCATCAAAAAATGCTTATTGGAACCGATGATTTTAAAATCAAGAAGGATTAATTAATTGGAGAAAAAATTTTGATAGGTGATATAATGGCACCTTATATGAATGCAAATCAAATTATTGATACACTATAGTGTCTACTGTTTAAAAGTAAATTTAAAATTGACACTATTCAATCTATTGACAAATCATAAATATTCTTAGAGTCAGAGTCTACAATAAGTGAATAATAATTTATTTTATGTTTGTTGTCTTGAAGTTAAATCAAAATTTATTTTGATATAATTATTGACTAAATTTTAGTGATCATATCTAATTTAAACTTTAAAAGTAAGTGAAATTAAAAGTTGAATTGAATTAATAATTACCCTGTGTTTCATTTTTTTTTACTATTTTTAGTGTGCATGAGTGGTAAAATTTAGGACCTACCTTTCGGTACATATATGTGGGTAAAATTTTGATGATATTATCCATTTATTGTTTTTAATTAAATGAGATTTAGACCAACAATAATAAATAAGTATAATAAAAATACATTTTATAATAGTATATACAATTCAAGAATAAACTTTTGTTCTCAAGTTGAATTTTTTTTTTTTAAAAAATTAAAATTTGATGTAATATTTTATAAAGAAAAATTTAAATGCTCTTTTCGTCCTAGTTTAATTTTTTTTTAAATACTAAAAATATTTATAATTTAAATAAAAATAAAAATAAAAATATTTTAATATTAATATAAATTATTTGTTTTTTAAATGATTTAATTAAAAAATACTTTTATAAAAGTCATAAAACTGAACTAAAGACTGCCCTTTTATGTTGACATCGACAAGTTGGGGTATATAAATTCAAACCAACGGCTTGGCGTCGGCGGCGGCGGCGGTGGCGGTTGAGCACCATACGAACGAGCGCCGGGGCTATGAGGACCATGGAATGGGCGGCCAGGAGAGATCACCTCAGCGGAATACCCCGAAAGATTATATTCAATGCGGTCGGAGCGTTCGCCAAAGTGGTGGCTAATTTCCTCAATACCACAACCGTCTACAACCTCGAAACCCTCCTTCGGCTAGCCCGACACCGTCCGCCGCACGTTCCTCTTCTCACAGTCAGCAATCACATGTCCACGTCAGTTACTCTCCCAAGTAAAGTTGTAATTTCTGTTAATAGCTTATAAAATTCAGTTTCCTTTGTTTCTCAGAGAGGTTTGCGAGGAATTTCATAGACTGCTTTGGCTTCGGACTGAAGTATTGGTTTAATTCTTTGCGTCGTTGATCCGGTGGTTGTGATTCTGAAATGTGATAAGTTGAATTACTCCTGTTCAGGTTGGATGACCCAGTAATGTGGGGGATGAAGGGTTTCCCTGTGACTGATGCAGAATTGGGGAGATGGGTGCTTGCTGCTGAGGACATATGCTTTAAGAATCCAGTGTTGTCATATCTTTTCAGACTTGGTGTGATATCTGTAGTTTTCCACTCTTCAAAGTTTAATTTGCAATGCTGCATCTGACGATTGATATTTGCCTGAGTACTTCCGCTTAGTTATTACACTGTTCTTTATATCTGGAAGTGGAGAATCCACTAGATTTTTTGAATTTGATGATGCTCTTGAATGTATGATATTAGTTATCCTGCATGTTATAGGCCAGTCCATACCATAGTAAATGAATTGTTGGTGGTGGCTCAAGTTAAAAGATGATTTTTAGTTCTAGGCACTTGGATTGAGATAATTATATTCTGAAATAGCAGCTAGTAAAGTGAATTCCTTTTTTTGATGTTTTCTTTGTAGGAAGTGGACATACATTCTTAGGTAGTAGCTGAGGGTTTTAGTAGCCCTTCTGGTTTAGTTGGAAATGATAGTAATTAATACCTATTCTCACTGCTAGCTATTATTATCCTTCATGTTGATTCTTAGAATCTCGTCTTTTTCTTTTTTCTTTTTTAGTATGCCTCATTCATTAAGTGTAGTGTTCACAGGGAAGTGCATTCCCATAACAAGGGGAGGTGGAATCTATCAGGAGCACATGAATGAAGCCCTCGACCGCTTGATCGATGGAGCTTGGGTACTCTTCTCATTATCATGCCCCTTTTGATGTATTTGAAGAACGAACTGCCTTCCTACTGGCACATGTTACTGAGCACACACTCACATCTGTATGTTAAACACTAGGCACTAGAAATTCCTACACTGAAAAAAATTGCATGGCTATTTGTAAAATGTTGTTGCTGCTGCTGCTTTTGTTGTTGTTGTTGTTATGTTTAAGTTTAACAAACCATGTGAATATTTTGGCCATTCATCATGTTTATTGGGTTCAGAATTTGAATGTATAAAATATCCACTTTTGGGCATTCTAACCCATGGAACTGTTAGTAGCACAGTTGTACTGGGTTCTCATGCCATTGATTTTGTTACTCAAAATTTCATCATGTGATACAGAGTAGCTTATCATGGTTTTACTGATCATTTCTTTACTAGGCTGTACAATTGTAAACATCATATGCACTATGGAAGAATCATTGTCTGGTCTAATTATTACTCCATCTTATTCTGTCCAATTAACAGCTGCATACCTTTCCAGAGGGGAAAGTATGTCAAGAAGATGCACCTATTCGGCGGTTGAAATGGGGAACTGCTAGTCTGATTACACGTGCCCCTGTAACTCCAATAGTTCTACCGATAGTTCACCGAGGTTTCGAACAGGTATTTTTTCTGTCATTTAAGTTACCATGTAATGCCTACAACAGAGGTTGGATTTGAGTCGTATGTGATTCCTGATCTTTGCATGCTAATGGAAACTATCGTGTTCATAGTCTAAAACAACCATGAATCCTATTCACTAATCTAAAACACATGGACTGAATAGCTTAGCCATCAATTTCCAATTTGTTCATCAAACAGTTAGATTGTGTGTTTTGGTAAAGCACGTTCAAAGTTGTTTATAATAAACTGTGATCCAAGAATAGCTTTTGTGCTGAGATCTCCATAATGCCTGAGTAATTACTATGATTTTCTCCATGCACAATGCTTGACTTTGGTTTGCATACAGAATATTCTTTCTCTTTTAATCTCATTGGCCAACAAAGAAAGATACTAGGGGCCTGTTTGTTCGGCATCTTGTTTCCCATCTCGCACTGCAAACACTATGCTTCTCAAAATTCTCAGGGATTTACTTACAATATTATATTTCTTTCTCATTCAAAATTCCCTATTTTTATAATATTTATATATGTTAATCATATATAAATATAAATATCTTTTTTATTTACTTGTATTATGTAAATGATATCGAGAGTATATTTTATTGAGCTACCATACCTTTTAAATTTATTTTAACTAAACAAATCCCAAAACTTGAACAAACACCTCATTCAAAAATCAAAATCCAAAATCCCTCCAAAATCCAAAACTCAGCCCAAAGGCCAAACAAACAGACCCTAGATCAGTTAAATTATAGAGAGCCCCAGTACCTAGAAAATACTTTAAAATAATTTATTTATTTTTCAGAAATTGTAAAATTCATTGTTTTTGGGTTTTGTTTCCTTTTATTTTTTTTATTTTTTAAGCTGTATGATAGGAATGATTGATTCACTTGTGTGAAGAATACACTTATAATCAAATCCAATTACTTTGGTGGGCAGGATAAGAGCTTGTTGTTGTGTTGTTATTCTTGTGTATTTTTATCATATATTGATATTAGACTGCCCATCTGATATTTAGGACATGGAAATTTATCCCATGCATTCAATATACGATGCTTTAAAGGTAAATAAAATTTTTTATTCGATTCAATATGTGAATGTAAACATGACCTTTGTTCATGAGCTCAAATAGCATGATATGCTCAAGCTAATATTTTGTTTAACTTTGTTGCATCCTTTTGAAGATAAACTTCTGAGCAGATAAAATGTGGTGTAACTAAGAACTTTAGTTGACGTTTGGCTGTCCGCTATCATATCTGATCAATCAAAAGTATCTCTATTGGATGGTATGTGAATCAAGAAACATAAATGTGCATAATATTTAAACTTAGAACATGCAACTTCTATTAACTTACTAAGATGCAGTTGAATCTAAGAGGTTTGGGTATGGTTTGTATGACTTGTATGTATTTTGCAAGTGTTGTATTTTATTGTTTTTGGAATAGGAAGAACTTTGAAATTGTTTGGTCAATGTGTGAATCCTTTATAATTGTAAATTTTAGAAAAACACAGAATGGATCTTGTTTAGGATCTCAAGCTTAAGTGCAAAAGATGAAGTGTGGGACAGGTGTAGACTGGTTGAATGATCTTTCTCAAATCTTGTCTTTCCATGTATATCAGCTGAGTGAACCGGGGTGGGTAAATAAAGGCATTGGCACTTATCAGGGACGCCATATTTTTGAAACAAGTTAATTTATTTCACAAATACATCTTCAGGGAACTGTTGCTATTATGTTTGTGCTTGTGGCTATAAGCTGTATGCACGAGGAAAAGGTTGTCACAAAAGGTGGTTCTGCTGAGAATTTCATGATTGTGGACACCCATGATTTCTATATTGCCGTTGACAAACTTGAATAGTTTTGTCACATTATTATGTGTTTGCCAGTGATGTTAAGAGCTATGAGTGAACGTATAAATCCAGCCATTGTCTGAGAAATAAAAACTTCGGACAAAATCTTAAGTCTATGGCGAAATCAGAGGAAATCTGGCTTTGGAGTGCTATGCCAACCTGAAAGCATGGAAAAGATGCTTCTTAGTGCTATGTTGTGATTTTCAAGTTGAAGTTTGTGAGTCACCAAATTTTCGACTTTTGTGTGATATTCATCTTCATTCCACTTAATTTCGTTACACTTGAGCATCAACTAGCATTTATACCTATTTCATACAAAAAGGGGAGAAATCAAGCATGCATGTATGTATGATTGGTGAATACACTACTTAATACTATCATACTTTCATTTTCATTTCTCTTGATTCACCACATTGCAGGTTCTCCCCGAGAATTATATGTTTGGAAGGCGTCCGCTTGTTCCATTGTGGAACAAAGACATAAGAATCGTCATTGGAGAGCCAATGGTATTCAACATCCCTAATCTGAAGCAGCAGGCTGAGCAGATGTCAAGGGAGAAGGATACAGTGCTCCATCATCATGGATGGCCCGAGACACACTGTGGAATGAACGAGGCTGTGCAACAATGCCTTTACACTATCATATCCGAGCAATTGCGAGAGGCTATGCAGAAGCTTTGTAATGTCTGCAAATCGAGTTTCAGAACAAACTGATACTTGAGAATGATTTTTTTTTGGAAAGAATTGAGAAGCATCCTAACAGGTAATATGTTTTTTGTTTAGTTGGATTCATTTTTCAATTTGAGAGTGTTTTGATCTTAGTGAAGATATGATATGCATTGAGATAGGTGGGAAGAAATCCTTTCCTCAAGTCATATTTTTTTGGTTTATGCAGACATTAGATAGAAAAATAAGCATGAAATTTGGTAACACAGTCTGTACTGGCAGCGAATGTATTTTGGATTCTGTATTAGCTTCCAACTTTGTCATATATAATATTGACTCTTGATTTTTTTAACCGTGATTGATTGGTTGATATTTATTTTTTTTAACCTTGATTGTGTAATATAGCTTGAAGGATTTTGAGAATTTTCCACTATTTATACAAATTTTTCTCTTAAAAAGTATCAAATCGATCATTCTACAACTATTTTAATTCAATTTTTTTCCCATTCACATAACAATCCAATCCCAAAACCAAACACAATGATGTCAAATTATTATATGCAAACCAAGCACACCCCAAAGTTTCATTCCAAATATAAACTTCTCAAGTAAATAAATAATATTAATAATAAATTAAAGCTCCAAAAGACCGAAGAATAAACTTCAAGTAAATATGATACCTCACATATCTCCAAATCAGAAACATGGCAAACTCATGTACAAACCAGTCCCAAATTACTCAAAATGTATATATATATATATATATATAGCTCAAGAGCAAGTAAATCTTCCCCTGGCCACAGCATTCTCAAAGCATAGGTAGGCGGTTGAATCTACACTCGAAAAAAGGGGCTGAGATAGTAACATAGCAACACCCTCTCTCGACAATACACACCAAATACACACAAAAGCAAAACCGAGATAAGCTCATTCACAAAACTTCATTTGTATGGTAGCGACAATGCCGGTGCCTCTGCCTTTTCAAGCAGCAGGTTGCTCTGCTCCAGACTCCGGCACCATCGATACCATGTCCAACTCTTCATCAGAATCGATGACATCCTCAAAATCGTAATAAGGGTTTACCTGCCATGATTATCACACACAAGTTTAGACATAGTTATAAATCTTACGAGCTGCATTTGAATTACTCGACATCGTTAAAAATCCATTGCAAATGTTCCATTTAATGATATATTGAACTTAAGTGAGAAGTTAAGTACTTTTTTTATTCGATTTTCTTCTGGCAGGTTCTACTCATGTGACTATCATAAATTAAAACAATATTTTCGAAATCAGGTGGAAATGTTACCTTCGGTCTTGGGGTAACCGCTTCAAAGGTATGGAAAATAGGTGTGTCGAAGTTTGGTGGCTCCAAAATAATATATGCTCCTTTGTTTCGGTACCTCTCTTCTGTTGCCTGTGGATCACATGAAGAATATGGTTTTTATTCAATTGAATCAAGCAATTGGGTAAGTGGATCCTCCGGGTCAAATTACCGGTAACATATACATATTTTAAAGCACTATTCTATTGTATCTATTGCATCATAATTTCAGTAATTAACGAAGACTATTATTCTAAAAGTAAACAAGGGCGAGGGTGGGATATATTTTATGCACCTTAAATCACTAGTGAAAAAGCCTAAGAACATATGAGTTCATCCAAATCAGGAAATGCAGACAACTGATTTGTATCACTGAAATGATAGTGTGTAACCTATCTTCAAAATTATTACAGACGCCTCATAAGGTAATATCTAATGGATGATGCTACAATTCAAATTTAAAGAGCAGCGGAAAAAATGCATCAATGTAATGAGAAGCAGTCACCTGAAACTGTGGATAATCAGGGGCACTGAATAATGTTATAAGCTTTCCAGATTCTACAACATGATCTATAGTATACCCTAAATCCATTCCTCCAAGGCCTGGTCGTTTTCCCCTGGCATCAGGACCCTCATGTGACCTGATAATCAACTGCAATACCCAAAGAATGAATTTAAAGGGGCATATAGCTATACAACAGTGATAAACAAAGGCAATACACATTCGACACCAATAAAAACAAGGATATCCCTTAAAAATTTCATGATAAAGGACTTCGCAGAAAGAGATTCTGTTATTATTTGTTCCGCATATTATGAATTATGACTGTAATACAGTTTGATTCTAGTGCAATTGTGCTCGAAGTTCAATTCACTTTCCATTTCTCCAATTATAGTTGAACTGCATAAATGGTATCTGTTATCAATTAGTAGGAAAGTTCAATCATGATTTTCTAGCATAGCATCAAAGCGCAGTTTTTTTGTGTTTTTTCCTCAGAACTGATGAAGGTTTTTCATTCCCTTTAATTATATGAACCATTGATATTAGTCATGCCAATTGGTCATAGCTTCTTGCTGTCTCTTTAGAACAAAAACAGTTGAGTCATCTACTCTCTCTCTCTCTCTAAAAATCTCATTGTTATCCTAGCTATTACTAAAGCTGTAAAACAAAGGAGTTCTAAGTGAGCTTGACTAAGGTTCATTCAAATTTGTTAAAAGCTCGTTTGCAAAGTTAAGTGGGTCGAACACAAACACAAATTTTAGCTCATTATGCTAACAAACAAGCTCAAACCATGTTGGCAACAATTGATAATGTTTGTTAATAAAATAAATTACTATTATTGTATTAAAAGAATATACATTTTATACAATATTACACTTTATTTTATTTTATTTTTTACATAAAACTATTAACAAAATTTATTATTAATTAATTAAATTTAGACTTGAAATTTTAAAAAATTAACTAAAATTTAGTTTAATGAGCCGAGCCGATACAAACAAAAACAGTTGCTTAATAAGTTGTTACAGTAAAAATCATGTCTATTCAACTTGGAGGGATATATTAAGAAGTTCAATTATAAGATTATTCAATTATAATGTACTTCTAAATTTTTGTATCTTTGTTTCCTTACAACAAAATCAGCACCATTAGACTATAGTCGATGATGTCAAGTGTTTCAGTTAGTTTCTATTTGTACTATAATCTACATATGGTGCTCTTTTAAACAATTAGTAATTTTTTGATTAATAACAGAAACAGAAATCACATTATTGCTGAACGCCAGATTTGGATATAATTTCAGGCAAAAATACTCACAAAGGAACTAGTTCATAAAAACAGCTTTTACAAAATTACAATTTTTTTTCTTAGATACCGAAGGCAAATTAAGTCACCACTAAAATTAACCATCACTATTTCTCACAATTACATCATCCAATTAGTATCATCCAAGCAAAGGAAGTTTCTACTGGAGTTTCTCCAATTATAAGATGAATCCAATAAGCATGGTGTCACTGATTTAAGGATCCTTCTCATCAGTACTCAAGCTCATCAACCAAATTAGATAAAGTCTAAGCTACATAAACAATAAGAATTATGCACTTTAATTTGTTTCAAAATTATCCTAAAGTGAGTACGATTTAAGAGATTAGAACAGTCATGGTTTTTACTCCAACAACAAATAGCAGGTATCAGTCATATTCCCTGTTCAGTAAAGATTGCACAAGACAGTTTTTCTCAACTAAAAATGAAGCAATCAAGATGGAAAAAAGCCTGAACAAAAAGCATTTGGTATGGACTCGCACAAAGAAGTTGATTTGAATGTTGCGCGTAAGAATATCGCATACCTTTAAATTGTACTTATTTAGAAATTCTGCAGTGCAATCTGGACCCCACAAGAGACCAATACCTCTCTCGGTGTTTGGAGAAAGACCAGGGTTCATTGATGGATCCGACCACAAAACGTCACCAGGAATCAAGTTTGGACCTTCCCAGGGAGGATCGAGGACAGTTCGTCTAGCTTTTCCCAACTCTTCAAAGGAACCAAGAGTTAGTGTCTTCACATCAGGGTTGTGAATAACCTTCCGATTCTTCTTCTTAGACCTTTTAGATGGAGTGACAGCTGTGCTGCGGAAAAGCCCTCCATGTGCAGTGTAAACGTGCCCAGCTATGAGGGAAGCAAGCGGAAGTCCTTCGAAACAGCCTAAACACTTTCTGTAGACATGCTTTCCATTGTCTCCATATTTAGATAATACTTCTTTCTCAAATCCGTAAACAGAAGTGCAATACTTCGACTCATGGTTTCCACGAAGTAAATATACTCTCTGAGGCATTAGAACCTGCGAGAAGTAAATAAATAAAAAACCAAGCGCATACTTTTATGCATAGGTCGAGTTTATCAGTTGGAAGTGATTGCAATTTCATAAACTTTCTTTTCAAGGCTAGTTGATAAAAAGAAAGAACTCAATACAATGAAAGAAGCAAATTAATTAGAAGTTTAATTCAGTGTTTATCCACCTTGGGCATGCCCCTTTTTTTTGGAATAAATAATAATTACATCACAACTCCGGTGTATTCAATGAAGAAATAAAACAGACATTATCTGTAATAGAATGATGCAACTTTATAACAGCACATCCAGTGAAACACATCATCAAAGATTATAAACTAAGGGAATACATTAATCTCAATTATTTGATAATTCATATTAATTGCTAATGACAGCCTTAACCACGAACCTTCTTACATCATCAGTGGCTAAAAATATATGCCTCTTTCGGAGAAGCATTTAAAGATTATGATTCTTATTTTAATAGTACCCTAAATTTGGTTTAATTGAAAAATTGAAATTTGACTTAGATCTTATACATAAATACAGCACTAGTTTGTTCAGTAAATGGTAAGAGTCAATCTAAACTTTCACCATGGTCTCAAAGCTCAACTTTTCACACAATCCAAATTCGTCTCGGCATCCATATGCTAGTGCAAAAACGGAAAAAAGTAAACCCCAACCAAAACTGAAGCTTAAGCAGGATCTGAGCACTACTGCACTCAAATCCTACCGAAACCATGGCCACTTACTAGTCCCTATTTCTACAAGTTCCCTTGCTCTGGTTATCTCTGATAAAGAAATAGAGCTGTCAATGTTAATAGAACACTAGAATATTTCAAGCGCGCCAAAGAAATGACAACTACGTTCTCTAGTTGCATGTACCATGCTGTAGTAAGAAAGTCTTATATATCACTAATATATTTAACATAGGACCTTAGTCTATCAAGAGTGGAATATACATTAAAGAAGACTTTATGTTTAATATCACCTAAAAAATTGTTTAGAAAGAATTTGAATTCTTCTTCTATATATAAATATTGTGGTAGCTAATCAATCTGGTGCTCATTTAAGGTTTACAAGTTTCCAGTCAAAACCTCACCCATCGCAGAAACCCAGATAACGCCCAACCAGAACCACCCGCAAACCCTAACTCATACGATACTTCAAGCATCCTAGTTTTGCTTAAACTTTTGCTTCTAGCTGTACCCAATATGTTAATGGCTAATTTTCAGATTCTTTGGTACCAAAAATTACACGAGTTGTTACCTATTTGTTTTCCCGAAGAACCATAATTTATGAAAAAAATCATGATCACTAACTACCTCTGTCAGCTTAATTTATGACATCTACTTACGATCATGTAGTTTACCTGCCATTTTTCTGTCCTGCCATGAGGGGCCACTAGGGTTTTGATGCCATTCACGATTTACATGCCATAATTATGCAATAATCTCTTCAAGTTATCCAATACTATCACCATTAATTAGATCATCATGATATTACACGTAAACTACTACTACGCAATTCAATAATGAACATATTAACCACTGTCCTCATTGATTAGTGTAATCAAGGCAGCCACATTTCATTTCATTTCAAGGACACATAAATATTCTTTCTAGGAGTTAGAAGCCTTCTAGTTCTACCAAAACTTCCCTTTTAGGATACACTTCATCAGGGTAATATTTAATCCATAATATCCACATATTCAATGGGGCTCGATACACAGAATGCCAGTCTAATTATTCAAGACAAGCATCCATTACAAAGAGAAAAATAGACAGCATGAACATAAGATTTAGGGTTCGACCTAACTTCCCAACTGTCGACGGAGCAGCATCAAATTCACATTTCCTTCCAATATAGAACATACATAGTAGATATATCCAAGATAATAAAGCAACTACATGTGGCTTCTCCACCGATCTTCGATTCACAGATATCTAACCACCCACCATAATCATATAATCAGTTCTAGTTTCCCTTTTCCTCTCTAAAAAGTTACAAGAAAAGTGTAGAGAAATTTGCAGTAGCTTGTTTGCCAGATTCATATATTACCATACAACAGCAAAAGGCAGAATTTTAATCCAAGTTAGTTGCTTAACTTCATCTCTAACAACTACAGAGAATCAATAGCCACCTAATCTTCCTCAATGCCACAAAGAATCAACACATTCTCACCTCAGATGAAGAATCCATAAATCAGAAGCTGAAAAATTAAAAAATAAAAATCCTAACCTTCCAAGCCAGTAATATCAGAAAAACCTCAAGCCCCCAAGCACCTCGATCCACATAATCCCCATTAAACACGAAAAACCGATCATCGCCTGGATACCCTGCCTCTCTCAACAAGAACAATACATCATGCAGCTGACCGTGCACGTCTCCAACCACTACAACCCTCGAACTCGAACCCAATCCGGAGTCCCCATCAATTGTCACGCAATTGGGCTCTTTATGCAAAATCTTCGATGCGGTGAGCGCAAGTTTGTCGAAGACTGGAACAGGGAGCACGGAGGGAAATTCCGATGGAGATAGCGCTTTTGAAGCCCAGTCGAAGGCCTGCATCAGATTGGTGACCCAAGCAAGGGTGAGGGCCCCTCCGTCAGGCCATGTGATGGCGATCGGCGGAAGCGGGGAGGAAGGCCTGGGGGTAGCGGATGGAGACGTTGTCTTTGAATCGGAGGAAGTGGACGTGGAGGCGGTAGAGAAGAACTCCTCGTCGGAGGATGGCGGCGGCGGCGGCGCCGCAGCCGGTGGAGAAGAGGTCATACGGGCGTAGTGAAGTGGTGTGCTGGCGAGCAAAGTCGTGCCTTCGATATTGGAAATGTCCTCTTCTCTCCTCTTTTGTTTTCACATGTAAAGTTTAATTGTGTTTGTTCGGGATTGGAGTTTTGAAATGGGATTTCAACAGTAAAATTTTTGAATTTAAATAGTTAGTAATACGATATAAAAAAATTTTGATGCGATGTTTTGAATGTAAAATTAATTTTTAATATAATATAAAAAAAATATTTAATTTAATTTTTTTTAAAAAAAAATAAAATAAACATTGAAAACTAAATCCAATTCCCATGACAAACACACCCCAGGAATTAGGGCATGTTTGTCAAGGATTTTATACGAATATATAAAAGGAAATTGTAAATCGGGATCTCAAATAATTTTTTTTAATATGTAAGTTATATTAATAAAAATATTTCTTAAATCAAAATTTAAATAAAAAATAAATAAATTTAATCATAAGTCAAACAAACTCTTTGGGTATATTTGACTTGTGTTTCAAATACAATTTTACGGTATTAAAAATATTTTATATTTATATTGTATAAATATTACTATTTTTATATTAGATATTTTGTCATTTTTTTTTAATTTGTAATATTAGGTATTACTTCATTTGTCATAAAAATTTGTGCTCATTCTTTCTGCATTATACAAAAGTATTGAGCATAAATTTAGATAAAAGATGTAGTAATATAATAATTAAAAGTATTTAAAATTTATGCACTATTACCAATAAAAGTATATTATTTTATTTTGTGAAATATTATATCAAACTACTATTTAAAACTTAAATAACACTTTTGCGTCATTGTACTTAATATTAAAAATATTCTTATATTTGAATAATTTACTCGAAAAATGTCATTGTATTTGTATTATAAGAGACTAATAAACATATTTTTGCTTTTTTTTTTCGTGATTTCTACTGCGTATTAATAATTAATATTTAAAAATCAACACGGTACAAATGGAGTATTATATTTTTATAAATGTAAAAATAAAAATTAAATTTTAATATAATATTTATATTTGGGTTTACTTTGTTTTATTATTATTATTATTTGGATTTGAACTTTTTTTTTTTCAAATAGTGTTAGTATGATATTTTATAAAATATATATATATTAATAATAGAATTCAGGCTAGTTTAAAGAAGTCATAGAAAAAAAAAATTAACTAATAAACAAAATGTTTGTATTTTTCTTGCAAATTAAACCCGATAGACAAAGCGATGGTTTGAAGGTATTACCTCGTGATTACAAGTCTAACCCCACACCATCAAACCTATTATATCGTAGTTATAAGTCCAACCCCAACCCCACGTATAGGGAGACTATTTTTATAAATTTATTGGCATTTTTTCCAGTCTCTGAAAAGACATTGCACAACGGTTACGCTGTGGAGAGTGTATTTTTGTGCCAGAAGAGACGTAACTTACTGTAGGTGGGGCTTCGTCCGGTTTAAATTTTGGGTGTGTTTGTTTGGGGATTTGTCCCAAAATTTACTATTTATTTAATTTTTTTTCTACAAAATTAAATCAAACACTTATTTTTTATATTATATTAAAAATTAATTTTACATTCAAAATATTACATTAAATTTTTTACTATTCAAATTTCAATTCAAAATCCAAACCTCCAAACATCTCTCCTTTTTTCAAATTGAGATTTAGGGTGTGTTTTGTTTGGATATTGGATTTTCAATCCACTATTCATCCAATTTTTTTCATGTTACGACCTAGTACATGGCCGTGTTCACTCCCGCATAATTCTGTTTTTACAACATGGTCGCATTCCCATACACGTCCGGAACATAAGTGTATCTAATTCTTTTGCACTAATTTTACATATACATGTGGCGGTATCTTTTCCAGACACTTTCTAACGAGAATTTCACATAACTCAAGCATATACGCACTCATTTGGAATCAAATTAAGGACCAAATATGTCTCGTAAAGAATGATTTGGTGGATTTACATTTTCATTATTTTCAAATTTATAAAATTATAGAGAAAAATACATTATCACAAATAAATAAAATCACCCCGTTGGCCATTGGATAAATGACTTATTTGTGGCGCAAAAAAATTGTGGATTTCCTAGCCTCAATCACCCATTGGCCATTGGATCATTCTTCTACTACACTCTGCGCTACAGCCATGGCAGCAAACCTGATAACCTTCTATATCATCTTTACGAAATGGCTAGTCTCACAACTTCCGTGGGCCTCTCTTTTCCCAATTCGGCCTGCTTCAAAGCTGAGTCCAGATACCATTTTACTTCGTCGCCGCCGTCCGTGAAAGCCGCGACTAGGATCACCCCGGCGAAGGGATTGGTACGGAGATACTTTAGCCGCCGCACTCTAGTTTCTCCGAATCTCAGAATCATGGCTTCCGCAGTGGAAACGGAGCAGCAGGGCGTGAAGATTGTCAGAAACCCTTCCGAATCTCAGCTCTCCGAGCTCGGTGTTCGGTCTTGGCCGAAGTAAGTGATTCTCCTTGTTGTTGCTCTGTCTGTTCCGTTTCTTTGGCTGATTAGTTGATTTGTGGCTGGTTTGTGGTTCGTCGTGGTTTTTGAGGTTGTTACGGATGATTGTTTGGTGTATATATGCTTGAGTTAGGGTTATTCGCCATGGATGTGGTTAGGGTTATTAGTTCGTTCTGTTAGGAACATAGAAGTACTATTTCAAGCTAAACTTAACAATTTGATGAATTATTGTGAATCATTTCGACTGCTAAAATCAGCCTGGAATTGGATCCAACTTGAACGTAGACAACTAACTGAAAAGCAATGGATCTACAACATTGATGAGATCCTTGTAAGAGATACTATGGATGCTCTTGAAACTTGAAAGACAATTGTTAGAATTAGAGTAGTTAAGAGGGTTGGAGGGATTGAATAGATAGGTTAAAATAATCTAAGTAATTTAAACTACGAAAAAATTAAGTTCCTTATTTCTTGAAACCGAAATCAACTAGTATTTGGTAAGTAGAAATGTATTGGGTCAAATAAGTGAATTAATTGAGATTTTTTCAATTATCTAGACTTGTAAATTATTAAGTTTTGGGTTGATTCTGTATAATTAAAGTAGCAAGAAGCATGGTCGAGGCACTCACTAGTAAGCCACACGCGCTCAGACCGGTTACATGTCACGAGTCGAGGATCATGGATCTTGAGCTTAGTAATTGCTTGACTTGGCAATATCAAGTTTTGCTTGAAAGCACAATAGCCATTCCAAAATGATTTATTTAGTCTCGAGAACAAAGTCGAAGTCCAAATTGGAATGGTTCAAGTCTATTCGGATAAAAATCTATTCGTTGGTTTAATTAATGACAATCATGATTGTCATTAAGATAGTAACTATGGTCGTAAACTACCCCAGTTACCTTATCCCCTGAGCCGATAAAAGGGCTTTCCCTCGATTCGGTTTCACGATCAAATTTTAATTTTGTTTATTCTCTCATATTATTTCTAACAGGGTGTCGATTCAAATTGTATAAATCTATTCTATTTTGCTATGCAACGAATTTTACAATCTAACCATAATTCTTTTGGCAACTTTTAAGTGATGCCATTTTGTTGAAATAAAGAAATTTGTCTAGTCCGGTTCTGATATTTGTTGCCGACAATATTTAGTGGGGTTTTTTGTGGTTTGAATGATGTTTAGTGTAGTTAAGGATCTGTTTTATGGGATGCTATTTGTGCTTTAAGAGATTGCACCATATACCATTTTCTTAGATATTACTAAGTTTAACTCTTGTATGGGGATTTTGAGTAATGTCATTTTGTTGGAATGAAGAAATTTGTCTAGCCCGGTTCCGATATTTGTTGCTTACGAAATTTAGTGGGTTTTTTGTAGTTTGAATGATCTTTTTCTAAAAAAAAAAATTAAAAAAAAAAATTAATTTTTTCTTTTTTTTTTTTTGACAATGGTTTGAATGATCTTTAGTGTAGTTGATAGGGAGCAGGGATACCGGAGGCGGGGATGGGCTTAGGCTTGCTTTCGCAACCTTGGGTTTTTATTTATCACCCTTTTAATATTTATTTAGCCAAGCTTTTAATTATGAAATTTTATTTTTTGGGTTGGGTCTATTTATTGTTTATTGAATTATTTTAGTTTTACTAACCAGGGGTTGAGGAATTTTGGACATACTGTTGGTACCGTTTTATTGTTCTTAGGCAAACGATTGATATTGTTTAATTCTTCTTATTCTTTATTTCGTTTCTCTCAACAGTAATTTATGTGATGCCATTTGTGCTTTAGGAGACTGCATTATATATCGTGTCATGGTTGTTAACTGCGGCAGATTAACACTGCTTTGGCTAGACTAAGCTTTCAACTGTCCTTTACAAACTATCTTTATTTTACTGTCTCAGCTGTCACTTGAACTATAGCATATGTTGTCGATGAGTGTGATATTTCGGTGCATATTTTTTATCGCAAGATTTGAGTGAGGAAAACTGAAAATTTTGAATGTGTCTGCATTTTAACCGTGGAGTTGTATCACACTTGGTTTCTAGCTAGCGAGCTTTGATAATTTGTTTATGAAAATAGGTGGGGATGTCCTCCAAGCAAATTTCCATGGACATATTCTTCGAAGGAGACGTGCTACCTGCTGGAGGGGAAGGTGAAGGTGTACCCGGAAGGATCGGATAAGGCAGTGGAGATCGGTGCAGGCGACCTGGTTGTGTTCCCTAAGGGCATGAGCTGCACCTGGGATGTTTCGAAAGCCGTCGACAAGCATTACCAATTTGAATGAATCAGTTGCCTAGCTAGGTACCCTCTGCTCTTATCTTGTTGCCGGTATTTACTTGCTACATTGTGTTATGTTTATGTGTTCATCGTGAATTTCTTCGGATTATAAATATGATGAATGATCGATCCATTTCTGAATATGATGAGGTGTGGCCTTTCATTTTATATATAAATGAATGCATTTTATATGTTAGTATTTGGGAAAAGTACGTTTAAGTTGCTCGGGTATTGAGTAAATATTAAATCAAATATTTATTTTTTATTTTTTATATTATATTAAATAATTATTTCAAAAGTATATATACTCGGTGATATTGGTAAAGATAAAGTTTACATTAGTTCATATTAAAATCCAACTCCATGTTATCACAAAGTTTGTTCAATCAATTTATTTTTTTTGCCGATGCCATGATTTTTTCATCGTTATTATAAACAATACAATATATATGTATATATTAACATACTAAAAAAAAAAAAAACATTCATCGAAGTGAACATGCCCTAATCATCATTTAACACAAATTTTTCTATTAAAATGATCACATTCAATTTTATTAATGTATATGCACACATAACTAAATATATTATATAGAGATATTATATATATTGAAACCTAAATAAAGAAAAAATCTAATTAATCACAATCAAACAAGCAATAATATTTAATTTCACTAGCTGATGATTGATTAATTCAAAGTGTGGAAATTGATTGTTATTTATTTATTTTTTTTCATTGGGTAAATATCTGGTTGAAGGCAAAGTTTAGAAATGTCAGGCTCTGAACTAATGACTTTGAACACAAATTAACCCTGTATCATTATGGCATTCAAAACTGAACAAGTTAGAATATTATTATTATTATTATTAGAGGGAATTGATTTTTAGCCTCAATCCTTGTTATTATTTTAGAATTCTAAACGAGACATCGTATGAAAATTGTCCTATAATAATAATTATTATTTATTTTGTAAAAATGGTTTTTTATTATCGAAGTTGATACATCATTGATGATTTCGGTGCTAATGTGTATGATCCATCAGTTCTATATGAGCTATAATTGAATTTTTAAAAATAAAAAATCTACTTGTTGTCCACATAAAATTGACATATTTGACATGACGCCAAATCAGCACCAGCGAGTCACATCATTAACCACTTGTCAATTCCAGTAACAAAAGATTGTTTCTCCAACAATTTATGTCAAAAGTTAACAAAAATTGGGTTTAGAGTATTAAAATGATAATAGAGATCAAATATAAAATAATTTACTTTCTTTTTTATTATTATTAGAGTAACTTGATTTTTAATTTTGTACCTCACATCTGTTATTACTTTAGAACTCTATATATACATTATATAGAAACAATTCCGCAATTATATTTATTTATTTTTTTGTATAAATGGTTTTATATAACTATAATTGATATGTCGTTGATGATATAGCTCGCAGTGCTGATCGGGCGCTAACATGTCTGATTCATTAGCTCCACGTGAATGCAAAGTAAATTTTTTAAAAATAAAATTTACATTAAAAAAAAATCTACTTGTTGTTCATCTAGAATTGATTTATTAAATCCTTATGATCGACGAAATCACATCATCAATTACGTGTCAATTCCGATGATTACCCTAAAAATAAATCATCAATTAAGACTAAAAAAAATGTTTATTATTATTAATGATAACTCTCAATTGCTATTATTCAACTGTAGTCTAGCTAAATTATCGATCAAATTTAATAAATTAAATTCGATAAGACAAATTATACTTATGTGCTTATTGTTATAATCACATATTAATATAATAAAATACATAATATAATTCATATAATAAATATTACTCTTTTTATTATAAATTTAAAATGTACGTCAAAAGTATATGCTAGAAATTAAAAAAAACCTGTTTTTTTGTAAATATTTTTATTTTATGGAATTCTCAGTACATTTTAAAATAATATAAACCGATAAATAATTCATGCTAATTTAATTGTAACAATTTATAACAAGCCATTGCTGAATAGGGCTATCCCACCCTATTTTTTATTTTTTATTTTATAATATATTAATTTGTTCCTATATATGTCTCGCTCAATAATTGCTAAAAGTTGAATATATATATATATATATATATATATCCTTCAAATCCCTATAAAAGTTATTCAAGATAAATAAGAATTACCATGTTCATTACACAGTCACACACCTCTGTTCTATTCTGTTTTTACCTTTTTGGGGGATGATATTTAACCCTTGAAATAAAAAAGATTTCAGTTGAACTTGAGAAAATTGGCCATGAAGAGGGTTATTAGTGAAGCTTGAAGCTAAGGAGGACTAAATTATGTGATCGTAGCTGCGTGTGAAATGCGTGGCAGAGTGCGGGTTGTGATGCGCCGGGAACACAGCCCCCATTTTCAGCGCTGATTGGTGTTCTTTTGCGTAAATTCCAATCTGATTTCTAGATCTGGAGCTCCGCCTTTGCTTGCTCATCAATCCCGCGACTTTTGAGTTTCTCGGGTCGGAGGTGGCCTCTGATCACTCGCGGAATTGCTTGATTTCTGACCTTTCCATGATTCGATGTAAGCTACGGTGTCACTCGATTCTCGATCCTAATGGCCATGGGTGCCTCGACAGAATTATGAATTGCTTGATATCAATTTTCCGCTTTTGTCTGTTTATTTGCTTAATTTATGTGTCTTTTGATCTCTTCTCAAGTTGATTTTGTTTGAATGTTGAAATTTCTCCAGAGTTTAGGGGAACGTCTAATCATTTCGATGCCAATGCTGTTTGCTGTATCTGTTTAATTTTCTTATAATGATTGTATGCTATTTATAAATTTCCCAGCTTAGGGCGAGGATAGCTGTTCGAATAACTAACTCAAACCGTACGGAAGGCCTCTTCAACGGGCTGGCATTGAATAATGTCTGAAGAGGTTGAGGAAAGCAGTGTGGCAGTGGAGAACCATGATGTAGATTCGAAAAAACGTGATGGTGATCCGGGTAACTCAAGTAATTTGATGGATCAAAGTCAAGTCAAGGAGAATGGATATCACGGGGACATGGATTCTAATTACGGTCAAGACGAACTTGTACAGATGGTGGTAGAACTTAATTTCCAGAATGAATATATGAAGTCCCAATACGAGGGGTTGAAGGATCACCTGCTGCACTCTGACCAATCTGGTGGAAGAGAAGTTCAGGTTCACCATGTTTTGGGTGGTCAGGATGATCAGAAAAAGCTTGGTGGAGAATTAGAATCTCTAAGGAGAGAACTTGATGAGGAAAGGCAAACACGAGGTGCTGTGGAAGAGGCTCTGAAGCATCTAAGAGCAGCACATTCTGAGGCCGACATGAAAGCACAAGAGCTATCTGCCAAGCTTGCTGAAGGTTGGATGATCTTTTAGATATATATGTCAGATCTGAGATTGTCAGTAGCATTAATTTTTTTGTGGATTCAATATCTGTACTTTTAACCATGGATATGGTCCACCTTTAAAAAAAAAGTTGGATTGGTTTATAGCTTGATAGTTGATCAATAAGTGAAGATCAAATCTTGTTCTTTATCTAGGTTTATTGTTCGTTTGGACTAACCATTAAATTTTTTTTATTATTTTGGCACAGTTCAAGAGAAGATGAATCAAGAAATAAAAGAGCGGGATGAGAAATATTCAGAGCTCGATTCCAAGTTGAACAGGCTTCATAAAAGAGCTAAGCAACGCATTCAGGAGGTTCAGAAAGTAAGCTATCAATTTCACTTTTACTCATGTTATCCAGATATGTTGATTTATGATTTACCATTCCTCATTCTCCCTCTTTTGGTTTTTTATTTGATTGGCTTAGATGAGACATCACTATCATGGGTTTGTTCGTTACCTCATCAGTTAATTTGAGTGGTAGAAATAATGTATATTCTTGGTTCGAATGTTTATGTATAATTTGTGTTTTTCTATTTCTGTTTTCTCTGTGTTTACAACCCCCAACACTCCTATTTATGCATAATATGATATAATGGTTGAATTAATGATTAGTATAGTGGTATATATGTATCATATGAGTTTGTCGCTGTGTTTCTGTGTGTGTTTGTTCATTAGTTTGATTATGAATGGGGTGTGATAGTTGAATTCTGATTGTTTGCATTATGCAATGTTTCTTCCTGCATTAAGCCACAATTATTTGGTGCATTTTTGTTAACTTCAATAACTTTACTGGTCAACATGATTGTTTTGAAGCTAAAATGTCTGTAAGGTAGTAAGATACTAGGAGCCACCCTGTCCTAGGCATGGTGAAATTTACAAAATTAGTGGACATGTATCTCTTGTTGGGTAGGACAACTCCATCATGAAAAAATGCCTTCCATACTTTGGAACTTCTAGGAGCTAAACACTGATAATAAGATGCGTAAGGGCTGTGTTGGTCATCTGTAACTATCTGTGCCAAGACATCTGAATGGTTTCAGTGAAAAATTTGATCTATTCTATATCTCCACTTCCCAGTGTTCTGGAAGCTTTTATCTGATGGTTTTCTACATATCCTAAAAATTGATTAATCTAAGTTCCTAGCTTGTATATGCTGGTTTAAAGCTACACAACATACACTTACCTTGTGCTTTTATTTTGTTTGGTTTGTTCTCTCTCCTTTACATATATTCTCTTTTGAATGTGAGATGAACTTTTTTTTTTTAAATGTTTTGATTAGAGGGGTTCCTTTTACACTGAAAGTGCTTGGCATAATTTGATACTGTTTATCATTTGTTCTTTCATGCACATAAGCATAGATGGAGTTATCCATGTGATACAAAATAAAAGGAACTTGGCTTAAGTCAACTTCTTGAACTATTGGTATCCAAATTTCTGAGATGTAGCACTGTCATAAAGATTTTACTAGTTTGTCCTGAGAAAATTGAATACATCACTTTTAGTTCCACATCATTTTGGTAAGTTATGTTTGTTGGGTTGGCTGCTCCATGGTAATTGTTTTGACCCATTCAAGAAGACAATTTTTTTTGCCCCCTCATTCTGATGTTAACAAATCAAACAGTATAACATTTTTATCATTCATCATTGAGCTTATCTGAAATCCCATTAGTCTCATAATTAACTAGGAACTAGAGAACAGCTAATGGTATTAGTTGTGTACGCTCAACTCTAGTTGATAATTCTTTGGTATATCCAGTCTATCAGCCCCTGTTTGTCACTGTAAACATTCTTGGTCAACCAGGTTTAATGTTCTTATGGTAATAGTGTTTTTCAGAAGGTTAAGCGTTGCAATGAAGTTTCCTTTAAAGGATTCAGCTATAATTATGGTATTCCTTTTTCAGGAAAAAGATGATCTTGAAGCGCAGTTAAGTGAAGTTAAAGAGAAGTCTGACCTTGCGTCTTCCCAGCTGTCGGCATTACAACAAGAGCTAGATCGAACAAGACAACATGCAAATGAAGCACTGAAAGCAATGGATGGGGAGAGGCAACAACTGCGCAGTGCTAACAACAAGTAGAGTCTCCAGAAAGCTTTTTTGCTGTGATTTTCTTTTCTTTTATTAACTTATTATCATATCTTCTTTTTCAGTTGATCATTGATTTTCCTTTTACAAAAAAAATGATGTTTATCAAGATGGTTATTGTTGTGAAATTTAAAATTGTTTATATTAAGATTTTTCAACAGTGGTCACAATCATTCTGCAGTTCAGCGCTGATAGTTCTCCTGGATATAGCGTTTACTTATATTGTATTACAGCACAAGAATTATGCTAAGTAATCTGTATGGAAGATATGACATTCTCCACACCAGAAATATCATCTTACATGATTTTTAAAGTTATATTAATTTATTTTTTTGAAGTGGAAAATTATTTTAAGTGTGCTTTAAATTTCTGCCTTTGTATTTGGATTAAAAAGTTCTAGTAGATGCTTATTAGAAAAAGTTAGTCATTTACACATCAAGACATTCTTTTGTTTATTTGAAATTGTTTGATGAATTTCTCTTTATAGACTTCGAGACACCATTGAAGAATTACGACACTCACTGGTACCCAAAGAGAATGCTCTAGAGGCAATGCAGCAGTCCATTCAAGAAAAAGATCAGGTATTTCCTTATCCATGGTAAAGGTATCATTCTTCTGTTATTCTATCTTAATTATTTTTAACCTTGAATCCATTTACTTATAATTGATAAAATTCGTAATAAAATGTTTTCTTTACCCCCTCTCATATGAATCTGTATTGCCTTTTCACATATATTCATACACATTCTTTGCCCATATTTTTCTCTTTAACATAATCCATTTTTTATGAGTTTATCTTACTCCCCAAAACTTAATAAAGTTTATGTGCTTACTTGTCAGTTGTCACTATGTCATTGAGTGAAACTGGCAAATAGTGTTAAAAACAAATTGTAGTGTTTTCCATTATAATAAAGCACCCTATATAATGACAATATAATAAGCAAAAAGGAAAGCATATTGATATTCTGCTTTCTCTTGGGTACTCAGGTTCAAATACCTATGGATTTGATGTTTGCTTAATGCTTTCTCACCTATGAAATATTGTCAAAACAGTAAATATAGACTGTATATTATGGGTGTGTTGGTTTGGGGGTTTGAATTTTGAGTTGGGATTTGAATAGTAAAAATTTTGAATTTGAATAGTTGTATGATGTGATATAAATAGGTATTGATGTGATATTTTGAATGTAAAATTGATTTTTAGTATAATATAAAAAATAAAAAATAGGTGTTTGATTTGATGTTTTTTGGGGGAAAAAATTGGATGAATAGTGTATTTAAAATCCAATCCCCCAAACAAACACACCCTACATGTATACTGAAAATTTCACTGTTAAACATAATTGGTTCAATAATACTTGATTCCATCTAATGTAGCTTTTAACTAGGAACAAGGAAACATCCATTGGTAATTCGTTCACACGGAAACAAACATTGCTCATCTTTTGTATTTTAGATGTTAAGAAAGTGCAAGAACAAGATTTAACACTTATTTCTGAGTCCTAAGTTGATTGATAGAAACAAACATTGCTCATTTTTTGTATTTTAGATGTTAATAAAGTGCAGGAACAATTGGCATGAATGTTTGATGCAACTGTTGCACATACTTATAGGTCCACTCTTGTAGCAGTTAAGAGGAAGTTGTGTTAGATAGTAATTTTTCTACTATGATAGCATGGATAATGCAAACATTAAAAAATATGATGAGTAAGTTGGTTAATCATAATAGCTGTTTTTTTGCTACTACTCTAGCTTGGAAAATATCAAGAAATATAATGGAAAATTTGGTTAATCATGGGTTTGTTTACTTGTGTATTTTTCTAGTTTTTGTGTTTTTGGTTTTGATGTTTTTGAGGTGAAATAGTTCTTAAATTTGATGTTTTGAATAAAAATAAGTGTTGATGTGATGATTGTGAAGGAAAATTGAGAAATTGAAGGGGAAAAAGAAAAAAGAAGGTAAACAAGCCCCATAATAGTTGGTAAAACAAATATTATTTGGGACATTTAATCCACTTGAAGAAGTACCTCATTCGAGACTCTCTTCTTTCTGGTATTGAATTCTTTCACTTATGCTAATATATAATTATTACTTTCTCTCCAAAAAGAAATAAAAAATAAAAACAACTTATTTGGCCTTCACTGATGAGCAAGTGCCTGAATAATGTTCAGTTTTGTTGATCAGAAAGGTCAATCTTTTAATCTTTTTATAATTGAAAGTTAGGGTTCTGTTGTTACCCCATGTATCCCAAGACTTAAGCACAGGCGCCAGTCTATATATTCTTAATTTCAGGCATAGGCTCAAACAATGTCCTTTAGTAAATGCAGTGTAATGTCTGCCTCCGTGGCTCCATCTATATAAATATTGATTTTTATACTAACACAATTATTTTCTACTTAGTGTCAACATTTGTACATATAGATAAAGTAATTAAGGGTGTGTTCGTTTGTGCTTTTGTTTTTGTTTTTGGTTTGATATTTTTGAGGTGGTGAAAAATAGTTGTTGGATGTTATGTTCTGTATGAAAATAGATGTTGGCTGTGATGTTTTTGAAAGGCAAATGAAAGATTGAATAATAAAAAAAAATAGGAGAAAAAAACATGAGAACAAACCCTAAATTCATGAAGTTTATGATTTGATTATTTGTTGCCTATATATTTACTAATAAAAAGATTGACAATTTAGTGTCTCGTTAAGAGTATTTACCTCATGTATATGTATGACAATATGAGCTGTGTATGTTTTCCCCTAGATGTTGGAAGAGATGCGAGGTTTACTTCAGGCAGCTGATGAAAAACGTCAATTGTCAATTGAGGAACTCTCTCTAAAGCACCAAAAGGTAAAGTGCGTGCTCTTTTTACTATTTTGAAACTTAATTTTCTTATCTTCAGGTCGCCCTACTTCAGATTGCACCTTACTGACTTTCTAAACTTCACTTGTACCTAAAGCAAGTAGAGGATATGCAAGCTCAAATTGCTGAAGTTTTGGCGGAGAGAAGTCGAGCAGCTGAAACAATATCATCTCTTAGGGTATGCTTCAAGATCTTGCTCTTTTTCATGATTTCTGATAATAATAGTGTTGTAGTAATTTTATAAATCTTTTCCTGTGTTGTAAAAGTTTTTTCTGAATATTTTATTGTCATCTTATTACTATTCCCATGCATCCTGCAAGCAGGAGTTAATGAGGCCCCCAGAAAATATCAAGTGCTAAATATTTTTCTATTTCCAGACTTTGGTTGCCGAGAAAGACACTAAAATTGCAGAGATGGATGCAGCTTCAAGTGGTGAAGCAGCACGGCTTAGAGCTGCAATGGAAACTTTAAAGGGAGAGCTAACTCATATCAGAGATGAAAATGTAGGTTTTGTACTCTGCACATATTTGCCATGTTGATGTAATGAATTAGGCAACAATGGTTTTCCTACCCTGATAAGCTCCCATCATAAAACAATTAGTAATAAATATCTTCTGCATAGGTGTAGAAATTTCGTTCATATATCCAGTATCGAAGTATTTCGTATTAGTTATTCAACTTATACTAAAATGTAAACATCTTCTCATAAAACAGGCATGATTTTTACTTGAGAAATATGGTTAAGATGTAGTTCTTACTTGTCTGTCCCTTGACCTGGTAATTATTGCCTTATTTTATGGGTCAACCAACATATTAAGTTATCCATAATTATATGGAATGCCACCATCCGTCCATGCACGCTTTTGTTTATCTTGGTGAATATATGATATAGGTTTATTAGCTTTCTAAGAGATTGGGTGGTCATTGGAAAGGATGTTGCTTAATATACAAAAACTAGTCCCCCATTATAATTGAATGATAAATTTTAAAATATGGCAAAAAAATCAGTAGTTGGAGTTAAGCTTAATTCGTTTAAAATTGTTGGATAGTGCTTGTTTTTTCTGTCTGGATAATTAATTATAATATTGGTTTCAAGTAGTGATCCAGAGCGCTGTCATTTAACAATGTTGCACTGTAAAACATAAAGTATGTATTTAACATGAGCGGATGATGTATACATCTGTTTCTTATGTCACATTCAGGAGAAAGAAAAAGAAGGTTTAGAAGCCACGCTCCAGTCCTTGAGATCAAAGCTGGAGATTTCTGAGAGTAGCAGGATACGGGCTGAAGTTGAAGCAGCGAAATTAAGAAGTAAGTCTTCCTCCTCTCTCTGACACCTTAGTTTTCGGTTAGGGTATGAATCACCAATTTCATACATATGTGCATCACACATATTCAGGTCAATTGGAGTTGGAGCTTTCTGTTCAAACTCAGAAGCTGAGCGCAAAAGATTCTGAGATTAACGAAGCCAAAGAAAAGGTTCTTTTCTCTTTCCTTTCTTTCCCTAACCATATTAAATTCCCACTTATGCCAAATATAAGAACACTTACAGCTCTATTCTTGTTTAATTTTGATGAATTTGGCTGTCTATATTCATCTAAAACTTAGACATGGAAGTTAGTTAATCTGATGACCAGTTTCCCCTAACACGCTACAACTAAAATGTTGCTCAGGCTTTATTTTTCATCCTATGGCATGACTTCATTGTAATTTATATATCTTATACTACCTCCGTTCGGCTCTAAGGGTCTCATTTACTTTTTGCGTGTTGATCTTTGAATATTAATTATTATATGAAAACGTAGTAAAATTAAGGAAAAAGAGCAAAAATACTTCTATTAGTATCTGATAATACTATTGTAATGACATTTATACAAAAAATTATATAAATATAAGAATATTTTTAATGTTAAGTACAATGACACAAAAGATAAATGAGAATCTTAGAGTCGGACAAAGTGATTATTTAAGTCTATAAAACAATTATTGTTTAATCCATGGAAAAATAAATACTTAGTAAATCGTCTATTCAAATATTGGTTTATGGTTTTATAAAATGTGGAACTGAAGTTGAATTTTATAAAATGTGGTTTTGGTTATAGTTTGTTCACAAGTCTTGTCTTTGATCGAAAACTGACGGGTTTGAACCATTTTTGGAACCATGTGGACAAGTCTAATTGTGTCATTGTGATGAGTTCTTTAAAAAAGGAAAAAAAAAAAATCTTAAATTTCTCATCTATTTATCTTCTTCTCCATGGTTTCACCTTGTAGATAAAGAGCATCGAGAGTGAATTTGCTTCATACAAAGTTCGGGCTCATGCATTGCTTCAAAAGAAGGATTCAGACCTCGCTGCTGCTAGGGACAATGATCAATTAAAAGCACTTGAGGAAGCCCTTAAGGTTAAAGCAGTGATTTAATTACTTGTCAAACATACATGAAAGTATCCTTGATATAAAGTATTGAATTTCTCTTATTTCATGGTATTCAGGAAGCTGAGAAGGAGATATTGTTAGTATCTGCAGAGAAGGACAAGGTTCTCCAAGATGTGAAAGATGCTTTGACTAATTCTGAGAAGGAAATTTCCAGCAGGTGACCATATCATATACTACATCATGATATGTGGATTGCATGTGCATATTTCAAATATCCTGGATTTATATGCATAAAGCATATAATTTTAATCTTCATAAAACTTTGATGGTTTGATGAGCGGAAATTGGCAATCCCTACTATCTGGTATTCTAGTTTATGCAATTCAACTTATTTGATCAATTATTAACATTTTCTGACATTGCGTGTATGTGTGCATGTATAATATTGAATCAAAAGGAAGATCTTGTTCTGTTATTTGTCATTTGGTCAATAATAATGATACTCCCTCCATCCTGTATTTTTGTTTTTATTTACTTTATATCTACTTTTTACATGTAGATTTTATAATATTATTTATATTATATATGTAGTGCAATAGAAGAGTGACATAAAATTTTACCCCTAGTGATGTTTTTGTAATGTAGTTCAATTATGTTGATGGAATTGTTGTGATAATAGGTAAGATGTATTTTTTTTCCCTTTTTTTTAAAGACCACAGTTACTAAAAAGAAAATGGATAGATTTATTTAGGACCGATCAAAATAGCAAAATTGATAGATTGATTCTGGATGGATGGAGTATATATATTTTGTATGCATATGTATTAACACTAATTTTCATTAAATTCAATTTTCTTCTTCTTTAAAACTTCTAATAAATTAATAGGTTTTTCTAACAAATAGATGTGATTCATCTGTGTACAACTATTATTAAAATTAAAAATTAACATGGGAGGAATCCAAGTGCCGAGCTCTATTCATTGAACATAAATGAAAAACCATGAATATAATATTTGATGAGTTCCTATGTATCACATCATTCATCATCGGCAGAGACAATATCATTCTGAACAATAGTTTCTCAAGAGATGACATTCTATATTATGTCAAATTCATTATTAGTTGTGGTGAATGCAGTTAATTATATGTATGCATATTCCTATGCCTGCACACATGCTAGACTTTTTTGGATAAGTTGAAAACCGTCAGCATCACTTGAGCAGTTATTTACTACAAAAGATGTTAAAGAGTTACTTATAAATTTATAATATGTACGGTGACAATCCCTCCTGGGATTCAGGAAATGCAGTCCTAGGTATTTCATGAGCATCAGTTTGAGAGGTTTCGGTTCACTTTTTTCTTATGTATTCAGGTCACTTCACGTGAAATTGAAATTCTTGATGCTGAAGGAATTCATAATCAATTGCTATGTTCAATTTCCCATTGCTCTGATTTATTTACTTGGACTTACACAGGGATGAAGCTCTCAGCACTGCTGAAAAGCAGATCAAGAGCTTGCAACTGAAGTTGGACTCTGCTCTTTCCATGCACCAATCTGAGAAAGAAACATGGGACAAAAGCCTACAAGATGTTGAACAAACATGGCGATGTACCTACACAATCTTCCCCTTCTAAAGCTTATTCAGATAAAATATTTTCCTTTGTTTTTTAAATTCTATGCAGGTAGATTATGTTTTGACCAACTTGAGTAATGTTTGCATAGTGAGATGTGAAACACTGGAAAGACAAAGCGAGGAGTCCTCTAGCCAAAACTCACTAAAAGAAATAGAAGATTTGAAGTCAACTTGTAAAAGGCTGAAGGTAGAATCCCTTGCTGTTATCTTTAATATTAAATATTGTATTCAATTCTTGTAATTGAGCGTTCTATTCCATAGGAAGAACAAAATTCTTTTCAAGATCTTGCTGATAAAATGTTGGAGGAGAAAGACAAAGAGATATCTAGGATTTTGGATGAGAATAAAAATCTTCGTCAGTTGCTGGATTCAAAGTCATCTGTATGCACTTCTTCTCTAAACAAATTGTATACTTTCAGTTTTTTTTTTTTCTGTCTACGTATTCTTATGTAGTTGTTACGAAATTGCTCTAAAAGGATGGCAATAAGATTGCAGAATTAGGATGAGAATTTTGACTCCTGTTATTAATTTTCAGGTCGAATCCCAGGATGAAAGAACAGGTAATAGGATCTGTTTTCAAGTTGTGAGTGTGGTATTATTGCCAGAACTTATGTTAAACCTAACAAAAAGTTGACTTAGTCCAAATTTACCCTTTGGATGGATGGCTGCAGCTTTTCAAAAGCAGGAAGCTTGCAATGCTAGTACTTCAATGGCGGAGCAACAAATACTAGTAAGCAGCTTCTCTTTCTTGGAGTCTTCATTCTTCAGTTAATGTTCTTGACACTGAAGCATGTCCTTTCTATAGTTTCTGTATCTCTAACAATCTCATGAACTAATTTCTAATTGTGAATGGTTTTGTGCGCACTGTATTTTATGATAATTATTGTGACAAACTGCTCTTTAGTGGAAGGATTGGATTGCTTCATCTTTATCAGCTAGTTTTTTAGGGAAATTCTGTTGTGACAAAATGATGGAAATGGGATATACTCTGTAGAAGAATATTTCTGTATACTTCATTTGAATATTGTACAGACCTATGCATATCGAATTAGAAACATTCTACTCATGTATGTAATCTGCAAGATGCATGAAGCTTTTTGTCATGCTCTAGAGAACCACTGAAAATAAGTGATTTCGCTTTACTCTGATAATATGAAATCTTTCCCTTTTGGGGCTACACTCAAAGTTTCCTGCACGAATCATTTGGAATCATGTTTTTAAAGAAGAGTTGTTATTTCAGATTTTGGCTAGACAACAAGCACAGAGGGAAGAGGAGCTTGCTCAAACACAGCGACATATTCTTGCACTTCAAGTATGTCACTCTGCAAAAAGCTGGATGAGAATTACTTAATACATTCTATCGATTGCTGCAATTCTATATGGATTTATTACTATTTTTTTTTCAATGGAAATAAACATCTAATTTAGATCAGCGAATAAATTTTGGGGACCATACAGGGCTATCTTAATATGATTGGGAGTAGAAAACTGAAAATAATATCTAAACTAATGTTAAAAAAAAAAGAATAAGCCAGAAAAACTAGTAACATTGCTTATTTTTATATTTTATTTTCTGCTGAACCTTGTTGAGATGAATAAACACCTGAGCTTTTAATGTTTTGAATGCAGGAAGAAATTGAGGAGTTGGAGCATGAAAATCGCCTTCACAGGCAACAGGTACTACATTATGCTAATTGTATCCAATCGAAGCATCTGAGTATATGTGAATGAGAGTGTCTACAAAAGTTTCTAGGCTTAAAACGTACAGAGTCATTAATTATGAGCATTGAATCACTTTTCATTTGGTTCTATCTTATATGGTATCTTTTAACTAGCTCAATTCAAAGATTATCTAATAATGACTTTTGGCTATTGACAAATGTGAACGAGGATCATGTCTACAAGTTTGTGATATCTGAAGTATACTGTATGTTTAAACACTTTCTGTTGCTTAAATGCACTCACTGATTTTTCAGTGTTTTCCTGTATAACACAATACACGAATAATTTTTTCAAAAATGGTGGCGGGCAACACATGAACAAATGACCATTTGGATGAAAACCTTGATCTCGCTTATATGTTCAGTTTTATCCCTAGATGTCTCAGTTCTTAAACATGACTTTAGTTCTTGTCATAGAATGCCAATGCCATTGAAAATCTTAAATTTATCTTTCTAATGCATTTCACCCAAGCGAAGCAAGTTGAGTTCTTCCTTTTGACTGCATTCTAAAGAGATTTTGACTCATATTTTAATTGTAGTTTTACCACTTGAAATGAGATCGATTATTACTTCATTAAATCTTTCTTGTGATGCAGGAAGCCATGCTGAAGGAGGAGCTCCGGAACATGGAGAGAGTGCAAAAGAGGGAAGGGGTGGACCTGACATACCTTAAAAATGTCATCTTAAAGCTTCTAGAGACTGGTATCTTTATATCCATTTTCCTTCGTCGCCCCTGCTTTTCCATTTGCATGATTCCCTTCCCCAAAACATCAACTGCACAAAATTTGTGGCTTTAATTTCTAGATTGAACAATAACAATAATTAGACTTTTCTCTATATTTAATGTTACTGACCAGGGTCAAAAAAATTTCTTGAAATTCTGGTTTTAAAATTACATGTGAATTATTTAGTAGGGCATCTCCTTTCCTTAACCCCAATCTTAGTGTAAGTATTTACCTATTCCATTAATGACAATATAATTTTTCCTAAGATTTATTTGGAAGACAACAATAATTTTGGGTTATATTCCTACACTTTAGAGGTATTCGAAGGTTTTCAACTTTTTCCAGGGATAGAATTTGTAATCAGGCTACTTGATTTGTCATCTAAGCTGTCATGGTTTCATAAGATCAATGATCTATTAGAACACAAGAGCCTTCAAGTGTTTAAACATGCCAAATCTATTCTCATTTCAAACTGCGCCACAAGTTAGGATGGAGAACTCGCGCGCGAAAGCAACCTATAAACTGATGCAACAAGGGAAATAGTGATTGTGCTTGGGAATTTTTCGACAAACAATGTGGCTCACAAAGCAGATCACATGAAGTCCTTTTCTTTCATTGTTGGCTGCCTAATTCGAGATATTTACGATTTTGTTTTCATTACTGTTTTAACTTTTAACTGCTGGTTTGGTTGAGCAAATGCATGCTCACATAAGATTTTTGTGTCCGAATTACTAGGTGAAGTAGAGAGGCTTCTACCTGTAATTGCAATGCTTCTTCAGTTCAGCCCCGACGAGGTAATTTTGCCCTTTACCTTTTTCCTAGTCGATGCTCTACTGTTGCATAGACTGCTTACTTCCCCAACTTCCAATACATTCTCACTAGCCAAAATCCACAAATGTCGATCCAAGAGCTAATAACCCGGGGTACATATGTGTATGTATTTGTATTCTTGCAGATGCAGAAATGTCAACAAGCCTATCGCTCTTCAATGGAAGTTGCAGCGAGCCCTTCAACCGATTCTGGGAGGTCACTCTTTTCTCGACTCACATTTTCATAGCAAATTCGAGAGTGTAGAGGTGAGACACGGAGAGAGATTCCGGTGCTGCTTCATTCATTCCATTCCTGAATTTTCCATTGTTCATGCGATGCAATGCAATGCAAATATTTTAGATTGCTGTCTTGAGAACAGAATACGCCAGCGAGCAAATGATGATAAAAATGATAGCTTTAGAGACAGTTAACACAGTGTAGCGTGCAATTGGTTTGTTTGGTGGTTACCAAGTGTTTGTTGTACAAACTGGATACAATTTTCCATAACCTTCCAATCTCTCCATTATTATTATATTATCAATTCAATTAATTTAACGTGTCATTATTTGAGTTTTTTCTTTTCCATGAATTTTAACTACATTTAGTACAATCTTTGTATGTGAGTTTCGTGGTTATTATTGGAGGCAGAGGTGATAATTCGGCCTTATTTACTTTGATAATCAATTAACTGAAAGTTGTATATATTTTTGTTCTATAAAATCTACCCTATTACTTTATATATATATATATATATATATATGAAATCTACTTTTGATAAAGAGCAAGAAAGTGTTCCTGTGACTTGCACTAGGACTCCAGGCAAATTTAAAAACAGTGGATGTTTTCTATCTAAATGTGTTTAAACATGCAGGCACCACGACACCATAGACAAGCCAACTATTGAACATTAATATTGCAGAAACATGTAGCTAACACACGGGAGTCAGAACCCTAAAATAAACCAAATGCTTCGGTCTTAAAGAAGTGACAAGAGAGCAGAACACACATAAGACATAACAAATAAGAGACAAATAGCAATCGAGAGGAGGTTGGAATCTCAAACCTAAGCAAACATGACTTAAAAGCCCTCACAACAACTCTCATGTAGAAAAGCAATCGCTACTAGCTTGATGGTACCTTTTCACCGGGAACCACGTGCATAGTTTCTTTCAACAGGAGAAAATGACCTGGACCTTTCTCTTCTGTACCTTCCCCCGGATGGGGACCGTCTAGGGGAGTAATCCCGTCCACCTCTGTAAGGGGAGCGCCTTGGAGATCTCCGGGGGCCATAATCATCACGGCTTGAACCCCCACGGTATCTACCACGATAACCTTCAGCAAAGCAATATGTTAGTTTTCATGTCAAAATAAATGGTAACCCCATGTAATGACACAAAACAACTCACCATCACCCCGAGTGCTGCTTTTGAGCCCAAGATAGTGACCAGGAGTGGGTGTCCTTGCTCGCTTCCTCCGTGACTAAAAAGATAAATATACATTGTCTTACTTCGTGTAATCTACTTAAATTAAAGCACATTTGACAGGTTGAGTAGAGATAGAGAAAAATCATATTCTGCAGGCACCATCACGACAAAGACTCGGAAAACTACACATACGACTCTAATTAGCTTTTGTAGAATGCATATGAGAGTAACACACGCTTGAGGTGACTCGGAAAAAGCACACTTACGACACATTTGCCTAATTAATAAAATTATAGAAAACACGAAGACAAAGAAGATATCAATGCCTGGTATGTGATACCATAAAAGCTTGATTACAATGTTGTCAAAGACCGTTGATTAATTGAGAGTTGATTGTTTGCTGAGGTTGTATAGTTGTTGGGCAATAAAGATGCTATTTAGTTGTTGATCAGATGCAATTGAAAAGCTGTTTTAGCTTGTGGCGATGGATGGGACTGATCATCTTTGATTTCTGCCAACATAGCTGACGGAATATCTTCTGAATATAACCAGAAAACCTTCAGGTCAAACGTATCGATTTAACAAAGTGGCCAGATCAGACGCCAGTTTCTACCAGACTAGTGATTTACCTTTTCAACAGTTATGTATCGGCCTTCCAACACTGATTGGTTGAGATGTTTGATGCAGCGGTTGGCATCTTCAAGGGAGTCCATAGTAATAAATGCAAAGCCACGAGATACTCGAGAACGAGGCTCCACAACCAGAAATACTGATTTCACCTATAGAATGGAGCCGTAAAGAACATGAGTAGTGCAAAAAAGTGGTTCCAGTAAATGCAAAAGGTATTTAAAGAACATCAGAACGATTATAAGATTAAAATAAATAAAAAACCAATAAGTTATAGTTATATCTACAGGTACCAACAAATCAATAGAGCTTCAATATCTTCTATGTAGAAAAAACTGGCCTTACTTTGCTCAGCATTTCATCATACCAGGATTAAAATGTGTTTATGCGTAAGATCAAACCTTTCCTTCCCGAGAGAAATGATCTTCAAGGTCTCTTTCAGTAACCCTTGTAGATAAGCCAGTCACATAAAGAGTATTACCAGGGTTACCAGCATCAACCCTGCACAGGTACCGAGGTAAAGCAACAACACTCATAACTATTACTGTCAATGGATAAGAGTTTGACCAACACAAAACATATTACACAATACTGCATCTAACCTGCTACGACCTCTTGATGCAGATCTGGACCGGGACCTGGACCTGGGTCTTTCCTTAGGTCTAGACCATGACCTAGACCGAGATTTGGACCGGGATCTTGACCTCGATCTAGATCTTGAGTTTTGCTCCCATGGAGAAGGGGAGCGAGCATACCTAAAAACAGATTGCATTAGGCTGTACTAACTGTCAACTATAATTGGAAGGGAACATCACAATTATAACTTCTTGGATCCTAAAAGATACAAGTATTTCAGGAACCTATGGAAAATAGAAATTGCACGGTAATCAGCTTGCACCACATTCAAAGAGAAAAACTATCCAATCAACTCGATGACATAAGTTCTCAAGTTCAACATAGTAGATTGATGGACGACACAAACTGCTCCACATCAAAGTTCAACATAGAATTATATCATAAATAAAATGATTATTAGTAATTTGTTTGTCCATAGATTTAAATCTTCCCAAAAATATGAATACAGACCTACCAGGCTACCACACAGTTTATATTTATTTATTTATAACCGATGCAAGTGAGTTTATATTCTCAAAAAGCTTTAGTCATTTAATAACAAAAGAGATTCACGCAATCTCCCAATCAAAACGGGGAAAATCCTTTTAAGGAGGATTTTCCTTCTAATGTAAACTTAAAAAAGCTTGCAGACAAATTTCATAAATTTCACTTCTCACATTCCAATGGTTGAACAATCACAGCTGCATCCAACATGCCAAGGTTGTCACGGCGCCCTTTTGCGGCGTGGCGCCTGTGAACCGCCATACCGCCATGGCGATAAAATGGCGAACACAGCGCACATGTATAAAATCTTTTATATATTATATGTTATAAGAAATTAATGACTATAATTATTAATTTTATAGTAACATGCCAAGAAAATACAAAATAAAATAAAAATAAATAAATAATTTGAAATTTAAAAATAAATAATAATGTAAAACCCAAAAGACTAATATTAATAGTATAATAAATGAATAATAGAACTACCAGAGCAATGAAGTAGATAACAAATTAAGAAATATAAGAAATAGTAAAAAAAAACTCCATGATGTGATGTGCGGCTATTAGCGACTAGACCAGAAGAGAGGGGAGAGAGATGAGAAGGGGAGTGGCTGCACAAAGCAGTGAACATTAGCAACTAGACCAGAAGAGAGCAGGGAGAGAGATGAGAGGGGAGAGAGAGGATGACAAGTTAAGGTTCAGTTTCAAGGTTGATGTCGAAGCGGTTTTGAGGCTTGGGTTTGGCTTTACAAGGCTCTGGGCTAGCCTTTCCAGTGCCATGGCATCGCCCTGGCGTTGCCACGGCGTTGCTTAAGCACCTCCAAACACTCTTCTGTAATAAGGCGAGGCGAAGTGTTGCGGTGCCCCCTAAAAGGCGCCATGATGCCATGGCGGGCCCATGGCGACGCTGTGACAACAATGCAACATGCTACTATCGAATCAAACACGGCTTTAAAGCATCATATAACCAAAATAACTTATGAAATGAAAACCCACAAATGAACCACCAAAAACAAAAAGGAGACAAAACTCGAAGGTTACAACCCGGAAGGATAAAAGATTACTGACATTTAAATCAAACAAGCAGCCTAACTCGGAACAATTGCGCGACCAAAAATTACAAGCATCCAACCTAGAATCGTACCTAATAAATAAAACAAAACCCTAAAGGCCGTCGAACTCCAACATATAGATCAGAAACACAAGGACAAATATAAGGAAACGGAAATCCAACCTAACGAGGGAAAAATCGGAAAGAACAAACAGAATACAAAAGTCTTACCGTTTGCGAGGAGAATCGGCCTGCAAAATAATCAAAATTCACGATATTATCAACATCTACCATCCGGAGAAAAACACAAACGAGACCAAATTCTATTGAATCAGATAGAGATCTCACCATAGCGCAGCAGTTGGAGATGAACAAACCCTAAACCCTTTCGCCTGGCTCACAAGGTGAAACTGCAATCTCCTTGACCTTTCAAACTTTCTTAAAATCGAAATACAAATATTTATTCGATTCGATTTGCGAGAGAAAGAAAGATCTCGGGGTTTAATGTTTCAGTTATTTGCAGTTTACACCCTTCTTAAATAGTTAACTTCGAAATAACCCACATGAAAAGTGAATTGTGCATTTTGCTCCTCATAACTCATAAGTAAAAAGTGTAAATAAAAAACAAGAAAAAGAAGTGTGTGTTTCTTTTTCAAATAAACTAAAAACAAAACAAACAAGCGATTTTGTCATTGATTTTGTATGTTATTTAAATAATATTTTAAATATAATATTGTAAGATAAAACAATAAATAATGATGATATAATTTTTATTTTTTATTTAAAAAAAAACAAATAAATAATTTTGCACTTTGTAAAAGTATATTCAATTCAAAATTTTATATAATTCAATACTTTAAATAATAAATCAATTCACAACTAGAGATTGAATAGTTACGATAATAAGAGAAATTATAAATAAATTAGGGCAAAAGAGGGCAACTATTTAAATCCCAAACCCTCAAAAATTTATTTCAATCCCAAATCCAACTCCAACTCAAAGTTGCCCATATGGATAGGCCCGGAGTGTTATTTGAAATCTTAGTGAAAAATTTCTCTCTGTTTTTCTTGAAAAAAAATATTAATCCAAGGACCGTAACGATTTGAATTAAATTAATTTCAACTTAAAAATCAATTAAAATTTTTAGTATAACGGACCGATTATGAGTCAGACCATGAAAATATGCTCATTAGCATAGCGGTCCAGGTCGATGGGCCCAAATTGATTCTAAATTATTAAGTCGAGAGAGAATCCATCTGATGACTCGTAACTAAACTCAGATCTATTTTTTAAATTGGTCCCCATTCTGGACTAGATTAAAAACAAGCTGGATCCGATCCGGGTCCAAGTCGACCCGGCCCACTTGAGCTCAAACATCTCATACAACATTATCATTACATTACAAGCAAGTATTCATAGCATCCAACAAGACAGACAACAACTCCAAATATTTACATTACAATAACAATTCAAATTCACATTCAAATTCAAATTCAAATGAAGACATCAGATGAGAATCAGCATCCAAACCAATCTTTTAAACTCACTCACTCACTATTAATCGATCATCAATCCATATCCCATCATCCCTTCCTTCCTTTCTCAAAATCAAATGTATATATAATTTGTATGTTGCTGTAATAAAAAATGACTTACAAGATCCAAAGAAATTCTCTGTCATTGATCTTCATCCCCACCCTTGGAAGCTCTGTACTGCTGAACAACTAATATCGAACCACTGCAAAGATCGAAGTCTGACGACGCCAAGAAATCGCCCACCTTCCCCAGCTCCGGGCACTCCTCCCAATCGCTCATCCCGTTCGTCAAAACGCAGCTCCCCCCGCTCCCTTTCCCCACAATGAACATCGAATACATTTCCGACATGTCTCTCAGCTCCGACGCCGTCTGCCTCCCGTCCTCCACGTATTTCTCGACGTACCCTACAACACCCGACGTCACGTAGCTGCATTTGTCGATGGTAACCGGTCGTTAGAACAAAAAAAATCTCGATTCATGATCAATGCGCGAATATATTGAATCAAGCTATTTGAAACGTCGAAATCGGGAGGATACCTGTTAAAGAAGTCGGTCATGGCAGCGTTGTCTGCGTCATACTCCGATGCATGGTTCGTGATCGCCATCAACAAATCCTCTTCGTTATGAGCAACGTCTATTTCCCTATTCTCCATCGGCATCGTCCTATGGAGGAACCGGATCACCGTGAGGTTGATGTGATGGTGCATCCCGATGCGTTTACTGAGCCCCAACGCTTCACGATCATCCGGACCACCAAAAAACAGCAAAGCCATGTGTTGCAACGAGCCAGTTCCCGACATATGGGACATGCTAGCAGTTAGCCCACGGTCGACGAGGATGCCGACCGAACACTTGGCGTGGCACAGAACTTTCTGGTTTGTAGCCCTGATGCCCTCCTTGCCAGATTCGAGCTTCCCGTCGATTCTCTGGTGCTTGTGAAACGGTAGGATGATGATAGAGGATCTTTTGTCCTCTGCAAATTCGCACACATCGGCGTACATGGTAGCGAAAGGTGCGACAATCTTGGCTTGATGGATAAGTAGCCCAGTTTCGGCGTAAAAGATATCCACGGCTTCATTAATTTCCACCACGTCATTTCCGCCATAATTATCATCGTCGCTGAGTTCATCTTCCTCCTTTTGATTGTAAAGTAAGTTCTTTTTGGTCCTTTCCGGTAGCTCGATTAAATGCATCAAGTAAGGAGTAATAGCAACGGATTCAGACCCTCTACAACTCGAAATCAGTCCTATCATGGTCGCCACGGGACGAGGACCATGCACACAAGCCAGCAGTTTTAATTCACTCTCAGGCGATTGAAATTCGAAAGCTATATGCTTATAACCAAAGATCTCAGTCTCTCTCCTTACCATGAAGGCTATTACAGGTCCCCAAATCAGTGAGTTTATTACCACGGCTATTATCATCAGGTTGTAGAATACCTGGCTTGACATTACCTGCAACAAATAAAAACATTCGATTTCCCATTTCAGCGCATCTTAGCATTGCTGCCACAGTTGAACTTGTTCTTAGATATCTTATAGAACTATATTGTAAACTTCTTTTCGCTATTCAAGTGAGATGATCATTTAACAATTCTAATGATAATGAAAAGGAATTGATGATAATTGCAAGTAAAGACGCTTACGGTACTCTCCAAGCCAACGGACAGAGCAAGCAAGTCGACATGGCCTTTCAAGTTCATCAAGAAAGCGAGAAGTACGGCTTCATTTGGGGGGATTTTGAGGTGAAGGCAAGCAGCTATTGTGCCAGTTACTTTGCCTCCAATGCTCAGAAGTATAATGATCATAACTATGGCAAAGTTTCGGAAAGAATTGATAAGTGTAATGTCCGCCTTGAATCCACTATACCCCAAGTACAGGGGAAGAACGAAGTTGTGGACAAAATACGAAAGCTTATTCAAGAGTGTCCGGTATGACTTGCCGCCCCTTGGAAATGTCGCGCCAATGAGAAAACAAGCAACCACACTGCTGAATCCCATTGTTTCGAGAATGGTGGCACCGCTGAATAAGATAGCCAGAAGAACAGACATTCCTGTGCTCCTCAGGTACTTTAGATTCCTGTGTCTCTTATTGAGCCAATCCGATAAGTGCATGTTAAGGAGGATAACCGATATAATCACAATGAAATGCAGGATGCCGTAAAAGAACCACTTAAGGCCATTGTAGCGGTGCTTCTGCTTGGAAATGATGATCAACAAAAACACAGCATAAGCGTCGGCCACAAGGGAAGAGGATATAGCCAACCTCCCAATGTCAGTACTTGCAAACCGGAGATCATGCGCCAGACGCAACACGAAAGGCGACGCCGTGTTCGACAAGATTATGGAGAGCGTTAAGGCCATCACAGCCACAGAGCCATGGCCTCCTATCTCTTGGAATATAAAAGTGGTCACAGATAAGGCAAAAACGGTGCAGATGAAGCTGCTTGAGCAAGAAATGATGAAGGCCTCGCGTAAGTTGCGCCTTAAATAAGGGACATCAGTCTCCAGCCCAATCAGGAACATGATGATGATTCTGGAGTAGAGAGCCATGGTTTCATAGTAGTCAGTAGAAGAAATGGTGAAGAAGAAACCCTTTACCCCATCTATGTGTGATAAACCGGATGGCCCCAGCACGAATCCTGCCTGTGGTCAGCCAAAAAATGCAATGTCAGAACCCTAATTTGTGGATTGAAATAGACAATTAGACACAAAAAATTTCTCACCAAAATTTGGGAATTGAATCGAATGCTGTATGTATGTATATCCACATGTGTTCTGGTGACGTACTTACGAGGATTTGCGCGACGGGCGCCGGCTGCCCCAAGGGTTTGAGCAGAAGCTGGAAGAAATGCGAGATGACAAGCAGACAGGAAACCTGCGTGCCCATGGCGAGGATGGGGTTGAAAAGCTCCTCCTTGCTGAAGCAATCGCCATCGTGGTCCATTCTTCTCCGACGGCCGCGATTGATTGCTTCCTTCTTGAAGCGAAATCAACGAGCTAAAAATCCAAAATACAAATTAAAAACACGCCAGACCTAGACAGGGATAATCCTGGCATCAAACAGGGTCGGCTATGGCGCTGCAGCAGTAGCACCGGTAGTATTCGTTCTTTGTCTTCTTTTTCTGATTCCGATTCTTCTTTTTCTTCTTCCTCCTCCCACAATCGCTTCTGCGACATTCTAGTCTGGTCTCTCCGACGCTGGTTTGCTAATTTTAGGCTGTGGAGATGATGAAGAAAAGAAAAGGAAATCCGTTGGGACTGCAGGCGGTTTGCTGAAATAACCCTTCTGTATTTAGCCATGGATGGGCGTGTTTGGCGGATGGCAAGTTGGCAACACAATATCCACTTCTTGTACTCTCCTCCTGCTTATCTACATCAAATTACACAATGTTAGATTTTAATATTTCTTTCTTTTTTTTTTTAATCAAAATCTATTCTTTGAATTTCTATTTATATCAACCCTTCATTTAAAACATAAATAAAGTCATTAATAATTATAAGCGTACAAACTTACGCCCAAACATAGCCCATGTTCACATACAGTATTTTGTTCAAGAGTTTCTATAGTAGACAACAATTCTTACAAAAATATATCTAATTTCTAATATCAAATATTAGATACAATAATGATTTCTAAAGAAAATTGCAAAATCTGCATGTTGAATTATCATTTTTAAATATATATATATATTTTTTCACTTTCACAATTTAAAACATTACTAGTACTACAAAAATTATGTTTATCTTTAGGCGCCGAAAAACGCCGTATGCGCTTTCGTGTCATGACCAGCTCATACATGGACGTCGTCGTTGCTTGTATCATCGCCCACGTAATCATAGGACAATTGGTTCAATTGGATAAAATTGAAAAAAAAAAAAAAAAAAAAACAAACAAACAAACAAACCCGGGAAGAAATTGTTTTTCGACGCTAATGGGCAAAGATAATGACCGAGGTATATATCCACGTATACACTGGATATGACACAAAGGCCCATATGACAGTCACTTGCGTTTTTTCAGCATCATAAATAAAAAATAATGTCGGAAGTATATGTCATAAATTGTAAAAATAAAAAAAATATATATATTCAAAATAATAATGGGATCTAAATACAGGACATTTTTATTTTTTGCAATTTTTCCTTATTTTTATTGTAAAACCAAAACACAATACTAAAGAAAGACATGTATAAACAAAAGCTTTAATGGTGCTGAAAAATTGCCAAATATATTATAACACATAAGCTACAGACATACCATAAGAAGCAAAGGGTGGTTTGTTCAAGGAACACTACTTGCATCCTCTAACTTGGGGGATAAATGTTTCTGCATTGCTAATGTAGAGTCGCGGGTGAACCGCTTCTGCATCATTAGTACATATGGATATCCGATTGCTGATAGGATGTGGTCAGGCTTCGAAAATGAAAGTATTTCATACCAAACATTGTTCTTCTCATCCATTGTGATCGAGAAGCGTTCTTCGCCTGCCTGCATTCCATACCAACCATTCATTGGCCACACATAGCAATAGAATTTGAAACAACAACAATAATAATCAAGAATTAAAGTAGCTATAACAGTGTCTTGACTGTGCACATGATGGAATTAAAGTATTCCTAGTTTGTTCTGATATGTGAATCTTGTTAGTTCGAAGGGCTCAGTTTGGACAATACCAAATGGGGCCAAAAGAGACAGCTCATTTAAGGTTCACCTTGTTCTTAGCTATGATTGTTTTGATTTTTTACGCGACACGATCTGTCCAAGAAAACACCATATCCTTTAGGAATGGCTTCCATAATCCATACATTTTCGTGAACTATATCATCAGCAATAGATCTATGACTCTTGATTTCAGTCAATATTTATATAAGCAACCGCAGGATACAACTTTAAATGATCCACATCCATGCTACAAAATCATTGTCCAAAATTTGATTTAATAGAGTAAAGCTAAACCACAGGTATTGTATGTTTTTCGAAGGTTTGTTCTCATGATCATCTAATCTTACAGGAAACAGTAATTGCCATACAGAATTCGGAAATGGGAAGAACTAGGAGCATATTTGAAATAATATCTTTCATGTCCATTACCATATTGAAATATGAAGAGAGGGATCATAAACAGCATCATGATTGAAAATCGAAAGATAAATTACCAGGAGATGTCCTCGAAGAGTTCCACTGCCAAAACTAAACGAAGCCGCGTCAAAATTTGAGTTTCTGGATTCATCAACATATATAACCTGTAATGGCATCATGAGCCATGGGAAAATTGCCTTGCTACACACACAGATCTTCGTCCCACTCTGAATAGGAGTCTTTGGATCGACAAATGCCCAATTCAAACTAAAATGCCTGCAAAACAACAACAATCAGTTCCGAATTGCAATCAACATAATGCTATTGACTTCATGGCTTTCGCGAAACATAACCTCCAATTCTGCAGAGCACTCTTGCCTTTCTCGAAAGTGTCGAGACCTGAGCCAACTAACACACGAGCATGGTTTACAAAGAAACTACTGCCTGATAGCTTCTCTTTTAGTGTAACTACAGGTTCAGCTGTAGCACCATTATAATTACTGTGATAATTGAAGGAACCAGACCTGTTGAGGAAGCCATGAGAGGTGCAATTGTAAGCATTCAAAAATAACATAAGAAAGGTATATATAATATATAAATCAAAGAGCAGGAAAAGTTACATTGCAATGCAGGCTTTCTGTTCTTTCTGAGATGGACGAGACCAGCACAAGAAAATCATCTTTATCTGCAGTTCCTAGCACAGACATTTGTGTAGCAAAGATAAGAGCAACAACAACAAAAACGTAGGGAAGATCGAATTAGGCGAGGCTAAAAACAAATTATTTCCAATATGAACATGAGTTTAAACACTTATATCTATATAATCCTAAACCTCAGCAGCTTACTAATTGATTGTGAGCTGCGATGACATGAAAATGAATTTGCATCCATTGACAAGCAAAAAATAAAAAAATAAAAAATAAAAATAATATGTGCTTGAGTCTTCAATTGATTTAATAAGATGCATAAATCTCTGCAGAAAATAATTGCACGGAGAAAGACCAAATTGAAGAGGAAACAACCAACAAACACACATACCTTACCAAATTTGGAGAAAGTCGAAGCAGAAAGGAAGAGCTGTTGAAGACGACGATGGACTTCAATCTTGGGCCGGGCTGGTAGATAATTCGGCTATTTGAGAATATTATAATTGGGCCGGGCCACAAATTGGGCTTTCTGAGCATAGTGTATTTGCGCTTGAGTGATATATTTAATTGGGCTTTTGTTAATTTAATCGTAGTTCTATTTATAAAAATTCATTTATTTTATTTTATTTTAATTTTTCAGAAATTTTGGTTAGAACGAAGAACCAATCATCGCTTCTGCTATCTTCATAGGCCAGAAAACGCCGCCGTCGACGACGACGAAAACGCAGTACAGTGCGCCGGCCGAGTAGAGGAGCTAATGTTGACGGCGGCGGCGAGCTGCTCGGCGATATCATCTCCTTCGATTTATTTTCGTCGAGCTTCAAATCTTTCTTCTGCTACTGCTACTGTTGCTGCTTCTCATTCCCTTTGCGCTGTTTCTCTTCCCCAATTCAAGGTTTGAGTTCCTGATTTCTCTCTTTTCTCCCTTTTCTCCCTCATATTTTTCATTTTTTGTGTGGCCGTGCGTTTGAATTGCTGCCAATTGGTGGTGCTTGCAAGTTTGTAACTGATTTTTGCCGGTGGGCAGGGGAATGTGTTGATTCGAGTTAGTTGCGTGTCGGAGCGCAGTGAGCAAGCCGACCAAACCGAGGCTGAAACTGTGTCATCGCCTTCTTCGTCGGAAACGCCGTCTTCTTCTGCTACTGTTGATGGCGATGATGATTCAGGCGTTTCAGTTTACAAATGGTTAGTAGGTCTGGGAGGAATTGGGTTTTTGGAGACTGGATATTTGACTTACCTGAAGCTCGCCGACACGGACGCGTTCTGCCCGACGGGAGGGGGCTCTTGCACCTCCATCCTCACCAGTGATTACTCTAATGTCTTTGGTACTCCTCTGGCCTTAGTTGCTCTTGAAGTTGAAATTGCGTAGTAATAATGTTTGCTTTGTGCATCTGAATTTAATTTTGTAAATCTAGGGCATAAGGATTGTTGCATTTCATGCAATACCTGTTGAATGGAGAATTCTGTGCTCTGGTTGGAAATGCTGAAATCAATTGCCATTCTGTATCTTCTGTGCTTGCCTGCTGAATTAATACATGCTTTAACAATGAATGAAACCTGCTAATAGTATCTTCTTTGTGTCAATTGAATCTCTTTTGCATAATGCGTCACAAGCTCTTCTTGATATTTCTAGTTGAACATTTATGTTGGTTTTAGGGGTTTTTCTCTTGGCACATGTTTATGCATATTCACTCGGCGGTGATATTCCTGTTTGATGATCCCTATATTTGTTATTTTCTTTCTTTCCTTTTCTATTTTTCATATATCTTTTTTTGTTCTGTACTATTTTCTGGTGCAAATTAAGAAGAATCTTAACATCCATGCTTTTCACTTTAGGCATCCCTCTTCCATTGATTGGCATGCTTGTATATGGTCTAGTCACGGCTGTTGGCTTCCAATTGGGTGGTACGGAAAGGACATTTGAGACGCAGAAAACTTCTGGTGAAATTATCTTACTTGGAGTAACTAGTTCCATGGCAGTTGCTAGTGCATATTTCTTGTACATTCTGAATACTGAATTTGTTGGAGAACTGTGTATATATTGTTTGACATCAGCGATATTATCCTTCAGCTTATTCTTCATCACCCTAAAGGTTTTTCTCTCACATGATCACTATTCTTTCTTTTGAAAATGTTAAGAGATTTGTGCTATGACTAACAATCGCAGAGAATTTTTGGTTCGATTTGCAGAGGTTTAGGCTACAAGAACTACAAAGTGTATTGGGCTTGCAGCTATTCATAGCTTGTCTGGTCGTTGTTAGTTTGACTGCATCTTATAATGTTGCACAACCAGGCCCCTCAAGGTAACTAAATGCTTCAATCATATCCTTAAGTGATGGCTTTTTAAGATAAATTGAGGTGTGCTATAATAAAAGGTAGGTTTGTTTGCTTTGGCTTTTTTGTTGGCTGGTCATTTGATGGTTGCATTGGGACATTTGTATGTGAGTTTGCCTTATATAGTATGCGGGTATACTCCTAAATCAACCATATCCTTGTCACATAGAAATGTGCTCACTTTCTCCTTTTACCCGTCATCTAAAAATATTCATATTTACTATTTTAGTAAAAAAATCATATTTTTTGTATTTTTTTTATTATAAAAGCAAAAAGAAACAATAAATACACACCCATATTAAAACATACACCCAAAGGTTTGCGCACATTTTAGGTGATGGAGAGAGTATTTAAAGTTTGCTCACATTAAGCTATAGTGAAAAAAGAATAAAATAAAATAAAGTCATCCCAAGCTCTCCTTGTAAAGGTCTGTGTCACAATAAGGACTGTGGGGAAAGGATATTACTCACATAGTCTGAACAAAATACAAATGGTCATTTTTATGTTGAGGGTATTTGTGCTTTGCAGAAAAGGAATATTAATGTGAAGAAAATGTTATCATATTTTCATATTAAAATATTGACTGAGTATACAAATATATCTATTACATTAGAAGATTTATATTTACTATAATAATTTATAGTCAAATATTAATATTTAATTAAAATTTAAACTTTGAAACACTATAATAACCAATGAAAATAGAGTAATTTTGAAGATTTCTAGAATATGGACAACACAATCCATTTATACATGCTTGAGTGATTATTGCATTTCTCCTTATTACTCTATTTTCTTTTGAGTATAGATTTTAAACACTGAAATTTTTGGATGCTTCTCTAGTGATTTGTATATTTCAATTCTACTGCCTCCCTCTAAGTTTATGTTTGATTCTCTTTGCTGTCTCATTGATCATTGATATAGATGTCTGCATATAATCTAATTCTCGGGTTAGATTTGTATGTGTTCAGTAATTCATTGATGATTTAGACAATGGCCTCAAGGCACATTTATGGTATTTGAGAAAATAGCTTGATATTCCTATAGGTGGCAAGCACATAGCTGTTAGCTTTTATCTTTTATCCTTTTAACGTCTATGCTATACATCTTTATTAACTATGCTCCATGCTTTTTCAAGATCAATAAATTTTCGAAATATGTCTAAATGTTGTCTTCAGAATGCTTACATGGGCATATGGTTAATTTATAATTCTCAGATTTCTTTTTCCTTTTCCAACCTTATTGTTTTTTTCTCCATTCATTATGCCTTTTCTTATTATGGAAACTTACCAAAATTACTCTCATTATTATTTTTAGCTGAGTTATACAATACTGAGGGATGTCTGTTGTGGAATAAGATGGCAAAATTGTGTGTGAAGTTATAATTAACTAGAAAGCATTGCTGTAGTAACACAATAAATGAGCCAATCTATTTTCCAATTATTTAACCTGCGATTATTTTCTATGGTTGCTTCACATTTGTTAACCCCATGGCAATGGTTGTTTCGAACTATTCAAACCTTAAATATCTCCTTACTGTTTGTCCATGTGTCATCCCATAGATTTGTCCACAATCTGTTTTGAACTTTTGATTAGGAAATTGTCTGCAGCATATACTTCGCGAGCATCTGCACTGTTGATTTCTGTGTTAATTTCATTATCATATGTTTGATAGATTGGCAGATATTGAAATTCCATATTTTGAAACGGAGGTCCAAACAAAATCAAGTCCTTTGGCGATTTCTCTAGCTAATCATCTACGTTCAATTGGAGCCAAATTATATGGAGCTTTTTGGTGTACACATTGCCATGAACAGAAGGAGGTACTGTTAGGAAACTATGGATCTCATTTAAGTGAATAGTTAAAACTTTCAATTTTTTATGCAAGCAATATATACATACATATATATATATATAAACTAGCATTCTAACCCAACCTTCTAGAATCCAAATCCTAATCAAGATAGATTCTTACTGTGGAAATATACTTGATGCTTCAGGTACTTTTATTAAAATTAAAATTCAATCCTATATCCATGTATAATAATATTTATATATAAAAACATCCTTAAAACTTTTTACTTCTCTATATTATGGGATCATGATAGTACACCTTTGGCAGTTCTGGTTCGATGTAGATAAACCCGCAAGCAAGATGGGTATGATTGCTCATTTTTCTGTAGATTATATATTATTAGTGTATTAAACTCCATTCTCTACTAAAAAAATCAAAGATCCATAGAGTGAAATCGGTGTGTTTCTTTGATGAGTTTGTTATTAAAATAATGTATGATTGAATGATTTGTGAAAGGAGAAAATGTATTTTTTTTTTGGAAACGCAGGGTCCAAATAGTACAGATCTGGGGTTTTGAGGTAAAAGAAACAAACCCCCGATATCTTGGCGGGCAACTAGCCAATGACCTTAATATTATTGCTTGTAGTGAAAACCTCAATAGTTGAACTATGATACTTGAGTAAAGGAAGTAAATGTAACAATTCATGTGCTAACTATTTTTTTTATCAAATTTATTGGATTGTGATATTGGAAGATATTCGGACGTGAAGCTGCAAAATTATTGGACTACATAGAGTGCTTCCCTGATGGAGCAAGCAAAGAAACTAAAGTGGCTAAGGCATGTCAGGATGCTAAAATTGAAGGGTTCCCAACCTGGATTATTAATGGTCAGGTATGTATGCATGATATCTTTCTTCCATAGATGTATGAAGAATTCCTGACCTATTTTCGTGTTTTCGATAACTTTTTTTTTTTTTTTTCTGGCCTTTCAAACTCTCTCATCTATGCTATATATTATATATTCTCTGCTACCATTTTGGACCTGTCGATTATACTTAAATCTGCTGCAGGTTTTGAATGGGGAGCAGCAGTTGTCGGAGCTAGCTGCAATATCTGGATTTCAACCTGAAAAGCTTACTGAATCAAGATAAAAAATTTCGATATTGTCCACAGTTTTTGTGCCCTGCTCTGCATCTACATTATTAGTAGCTTATCTTGGTAGGCAATGCAGATGCAATATAGGTATCCCGGGGAATGGAATCTGTTATTTCCAGTAAGCATTTCCTTTTGTAGAAAGATCCAACAGGGATGGAAGATCAGTGGAAGATGATCGAGGGAGCAAGATAAAGTAACTTTGACGTCTCTAGTTAGTTTTTGCTGTTAAAACTGTATCTGTTACTCGACACTACTCTTGTATATATACACACATATATATTGAAGATGAGGATTGTGCTGATTCATTTTTCCCACCTTCCAGTAGAAACATTGAACAATTCAAAATTAAATATCAGTGAATTCTCTCTAGATCCATATATAAGCATCATAAAATGATACATCTATGGTTTAAACTCAATATATCTACATCATAGTTCATTGTTCAATAGCTCGACATTGTGCTGATATTTTGTACCATTCAACCTATTTCTTTTACGACTGTTAAATAAATAACGTTATTAGTTGATTCAACAACAATATTTTTAACCAGATTCAACACATAATTCTCTCATATTACACACATGCACATTCGTATTCATTTTACTTCAATATATTAGAAGGGCCTCAGCTACATTCCAACCAAGCGTGTGAACCAGTAATCTGTATTATTATCAGCTTTTTCAAAATTTCTACATATTAAAAATTCCTCAGACTCCATAGTAATGTCATTAAATACTTTCCCGATTGTTGCAATAACTTTACAATATACCTGTTCAGTTCCTGAGATGGCATCCCTGAATGGGAGGTTAGCTTTGACGAGAAACGATATTGGTGCGAAATCCTTACCCACGATAGTCCACTACAATGCAAATCCAAAATGACTTAGTTCCATAAGTCCCATTCAAACAACATTATTAACTTCCTATTGGCGAGAACCTACTTTATGCACTGGTAAGGCTACATTCTGTTTTTTCTTTTTTTTTTTAAGCTCGGGTTTCTTTATAGTATTTAGTTAAGTCCTCATGTAAAGTTCACCTACAGGTGTTTTACTTTAATTTTGTTCATTTCCATTCTTTGATTCACTTCTAGTTTCCACGGCTAGCTATACCAAGACTGTATAGAGAGGCGTGCAGCCGTAGATAGAATTTCTAATTTTGATCACTCTGTATGCAGAACATAGTATTAATAATGAGTCAAAACTAATGAGTCACTCATATAGTATTAATTACTTTCTAAGCTCTCAGCACGAATTCTAGTAATCTAACATAGCATGAGTGAATTATGTTAGTTTTGATGGCTAAAACATATTGGGAGACTAACATTGCCACAAGTTAAATTCAAATTGAAAATTCAGCACTATTTGGATCACAACTAAAATAATTGCTCAAATAAAACTAACTTGCAATGGACATATATTCATATATTTTGTGGCACTAGATATGCATGCATGTATGTGTACAGTAAATAAGATTATCGTATATTGATTTACCATATTGCAAACTAGACCTTGTACTCGTGTACACGCAGCCATTTTGTGGAAGACCATTTATTCCCCTTTATGACAGGGCAGCCACCTGCAAGAGAACATATCTATAAGCATGTTGGTACGATACTGCCGTGGTAAGTTGCATTTTCAGAAGTCGGTTGCAATATCTCATCAAATTCTAGTCATTGAGCTTAATAAATCTTTGGGCAATTAACTCATTAGCATATTCCCACAATCTTTTATGTACATTGTTGAAAATTATACCACAAGAATGATTACTTAACCTATTAGTGTTACCAACCTTAAATTGGGGAAGTAAAATAGATTTTGTTAGGGTGTGTTTGTTTGGGGGTTTGGATTTAATTTCCACTAATTCATTCTATTTTTTCCCCCAAAAAACATCAAATCAAACGCCTATTTTTCATTTTTTATATCATACTAAATATCATTTTTTTCATTCAAAACATCACATTAACACCTATTTATATCACATCATACAACTATTTAAATTCAAAATTTTTACTATTCAAATCTCAACTCAAAATCCAAACCCCCAAACAAACACACCCTAATTAATCCATTCGGGACGGATAATTATGTCACTATTCTTTTTTTTAATGTTTGGTAACTTATGCATCATATATAATAAACAATTTTATTCATCCACAATTTTATTACTTCAATAAATAATGATCTTTTCATATTTTCTTTAATAAATTCCTTACAATACTCGTACTTTACTTTTTTAATGTACCCTACTTTATTAATTTATTTCAATATAAATTTATTTATATAGATTAAAAATTATTAAAACTAAATCTAATAATTTGAAAATAAATCAATTTAAATTTTATTATAAATAGAATTATATACTTGTTCACATAAATTTTTAATTAAAAATATTTCACAATATATAATATAATTTTTATATATAAGTAAATATAAGCTATTGTTTATTATTACTCCCTCCGTCCCATATACCATGTCCACGTTGCCTTTTATGTCCGTCCCACATACCATGTCACTTTCCTTTTTTGGAAAATGATTACACACTTTAATTTCATTTTAAATTTTTTAATTTTTTTTAATTTTAATTAAACTAATTAGTTATCTTAATCTTAATTTATAATTATTTATATTATAGAATAATTATTTTCACTAATACATTCTTAATTATTTACTGATTACACCCCTCCTAAAATACAGTGTCTACAGTGTAGCAGACACGGTATCTGGAACGGAGAGAGTAATTTTTTAGGAATAGCAATTGAAAATTAGTGGGGATGCAAAGAGTAAAAAATAGAGTAGAGAACCACGACTAGAACCACAACTAACCGTGCAAGCTCGATGGATCCAACGATGCATCTGGGTTCATGCTCCAGAAAAGCAGTGCATCACCTCTTTTGGGTTTAATTGAAAGCCCTCTTTTTCCACATTCTGAGAGCTCATTCCACCAGGGCACAGAACTAAAGTTCCCTTTGGCAGCTGGAAATACAGTTTCTCCCCCTTCTTCAACATCTGACCTGTAATGCACAATAGAAGCCAAGCATTCAAGGAGCACATGTCAAACAAAGAAATGGGATGTTTTTTGCTTAGGTTTTTGTTTTGTTTTTTTTTTTCTTTAAAGGTCACTTACAAGTACATGAGAACAGTAGCAATGCGCTGGCCCCCATTCTGGGTATTGAATTCATCTGAAAAATAATCGTAGTGTGGCTCGTACTTTTGGCCTACTTCATAGTGGAGAACTTGAAGACCTTCACCATGCTCTGTTCGTCATAAAGGAAAGTGAAAGTATGTTCAGAATGTAAATATTACCAACACATCAAACATGAAACCCAAAAAAGGAGCAGCTATCCAGGACAATTGCTAAATTTAAAGATAATGTAAAAAACATGATACTGATATTGCCCAAAATTGGCTGTTATTACTAAATAGGACTAGCATCGCACTTTTGCTAAGGTATGACGACTGTGATCGAAAATTAAATCTTCAATGATTCACAAGAAGATAAGAAGTTTCTAAAAACATGATGTAACTTATAAGCTTCATGCTTGTAGTTGAGTTCAATCATCAAAAAGATACACATAATGTATTGTCCAATCAAGTTCCACTTTTTACTTGATCCATTGGAATCCCTAAGCAACTCTACATAGTGTCTGATCCACCAGATATGACCCCTAAATGTTTGTAAACATAAAATTTCATTTATGACTTATCAAAGATAATATATTGTTTCTGTTAAGTAATAAGTGCATACCAACAGGGAGAAAGGTAAAATCCGCAATTCTTTTCTCAATTTTCTGCACGATTGCATCACGACCTCTATCAAGAAATGTTCCAAAACTTGTACGCACTCTGCAAGAAAAAATTTCATATGACAAGTAGAAAGAAAAGTAAAAATACATAGAAAATGATTAAAAGTAAAAATACATAGAAAATGATTGACTTTCTTTCAGACTAATATACTTGCAAAACAGACACAAAAAGTAAGCCAAATCAATATTGTCCAAAGGTGGATCTTGGGACAGATCATCTAATATAAGGTCAAATATGAAATTAGGCACTTAAGGAAATTGACGGAACCAATGTTGATTTTATACATGAGTGATATGGAAGCAGCACAAATAGCACCACTGAGAAAAACTTAGATCCAAGCAGGCCACATTAGAATGAATAGTGATCTTGCATTTGTGTGTAAAGTGACATCTGTTTCTGACATTTTGGATCAAGAATTTAAATTCACCCTTATTTATTTTATTAATTATGCTGTCATAGAACTATTTCCACCACTTCCTCATAATAATTTCTATTATTTTACTTGTGGTCCTTCAAGTAAATGTCTTGTTTGAGTATGACTGGACCAGATTATGGCCACAAGACACGTGAGAAAGCTTTTGATTATTTATATGTGTCACACTATCTATGTTGGTAATCATTTTGTTATTCATACAGCGGAGCAGAATTATGAAGAAATTTCAAATAAGGATTGCTGAATATTTAATTATGGATGAGTGTCGGCATACCTGCTATCTACACTTTTCCCAGTGTCAGAATCAACAACAGTCGACTTTTCCATATGTGGCGCTGCAACACTGATAAGATATTCACACTCCTCTTTTGACTGCCATAAAGGATGGAAAGATTTCAGCAAACATAATTGATGTATAAAACCATGCTAACGACTTTCTGAAAAAAATAAAAAACAAAAATTTTCGCAGATGTTCCAAGCTTGATCGTTATCATTATTGTCTCACCATTCCCATGCATTTTTCATGATTAATAACTAATCTTGAGGTGAAAATAAGATAAAAGAATCATCCAATTGTAGCATTTTAATCAAACTCACCTGTCACAGTAATGATTCACTACAGATCAATATCTGAGCAGATAAAAACAGGTCATTTCAACAAAGGATTGATAACTAAGAAGAGATTCGAGTATCAGAAATTACCAAGAAATTATGGAAAACGGAGGCTCTAGGCTCCCATGAAACAATTTCAACCCACTTATCACTACTTTCCCCATCTCCATCACCTCTGAAACAATCAACCAACCCAAAGCACGCAAATAACAATTAAAACCCTAGCTGTAAACAAAACATTCCAGAATTCAACCCGTAGCAGGTCAGCGCGCTTACGATCGAATTAAATTGCGAGCGATGGAATTGATATCGTGGACCTCGGGAGAATCCTTGGAATTGCCGCTGGAAAAGGAGAAAATTCCGAAAGATAAAAAGATCGCAATCAGGAACGATACCATTAGAAGCGCACAAAGAAACGCCGCTTTCCGCAGCGGCGCAATCCTCCCGTAGTGGTGCCTGCTCTTCCCCGCCATAATTGATGGTAAGTCGGCAATTGTTGGACGGCGGAATCCAACAGCTCCTCCGAGTCCGGAATTTGTGAAACCCCCAAAGCGATCATTTTGGGAAGAAGTACAAATACGTACGTACGTACTCTCTCAGTAAGTCAAGTCAAATGGTTGCTGTTCTTGTCGCCAGACAAATTAATATTTTTCCGTCCGTACAGAGTCGGTGAGTTCCACTCGGGCCGGATCGGGCCGGCATTTACATCAATTACATTTTACTACCACATTTTGTACTCTTATCAATTCTAGTGTGTTTATTTTGACAAAAATTTCTTAAATTATAATTTGACTTTGTATTTTTTAAAAATTAAACCAAAAATAAACACACACACTTTTTGAATTTTTTATTTCAAATTTAATTTAAATAATATTTTAATTATAACATTTTCTTTTAAATTAAAATTTTTGTATTAAACATCGAAAAACTATACTATTTGAAATAATAACCAAACACATCAATTATCTTTAGTCTAGCTATAGGACTTTAATAAACCCAGTTTTCTCTTAAAATTTGTATAAACATAACTTATAGGTATAGAAATAAATAAATACTTTTTTTGAATTCTTTTTTCTTTAAATTTTTATTTTTTATTTAGAAAAGAAAACATTATAATTCTAAATTTTCAACGACAAAAATCTCATCAAATCTAAAAAACATCAAAAATAACATTAAACACTTTCATCCAACAAAAAAGTCTATCCGTCTTGTGAAGTTTTGTAAGGAATAACTTGGTGCAGAATAAACCCGTTTGAGCAGAATAAACCCGTTTGAGGTCATGTGTTCAGAAAAATAGTACTATTATTTTATTAATTAATAAAAGTGTGTAAAATATTTTAACGTTTTAAATAATTATATGTGTAATGATATATTTATAATTTAGGTAAAAATTAACAATATTTTTATATTATTGTATAATTATCTTTATTACAATTAAAATAAATACTTTTGAATATGACAATTTAAAATAATTTTTAAAAAAAATACTTTAAAATAGAAAAAATATATATTAAAATTTCAATAAGTGGTTGTGTAAAGAGTGTAAATATTTAGATAAAAAAAAAATATATATATATATATATATTATTGAAAGCTAATGACAAAAACACCCTCTTAACAATATTTGAGTCTACAATGGGATATGTTGACACATATACAGTAGCCGTTATTCAACAGTTACGTTGTCTTGTATGCGCTTAAAAAACTCACTGAACACATACATATGATACGATATTATAAACCCTAATTAGGGTTTCCTTTCCTTCGAGCTAAACCCGGTGCATGACGATAATCGAAGAATTACACCAAATTTGTAACATATGTACGAGATGATAGTGATCTAGCCTAGCCCTAGGCCGATGTTTTGTACGACGGGAAGACATCCGTGTAGGTGTGGCGACGTATTTGGAGAAAGTGATTGTCGTGGACTAGAGGATTCTCGCATCTTCTCGGCGGAGAAGAAGATTCGCACCACCATCCGCCGCCCCCGCCTAACTCTGTTTCCAAATCCGTTCTCACCTGCGTGTTTATCAGGTTCGTTATTATAATATTAATCATCGACTTAACATTGTGGAAAAATGTGCACCTAAATCGCGGGATAATATATATATCGATAAGATCCAGTTACCTTGTCGTCAATAGTGTTGAGAATGCCTCTCCTTCCATCACAATTTGTTTGCCTGAAATATATGATATTCAAATCAAACAGTTTCAGAAATATTTATTTTGAAAAAAATTAGTAACGTAAAATAATCTTACTGGTGATTGGTGCGAAGGAGGGAATGCTCAAGGAACTGCAGCGACGGCGAGGTGGATCTCAGGCGACGGGGCTTCGGGCACACCGGAGGATTTGCATCCACATTCTCCGATTTCACGCTATTCTTCACATCCAGGTGATGCATTTTGTTTTCGATTTCCAATCAAATTAATTAATATAACAAACACACAAAATAGAAAAAGCCCTAACTCGCCTCGCAGCCGGTTGCCTACGATAGATCGGAGCTTCTTCCTTTATTTGTTTTGCATAGCCATATTATTATATGCACAGTGCACTGTATGTAGGTATGTATATTGTAGTGTATGAAAATATCATGAGAATGACAATAGCAGAGAGGCAGGCAGAAGAGTGAGAGATAGATAGATCGATGAATGGGAAGATTAAATTAAAAAAAAAAAGTTAATGAGAGGATGAAGAGGGAGAAATGAGATCAGTTGTGGAGTGAGCTTAGTCAGTCTCTCCTAATTTCTCTCTGTTTCTTATCTTTCCTACATTTCATTTGTGCCATGAGATCTCATCACGTTTTGGGTTAATTAATCTTTTATTTTTTTATTTTTATTATATATATATTGCTATATACACACTGAAATTTAGACATAAAATGAGCTAATTTAATTGTATGGTGAAATGAATTCATTTGATACAGTGAGTGTTCATTGTATTGCAATCAATGTGATTTGGTAGTATTAGAAATTTTGTAAGTTTTATTTATTTATTTATTACAGTGCCAGCATTTTTTATTTTAACTTATGACACACGTGATTCAGCTAATATAACCAAAAAAAAAAAAAAAAACTATTTTTTTATTTTCAGCAAAATTATATTTTCTTTTATGTCAGTTCGACCTGATGGTTAGGAAGTGAATTTGTGATCGTGAGGTATAAGTTCAAACACCGACGTCTCCAAATCTACCTGTCAGATATGGTTTGTGTAACTTATCCGATATTAAATTCGGGCGGAGATTTATCTAGTATACATTTTTGGATAGTGGCTACAGCTTCCAATGTTACCAAAAATAAATAAATCTCAACCCAATTTTCAACAAAGTTCATATTTAGTTCAACAAGAAACTCTTCAACGTCTCACATTGTTCAATACATTTTATACATAATTTCAAGTGTAAATAAAACACTAACTTCGAAAATAGAAACAACAATTAAGTAATGAACATATGTAATGCAGGTCTAGTACATATGCCAAATTGCTACATTTTACCTTAGAAGCCATTTAAAGTACTACGTTTCACATTTTTTATACCGAAACCTTTTATAACAAAACAATGCGCAACGAGCATAACCTACGCTACAATGAGCGCAAAAAGGTTCGAATTTTAACCAATAGAGCACGGGTCCTTACTAACACAAACAAAACGACCATAGGATCAATCCATATCGACAACAACAACACTCAATCAGGACACATAATAAAGTACCAACATGGGAACACCAGCACAAGTCAAAATTTCATTTTATACAACAGACACAACATAGAGCTCAAGCTGGTGTTCGAATTTACATACATACAAGGTTACATCACAAAGGGAACACAAAAATGTACTCTACGACCGAGGGAGAGGGGGGGGGGGATGTGGTGGGGTCGTCAATCAAATAAAGGAAGTCCTACGACTTACATGGAACCGGCATTTCGTGTAGTGTTCAGCAAAACAAGTATCAGAGGTCCCGTCTACACAATGGGCACGAACCGTGTCTCACCAGCCAAGTGTCGATGCAAGGTAGGTGAAACATGTGGTCGCAATGTGGCAAACGTCGCACAGTTTCCCCCAGCTGAAAGTCCTGAGTGTTGAAAAAAGTACGGATTCATTAAACCAGTTCGAAGAATCGGTGAAAGATCAGACAAGGGATTGGGGGGGGGGGGGGGGAGAGCACCTGAAGGCAAACAGAACAAGAGACACCCTCGCCGGAAGTATCAAAGCTGTCATCTCCAGTGATTGTGAATTTCGGGATCTTTTCGACAGTGTCGACCAACAAACCTTTTGCCCCGCCTGTATCAAAAAGGTTGGGGATTTCTTCAAACGGTGCTTCAACAGCTCCCATCTGATCAGTAAAAGGAAATTATCCGAGTCAATGAAACTGATTCGAGTATTGGTAAAAATATAAATGGAAGGCAATCGAGCAGACTCATACCTGACTTTGCACTGCACTAAGCATTGCTGGACCAATACGTTCACGAACTAGTCTGCCGCTTAGAAGGCTGGCTATGACATCGATCTAGACACCAGTAGATTAGAAGTCATAATTTAGCGATAAGGACACCCATTCGACCAGTCAGAATTAGAATTTTTTCAGCAGTTAATTAAAAGGAAATAGCCATCTAGCAATCATGACAGGGCTCGTTTACTTTGATGTACTCTTCGATATTACATTATAAAATACAACATCAATATTAAAAAGTACCGCAAAGTAAACATTGTCATAGTGTTGAGTGGTAGGATCGTTTGAAAATCAAAAACAAAAAAAAATTGAAATATTGAATCCACATGTTTAACATGAAGGATTCGGGCTTTGATTAAAAATAGGCCATTGTATAATAACTAAGCTAATTTATGTAACAAAATAGTCATCTGGAATTATAATCGCATCATTAAACATGCACTAAGAGAACGAATATTATAACAGAATCTGCCACATAATATACAAGTGTGGAAATCTATATACACATAATTTATGAGTTTCTTAGGCCATTTAAGTATGTGGTGAAAATATATCACTCGAAGGATATTAATGGAATAGAATAAACCTAATGACATGAATCAAAATCATATTATTCATAATATCATAAACACCCAATACTGGTGAAGTAAAACTCTGTAGATATCATGTTCAGAGCCACTATTGATTCGTTACACTAGTATGTTTATTTAATGCATAAGATTGATCTATTGATTTACTCAATATTATGATATTTTACATTCATTATAACATTTAATTTTAGTAGATGATAAGTATAATTAAAAATAGATAATCCAATATAATTCCATACTCGTATCCTATCATTTATGATCAACCAAGAGGAATCAGTAGAAATCTTGGCAAAGAGTTGAAGATGGATAAAACAGGCTTTGTTATGCCCAATATGATTTAAAGATCCATCGGTTAATTGAACCATCCAGTGCCACAGTCTGCAGAGCCCGGTGACAGTTGGACAAGCTACAATAATCCTAGATTGAGTCGTATAATTATATTAACCAATTTTAGTGAATTCCTTACAGATTGTGATCGGCAGCCACAGATGGAATGCAAAAGGTCCAAAATATGTTTCCTATTCGATGTTTTGATTTAAAAGTGCCGTGTGTAGGTTGTGCACCTGATAAATCCAATTACAAACGAAACTACAAATACCGAACTAACACAGCACAAATGCAACTATTAAAGGAATAAGTATGTGTAATTTCTCACCAGATAGAGAAGACAACCCAGCCCAGATTCATCAGATTGCCATAACAGCAGCGAGGATTCGAAGACTTCAATAGAGAAAACAGCTCCGGAAATAGCCCCAACAGAAGCTCCTCTAATAAACCCACTTTCAGTCTCTTGGCCAATCAGTGCTCCTGTCATTGCTCCTAACAATGTACCTACTGCAAACACAAACCAAAGTTCCTTCATCAACATGAAAAAAAAAAAAAAAAAACTACTAAGAATTGCATTTGCTCACCCAAACAATTCTCCAAATCAACCAAACCATTCAAATACAAAATTCAGCACAAATACACGCGGAGAAGATAAACAACCCCAAATTGAAGGAAATTTTCAAACCTAGTTCACAAACTTAAGATTCATTACCTAACCCCCAGCCAAAGAGATCCAAAAATGGCCAATTCAAAAACTACCAATGCCAAACAAGGTTTACGGATTACGAGACAGCAAAAAAATCAGCCCAACTATCATCGGAAAACCAACAGAGGAAGAACACATTCATAGATCGCACAGACGAACAACAACATCGGATCAAAAACAGCAACCATCATGCACACGAACTCAATTACAACAAACAAGGCGAGAGAGATCAAAGCATACCCAAGGCGAAGAAAAATGTGAAGATTGCGGAGAAAACATTCCCAATTACAGCGGAAACAGCGCATCGGACGAATTCTTTGATCCTACAAGGTAGAGGGCGATAAGATCCGGGTGATGGGGATGTAGATGAGGCGGGGAAAGGACGGGATGGGTAGGCGTAGAAGGCCATGGATATGGAATCATCAACAACAGTGGATTCTTCTCATTGGCAGATTGGCGATGCGGAAGGAAGGAATCTCTACTTTTGGGAATCGAGGGGTTGGTTTGTTGTTAGGTTTTATTTCCCCAATAACTGTATCTATATATATAAATATACAGTATAAATTCTCAAGAATTTTATATACATTTAAATACTACTCCGAATTTTTTTGATTTTATTTATTTCTTTTCTCCTATTGAAATATTAGCGTTTTTTATTTTTTATCTGTCTAAAAATAAATTATTATTTCATAATTTAATAATGGTACCATTTAAAAAAAAAAAAAACATCATTATATTCTTGTATTTTTAAAATAAATATAAAAAAATATAAAAATTAAATATTCTCAATAAAACTATTTATACACAAACTTTAATTAAATAATCAAAATAATAAAATGTGCCATACTATGAGTATGTTTCTTTTGACTTAAATCTCAATTTTTATTAATTGAAGTTTATATTTTTTTTTAAAATTTATTTTTCTCACGAAATATTCAATTATAGAATTTTAATATTAAATTCAAATTAATTTTTTTTTTAAATCATAAAAACATATATATACGTGTGGTTCTTCACAATTTTCAAAAAGATTCAAACATTCATATTTAAATAAAGCTTGTATTTTCAACTCTTATATTAGCATATATAATTATTTTTAAGTCAAATGTAACTTTAAATGAAGTTTAATTTTTATTATTTGTGTCTCTAATAATCGAAATGTTCGATTTTTTTTTTTTTTATAGTTGACATTCTTTTAAAATAATTAAAGTATTTTGATAACATTAAATTGGTTTGGATGGATCCATGTTAGGTTTCACATCAAATTAAGTGAAATTTTTGCTCCGGAATGCTAAATTTTGACTTGACTAACATAATTTAAAGCTGAATTTAATTGAGATATAAATAGTTAGTATTTATATATATATATATATATATATAAATAGTTATAATCCCTCAGTCTCGTAACGATAACTATGTATCTATTATTTTTTTCAAAAAAAATTTAAAAATATTAGTATTATATTAGAATATAGTAAAAATAAAATAGAAATGATTAAAATAATCTTATTAGTATTGTGTGATATAAATATAATAACATTTGTGTAATATATTGTAAGTTGTAAAGATATTTGTAACGTTAGGTAGATAATACAATTACTTAAAAAAATAAATAGATATTAGACGGACTAAAATAAAAAAATAGATATTTTATTATGGGACGGAGGGAGTATTTAATATTTATTTTTTATAGAAAATATTATATTTAATAATTATCTTTTACATAAGTTTTTTATAAAAAATAAAAATAAAATAAAATAAAATCATAACACGCAATATAAATAGTATATAATATTTACTATACAGGCGCATATGAGGCATCCGTTATAAATGAAATGGTTGAAATGTGTGTGGCGTGATGTTTATCCAGTAATTTATGACATTTGTTGAGCATAAAATTACTGGAATTTAATGAAGTATTTTACAACTTCGGGCGTTGATTTAGACAGTTTTTGAAGATTAAATGGAGATTAAAGTGGTTTTTACAAAATTAATGCAATTTTTGGTTTGATTTTAATATTAAAAAAAAATTCCTCGGAGAATATCAAATCAAAACACATCATTTTCATTTATTATATTATACTAAAATTTAAATTATACATTAAAAATATCTTATCAATATATATTTATATCACATCAAATAACTATTTCAAATTAAAATTTTATTATTAAAAAATTATTTAAAACCAAAACCCGCAACTAAACATGAAATCATAATAATGGATTTAATTTTTGCAATTTCAAACTAAAATACAGTTATTCACTTTTTCCCTTTAGAATTTTTAATAATAATATATTATTTTTTTTTACAAAATATAATATTAAAATACTATTTAAATAAAATATCATATGAAAATATTCCTTATCCCACATAAATTTATTTTGAATTTTCATTTCCACGTAATGTCTTTTTTTAATTAATAATTATATACTTTAATTACATTTTAAAATTTATAATTTATAATTATTTAAAATTTATTAAAATTATTTAATTATTTTAATCTTTATTTATAATTATTTACATTATATATAATTATTATTTTTATTAAAATAAAAATATATTCTCAAAAAATACAAAAAAAATTGATAAATAAAATAAAATAAAATTAAACAAATGTAATAATAACAAAATAACAGTAGAATAATTATTTGTTATTATTATAACTAGATTAACATAAATTTAACATACAGACCTTTCTTTCAAAAAGCTTGAACAATCTGCTATATACTCCCTCCGTCTAGATAACATTGAATTTAGCTAAATAATTTAATTAAAATTTAAAAAAACTAAATTTTAAAATTTAAAATATAATTAAAGTATATAATCAATTTTTCAAAAAAAGAAATGAAAAATTATATGAGACGGACGAAAATAAAAAATTGAAACAAATTATGTGAAACGAAAGGACTACTATATTTCAAATTTTAATATTCTGACTAACCAACAATAAATAGAACATCTAAACAATGCACAAACAAGCACAAGTAAATCCATGAAAGATAAATAGGAAACAAGAGTGACATAATCACCTCATATATGAAAAAATAGACCTGAAGAAGCTCAATCCACATGATCTTCAGTGTCATAAAAAAAGCAACCCTGCATATTATTCTGTCGATATCATATAAATATATATATATATATATGTTCTCCTTCCCTCTTCAACAAGAAGTTCGGTAGTCTAATGTCTCGAGGGAAATCATGCCAATAAATAATAACCAACATATACGGTTGGGATAATATATTCAGCCCAAGCTGCTGCTAGGTCTTTCTGCAATTTTTCTCAAAAGGAAAACATCCCAAAAGTTGGGGGTGCAGGGTGCAGGGTGGGGGCGCAGAGTTTGAAAAGCTTTTTCATATGGAAGAATCCAGTGTAGAGGCAGAGTAATCAGAGATTGTGCCAATGGTGTCATTTTCGCCCAGACGACGTAGATGCATGCCTCTATGTGGCTGCATTTTCATTGAGCGAAATACTGCCGACTTTTGATGCAAGGACATCCTGGCTAGGTTCATGAATCAAATGTGCGGGTTGAGTCGGTGGCATTATCCATTTAATCCAATCATTTCTGCGCCTCACTTTATCACCCTACAATGATACAAAGATGTAATAATATCAGACAAGCTACCCGAAACAAAAAGGTGGGTAAGTAAATAAATACATACGGCAATGGAAACTGAAAATTAAACATATTTAAATATTTAAGGGACTAAACAAATGGTTTGCCAAGATAGTGACTATCCGGCAGATTCTTGCCTTTCTAAAGCGATAAAATTATAAACACCATTCTTGACAATAAACTCCATGATAAAGATACTCAACAGAAAAACTAATTCAAACACAAGTCACCTGTACTTGCACGACATTTGAAGCTTGAATAGCATCCAGTATAATCTGGATGTTATCCGTCAGCTGCATGACCTGTAAAGACGGGAAAGACAAAATTCTTCACAGAAGGTGCTTAAAAGAACTGTGTTAAAAAGAACGAAAACCATATTGATTCTATAAATGCTCAACCCAGTTATTTACATGTAAAATGTCAAATTTTCATAGAGAGAAAAACAAGAAGCCAAGGCTTAAATGAAGCAAAATCCAAACAAAGAAATTGAATCCGATTATGGATATTATAACCTAAACATTAATTGCATTGTAAAATAAAAGGGGAGCATTCTGTGATAGTTCAGTCCTAAAAGATGCACCAAAGAAACGAGTTGCTAAAACTTTGGGCCCTTTTCTGAGGATTCTACAGTCCAATTGAAAATAGCTTTTGCATCAGAAATGTTTGAAATTATTGAATTTCATGCTCGAAGTACATGTGCTTTAATCAGAACTCTCATGCATTACATAAGCCTCTTCCAATAATTGGCAACACAAACACCAACACTGAAAATAACCACTTATGTGCCTTCTTTGACAATATATTGTATTGCCAGAAAAGTGATCATTTTTCATTTAGATGATTGTAATCTCCATCACTCAATAATTAAAACGAAGAGGAGCTATATGTTAATTCTGCAATTTAACAAATTTCTAGGAGGAACCTCTCCTGTATGCTCCTTCCAAAACTATCATAAAGGAAAACACATAAGTGCTCCATTCATTAGTTTAAGTCAAAGAAGTAAAGCCTCACTTAAACAACATTATCTGCACACAGTTACCAAAGGTTCGTAGATCAGTATCCACTTCAATAGGGCCTAATATGACGAGAACAGATAAACTATTAAGTGCATAGATTCTCTATCAGCTAGCACAAAAAAACAATAACCAATAGATAACATGGGTATTGCAGATTGGTGCTTCCAGAAATCTTTTTCCCAGATGGCTACTCAATTCTACAAAACAGATACGATCACACTTCAAGTCTCCTTAAGGAATCCTAGATGGTATGCTATAATAATGTTTCTAGTAATACAAATTATTTTAGAAAATACACATGAATTAAATATTTTTAACATATAAACTTGGAATATGTGTGTTTGTATATCTTGACAATTTGATACTAGACTTATTAAAAAAAAAAAAAAAAGTGAAATTCTAAACTTATTTAGGACATTTATTTACACTATAAAGATGTACATTCTATCCTAATGGAAGTAGAGAATTTCCAGTTTTTCCAAAGAAATTAGTAAATAGTAGTATAAAACTATTCACATTTAATCCACTTACAAATGTTGTAATCTTATTCTACAATGAATACAAGTTATTCAATTTGATCCAAAAGCAAGATCCATAACATGATCTTTCGGTTTAAATTTTTCCTAAAAAAAGTTATTTCAAATATCCAGTTCATCTTTAGACTCTTATGGGGGGGAAGAACCAAGAAGAGCTATGACACTGTACCACACAATTCAACTGCAAAAGAAAATATATAGAATACAACACTGCTAGTTGACGCACACCAATGAGCAGCACAGTATACTTGCCCATGTAAGTAAGAGACTTCAAGGCACTGCTGCACTCCAGGAACTGAGATTTTGGCCCTGTAGTGCTGTCATCCCTAGGTAAACAAATCTAGATATGCCTATAACAGGCTCTGGTGTGCACAGGTGTATAACCTCTCCATTTGCACACTTATTGAATGTGCAAACAAAGTAGCAGGCTAACCATAGTTGCACACTGCCATCCATCTACAAGCATTGCAACCATTTGTGGTTATATCGTTGTGTGCACTATTTTATCCATACAACCATGGGTTTTTAAACATGTTAAATTTACTATTGTTCCACACTAGTGGTCATAATTTCTTTGACAAATTACTATATCAAGTCGTCTTTTACAGATGACTTTTTTCTTTCTTCAGACATTTTGGATTTATCCTACAAAATGAATTCTTTAGATTATCTTTATTTCATGTATTATGAATATGTTCCATATCTAAACATTATTCATAGAAAATATGCAAAGTCCCTAAAATAAGCATAAGAAATTATTAATAATCTTCACAAAAATTAATTATAAATGAATTCCTTGTAATGCACAGCAAACATAATGACTGTCACAAATACAAGTAATAAATCTAGCCTCGGATGGCATAGCTAAAATTAGAGATGAAGATCAACAACAAATTAAAGAAAGCAGAGAAGTAAAAAATAAAATAACTAGAAGCAGAGGATAATGTAGTATAAAAAATTAATGGAACGAATTCACACACAGTTAAGCAATTGTTAAAATGCAAAATAGAATTAGAATTTAGAAGGGGGAAAACACAAGTGATTTCTACCCTCTGGTTTATTTTGAAAGAATGCAGAAGGGCAATTGCAAGCACAGAATAGAAGGCAGACCAATCTGCACCATTTAAGCTTTTGGTCAAAGACTCAAAGGAGCTCAAGACAAAAATCATAGTGTTCTTTAGTGAAGCCAGCAGTTTACCATAAAAATGGCGCTATAACAGTATTCTACAGCATTGGCAAGTGCCATAAACAACTATATACCATGCTGCAAATCCTGCTGCACTTAAATTGCTGAATAATTTTATTAATGACTTCCATTCTAAACTAAACATCATGGGTAAGGACTTACTCTTACCACAAATAGCACACTTTACAATATCCTTTATTTCTATAAGCTAGTCATTTTCAGATCCTTTAGGAGGTCCTAATTATATATCCTATGCACATGCTACTACTGTTGTCAAAATCGTGGGAAATTCGATAACTAACTCTTAGACCAGCCAAAACTGCTAAGCTTAAGTTGCAAGTGTTTCATCTATAAAAGCTTAAAAAAATACTTGGTACAACACACTCTTACACTACACTTTATTTCTAGTATAACTTCTTTAAAAATTTCTAAAATCCAAACAACTGGTGATGATCATGCTTTTCTATTTATTTTAACATGTCCGAATTTAACACAATCTCAAGTCTCCCACATTCAATTTAAGGTTTAGATAGCATAATTAATGCTGTAGATTATGTTAAGTACTAAAATCCTTTTAATATAATTAGTGTTTGATTTTCTAATCCTTTCTATATCCATACCTTACTTAACCAACAAAAAGATGAATCATTTAGACCTTAACCCAAACTATAATAAATCAAGGATCAGCTAATGGATCAAAGTTTAAAGTACTTATTAAGTGACCCCCCAGTTATAAGTTTGAGCCAGCTTACTTTCTTGAAACCTGCTATTAAATTAATAGAAACCCATCCCTCATTGTCCATGTTCTGGCGCAAGAACGTGTCTTTTACCAAGTTCTCATTACTGCAAGGAATAAATGTCAGCCAATCAGCAGGGCACAGCCAACAAGTTAAATTATTCAAATGATTCCATAAAAAATTAAAAAAAAAAAAAAAGAGAGGAAAGGACAATACCTAAAGTAGTAATCTATTTGATTCACTATCTTGGTAGCCAAGTTGGGATCGGGCATGGGAAGATATACTGGTGAAATTGGAACCATAGGCATGGGTCTAACTGAATCTGGAAGAGGCCCAGGGACATAATATACAGGTGTTGGCATTTCTGCAAGCAGCACCAAATCGTCAGCAGAAAGTATATGCATAAATATTAAAGAACGACTCCAGTTCAGACATCTTACCAGTGTAGACCATCGTAGGAAAGGGCAGTACCAGAGGAGGAATAAAAGGTGCATTTGGAGCTGATCCACGTAAGAAGGGCCTTGAACCAGCCCCCCTCTGATGGGATGCCTGACCGTCTCGGCCACCAAAATTTCTCTGTGAAGCACCCCAGTCCTGCTTTCCACGATCCTGATCACGTCTGCCACCATTGCTGTGATGATAAGAATTGTCCCCTCGAGAAAATGACCCACTATTATTCCTTCTAAAAGATCCACGATGCTGCTGCTGCTGCTGTTCATTTCCGCCATGAGATCCACCTTTCGAACCACCATCCCTTTGGATGCTATCCCTTGCAGGCTCTCCCCCAGAACCACCAGATTTTCCAGTATGCAAAGGTGGCGCCTCGGCCACAGCACCTGCAGTAGGTGCTTGAGATAAGCTACCATTCGCGGCAATGGTGTTGTGGCTTAAACTGCTACCACCACGCTGCTTCATCGACTTCTGTCGAGTAGGGGTTGCCGGATTTGAACTTGAATGTGGGCTAGATATGCCAACATTAACTTTTTTCGGTGACGACAAAGAACCTACTGCCACATCCTATTAATACACATAAGCAGCAATATGATGGGTTAAAAATCATTCACAATATCCATCATAATAACTACAACCATAATGCATCAACAGAACAAGCCCAAATATCTATATCTATATATATATATATACATAGAATAAAAAAATTAAAAAGACTGAAAACCTGCGAAACAGTGATTGGTCCATGGGAAGGAGCTTTGACAGAATATATAGGAGATGATTTGGGGGAAGCACGAGCAGATTCTGAGAGAGCAGGCCAAGATTCTGCACCCATCACTGCACCCACCTCCGCAGTAGGGCCATTGGACGGCTTGTTCCAAGCTCTCTTGGCTGCACCGCTATTATCATTGTTGTCCACCAGAGCATCTGCGCCGGCCGGGACAGGAGAGCCATCCTCGCCCAAATAACTAGAGTCGGCCGTCACTGTGTCGGCTTCCTTGGACTGGGAAGATTCAAAAGAGGCAGTAGAAGAAGAAGTAACAAACTGCTCCGGATCAGCAGTTTCCGATAAAGAAAGAGGAGGAGGAGATAAGCTTTCGGATGGGGGCGGATTTCCACGCGCAGCCAAAGGCCGCCGCGTCTGGCGACTCCGTGGAGAATTCTGAGCTTGAACAGGGGATGTTGACGAGTTCGACGCCGCAGCCATAAAAAATTTCCGGGCAATTGCTCTCCCAATCAACAAGCCTTTACGATTCTTACAAACAGCTCAAGCGCACAGCGTCAGACCAACTCCCCCGCAACGACACTCGGCCGATTCCAAAAATTAGGGTTTTCTCAATTCCCAAAAATGGATAGGGGTTTCAATTGCTCGCTCAAATCAAACCACTTTTTCAAAGATCAAAGCACTGAGCAATGATTCTCCAAAATCCGACCCCAAATCACCCAGGTCGATTCCAGCGACCGACCAAGTAATCCCAAAAAATAGCAAGATTAAAGGTTAAACAAAAAACAGGAAAGAAGAACAAAATAAAACAGAAAAAATAAAAATCAATCGAATCGAATCGAATCGATTTCCAACTTTCCAAAAATGCGATCAGAATCCGATCGAGAGACGGAAATGGAGGATGGCGGAGCGTTCCTCCTGGCGTTCCTTCTTCTCTCCTCTTTGGGCTTCTACAGAGAGAAAAAAGAAACCCTCTCTCTCTCTCTCTCTCTCTCACACACACACACACTCTCTCTCTCTCTCTCAACTAGGTATCTTTCTGATGCTTTGCTTAGCAATAGAGATTACCCATTTTCTACTTTCATTATTTTTATTATTTTTTTATTATTATTTTTTATTTATTTACTGCAGATAATTAATTACTGCAGATAATTAAAAACGAGCCGTCTTCTTTCTTTCCCATACGCATCTGTAATAAATTACTACTAATTAATTGCATAAGCGTTTGTTTATGCTACTTACATCATATTAAGGGTGCATTTAGTTACAAGTTTTAAGTTGAAAGTTACAGTTAAAAAAATAATTTATTAACTAATATTTAATTTATTATAATATATGTAACTAAATTAAATTTAAATATGTATTAAAAATTACTCTCTTCGTGCCACATACCAGGTGCACGTTGTCGTTTCTCTCCATCCCACACACATCTTAACCTCATTTTAAACTTTTTAATTTATTTATTTTTTAATTTTAATTAAACTAATTAATTATCTTAATCTTAATTTATAATTATTTATATTATAAATTAATTATTTTCACAAATATATTTTTGTTTATGTATTGATTATACCCCTCTTAAAATACTAATATGTTAATCAAAATAGAAATAAACCAAACACACCTTAAATTCTTATTGGTTTGCCAATAAGATAAATATATTTCATTTCCTTTAGTCGAATCAAAATATATTTATTTTTAGCAAATTAATCTTCTTATATATTATAAATATTCTCAAATTTATACTCAATAAACATAAAAAATAATTAAATAATAATAAACACAAAAATACAATCAACTACTATTTATATATTACTTCTTGAATTCTTTATGTCTGTATACAAATACTAATAAATAACAGTTTTTCAATGTAAAAATAGAGTAAAAAAAAAAAACAAACAAACAAACACACTGAAGATAATATAAAAATTTTGGTAATAAGAAAATTTAATTAAAGATTTAATGAAAAAAAAAAAAAAAAAGTTGATCATGAAACATTGTTTCTTATTGGTGAAAGTGTAAGATAATAAAATTATGAACATATAAATTTGTCTATTGTAATGAGTTATATATAAGTTTAATTGACAATAAAAAAATATTATATTTGTAATTTTAAATTAAAATTAATATCGTATTTATCCTATAGAATTTTAAATAAAAATACATTATTTTTTTAAAAATAATATCATATCAAAATATTATTTAAATAAAATATTAAATAATCTAACCATTAATTTCAAATTATAACCAAACTAATATATATTGATCCATTGTTAGTTTATTATATAATTTTTAATTTTTGACAGATAAAAATAATTAGACTATTTAGTGTTGTTTGGTCATTTAGATTTTTATTTAAAATAATTTATTGAAGCGAACAAACTAATTTTTTATTTTTTATTTTTAAAAAAATAATTGATAAATCTGCAGCCCTTCATATGGCTAATTAAATCTTCTTCTTTTTTTTTTTTTTTTTATTTTTTTTACAATAAAATTAGTATAGTTACATCCTATTTATTGTAAATAAATATTAAATTAATGATAATATTAATATTTAAATAGGAGTATTAGATTTGTTTATTTTATTAAAATTAATAATTGAGTAAATTTATAAGTCTAAGTAAAAAAAAATAAAAATTAATTTAAGGAATGAAGAAAGTATTTGTAACCGTATAATTTTATTACTAGCCAATATATATACTAGTAATATATAATATGGTTTGTTTGATTACAATAAAAGTATAATATATTTTTTTTAAAATATAATATCAAAATATTATTTAAATAAAAAATTTAAATCCACGTCCATTACAAATTACAATAAAATAAATCTATATTTATCATATAAATTTTATATTAAAAATAAACAAAATATAAATATAAATATTTCAAATTATAAAAAAAGTAAAATAATAGATTAAAAAATACATTCTAAAAATTGTGTTTTTTTGTTTATGTTTTAAACTTAAATCAATATTATTCTCTTTTATAATTTTTGATAAAAAAAAATAATAATTGAGTGTATTACCTGCAAGATTTTGACTGTGTTTGTTTGGGGTTTGGATTTTGAGTTGGATTTGAATAATAAAAATTTTGAATTTAAATAATTGTATGATTTAATATAAATAAGTGTTGATGTGATGTTTTTGAATGTAAAATTGATTTTTAATATGATATAAAAAATAAAAAATAGATGTTTGATTTGATATTTTTGGGAAAAAAATTAGATGAATAGTGTACTTTGGGTAAAATTCCCCAAACAAACACACCTATTCTCAATTTTTTTCTTTGAAAAATCAAATTAGACAAATTTTTTTCCAATGAAAATGCATAGGAATAGGATGAGCAAACCGAACACATCATTGGATTCCCAACGAGTAAGTGTCATTTTTCAAGACATTTGCTACCAATAAATTCTCTAGGAAAATTTGTATTTTCAAGTCTTAAATTTCGTAATTAGTGTTTGTATAGAACTTATTGAATTTTATTTTATTTTATTTTTGCATAATTGGTCATCAACATGAAGATGGGCATGTGACATCTATTTGGTACGTCAAAGCATAGCGTATCTGTAAAAAATATATATATTTATGTGTCCGGTGGATGATGTCTATTTGGCGAATATGTGTTTTTCGGCATGCCAGACAGATGTTATATGCATATCTTCGATGTGCAGAAAGAAAAATTAACTTATGAAATAATTTTTATAAAGACTTAGTTATTGAACTAAAACAACAAGAAAGCCACGGAGTTAAAAATATAATTTTTCCTAAAAAAATGAGATTCTCTTTTTTGTAATTTTATTTTATTTTTACATTAAAAAATTTTAAAGTTAATTATTTATTATATTATTTTTTTTACAAAACATTTGATAATAATTTAATAAAATGAAGGGTGTTGTCTTTGGATTGTATTATGAAATAGTATTTGATTGAGTATTGGATTTAAATAATACTCTCTCCGTCCAGCTACAAAGTATACATATTTCTATTTGGGGACATCCAATTACAAAGTAAACATTTCATTAAATACCGCACTTTTTTTTTCACAAATACTCTTACTTTACATCACATCATTATTTTTATACAAAAAAGCAAGGGCACAAATGTCATTACGTTACTTTTACCTACCCACTATAATTAAAATACTATTATTTCTTAAATTCTGCGCCAAAAATAAATGTATACTTTATCCGTGGACGGAGGGAGTAGTATTTGGTTTCATTATATAGAATTCAAATAATAGTAAAATTTAGGAGATAAAGTTTTTAAAAAATGTCCTAATTGTTTATAATTTTCAGTATTTTTACGGGAAGATATAAATAATTATGAAATAATATTTTATGTGAATTTTTAGATTTCTATTGTTATAGGTACGGATTCTATTTTTTTGGAATCATATACATAAAACAATTTGGGTATGGTCCTGAATATTGTATTCAGTATCATCCTAAAAATATATCAGTCGTTGGATCAAAATCTTAATCAGCGGATAATACTGTAGTTAGGGGTAGATATGCAATTTAATTTTAATAATTAATAAGTCAATACTTTATTTTAACATAAATTAAGGGAATATAAATACAGATAAATGCAAGTCGTATTCATAATTTTAGTCGGTTCACATAAAAAAAAAAAAAAAAAGATAACTACATCTTTCACTGACATCCATCCAAGAAAATAAATTGTGAAGAAATTGGAGCGTGAAACAAGATGAAACAAAATGATGTGCATTTTGGTCTGTTCTAGTGTGTTGTAGACGAAAATAACGCTTTAGAATTTACGGAATGGGGTAAGTTTTTTTATCGATCGAGAAAGTAAACGAATTTTTATTACATCATATACCTATCTTCTATACATCATATTCTAAATAAATATGCATCATAGTCGTATCAGTCAATCAACGTATCAATAGTTGCACACGAGAATTATTTAATCAATGACGGGAACAATAGAAGACTTGCATACTTCCATTAGTTCAATTAGATACATTAAATTTATCATAATTATCGAATCCAATATTTGTGCGAATGATATATAGCCTGAAATTAAAAAGAAATTGTTTACATTATTTTCTTAAGACGATTTTAAAAGTTATTATATTTTTGTAGAATTTATGTAAGTACTCACTTAAAAATTTTAATTCTCTAATATAATTTAATTGGTTGCTCTATGAAATTATATTTGAAACCAATAAGATAAACAATATATTTTATCCAAATTTTAAAGTGTTAGAATTAAAATAATTTGCCCTTAAATTTATAATCAACTTCTACAAATATGAAAAGTTGAAACCGTCTCCAAATTTAATCATAGTTATTATTTTTTTATTATTTAAATGTCTAAAAAACATATAAAATATTTATCCAATCATATACTACATAAAAAAAATAAAAGCAAGTAATTTAGTTACTCAATATTCGCGCAAAAGCGACATCATAATACTATATTCCGTAAACAATATTACATTAAAATAAACAGCATACTTTATAACAATATATATCATTTTGACTCTTCACGTGACGACTATTGGACAAATGCATCTTTTTCAAGCTCCAATGTACAAGTCATATTGTAGATATGCGCATAGACAAATATTTGGCGTGCAAAAACAAATACAAAAAGGCAAAAAGTGATCATCAAATATACAATACATTCATTATTGCCGCAATAAAATTTACCCCAATAATAAACGAATATGTTCAGAAGATGTTGTCACTCAATTATACATATAAATATAATGGTGAAAAATATATATATATAACATAATCCATCATTTAAACTTGACTAATACATCATAACTATGCAATATATAAATCATAAAATGATATATCATAACTATACGTACAACATTCCTATATGCAACTTACATCATTTATATATGATGTATATCATGTCTAATGAAGTTATATATCATATTTATAAACATAATGGTGAAAAATATATATAACATAGTCTACCATTTAAATTTGATCAATATATCATAACTATGCAATATGCAAATAATAAATGTGAATTATAACATGAAATAAAAGTGTGCACAATAAGGTTTAGTATCATCAGTCTATCGTGAGTTAAACAACATATGTGTTATTAATATACATCGTACGTGTTCGGAGACCAACAAAAAGATTATTAGGAATAACTGTGTCGATATTTTTTTTTTCTAAAAAAGACTAATCAATAATGCACATGCACGCATGATCACCATACAAACATTACATAGTATTGAAAACACAACCACCAAATCTGTCCGCTTGGCCCAAACACCTTCTCGTTGTTGAAATATGCTATCTTTCTTGGTGATGATACTTGATTGTGCTTAGTTGAATCCGTCATTGGAAGATTCGTAAAATGTGAACTTCTAAATAAAAGAGGAATTGCGCGTCGTCGCCAACTTCCTTCAAGTGCGAATGTGCAGATATAGAAGGAATCGATGGCGGCGGCGGTTATTTGACGGCAGCAGGAATGGCCGGAGAGGTCGGCGGCAGCGGGGGGCGTGGCTGAAGAGGTTAGCAGCGGCGGCGGACTGTGTTGCAGACGGAGGCAAGAGGCAGCGCGATGGGAGAGGGGTATGTGCACGGTGAATTTAGGGTCTGGTAAATAAGATAAGATGGAGTGAGAATGATTAAAAGGTTATTATATATATATATATTTGATTTTTAATTTATTTAAATAATTGTCATATCATAATCGACGAGTTGATAGAATATATCATAATACATTTATTTGGACATCGTTAAATTAAAATATATAAGAAAAGTATTTTATGGAAAACATCGTAATAATATTATAGAGACATCATCTTATAATACTGTATATATCTTTATAATTTGAATTTATACGATTTTAAAAATAATTATTTGCAAATGTTTTTGTTTTGTTTAAATAAAACTTAATCCCGAAATTATCGAAGATAGTTACAATAATTTTTTCTAATTGATTTTTTATTAAAAATTAGATATCTTAATTAATTTTTTGAATTATCAAAATACTCTCAATCAAATTCAATCGTTGGATTGTCAGTAGAATTGATCCAATGATTAAAAATAATCATTATGCTCCTGAATTTTAATCAAACATCAGAAAAATACCAAAATTCTAATTTAGCAATAATAATAATAATAATAATAATAATAATGATAATAAACACTATGAAAAAAATACAAGGATATATACACATTTTTTTAATTTATTTTTTAAGTTTAGTTTCAATTTAGTTGTATAATATACTATTTTTATGATAAAATATTATGGTTTTATTTTTTCTATAATTTTTTTACATGTCTTTTTTTTAAAAAAAAAATAATTAATATACTACGTATATTTATTATTTTATATTTTCTATAGAATTAATTCAATTACATTAATATATATATATATATTTTTAACAATTACACAAAACAAAAACACTGTATCTAAGCTATTGTTAAAACGACACAAAATAAAATTCCACACATACAAACCCATCATAAATAAAAAAAAAAAAATAGTCTCTATACATAATTTTACGAGCGCTTAAAAAATTATTTCGAAAAATAATAATAATGCTTAATTAAATAATAATATATATATATTTTTTTCTGATGTTGACTGCTGAACAGATGTATTTGTTTGGAAGTTTGAATTTTGAGTTGGGATTTGAATAGTAAAAATTTTTGAATTTGAATAGTGGTATGATGTGATATAAATAAGTGTTGATGTGATTTTTTGAAAGTAAAATTAATTTTTAATATAATATATAAAAAAATAAATAATAAATATTTGATTTGATATTTTTGAGAGAATTGAATGAACAGTATATTTGGAAAAAATCCCCAAACAAACGCACATACTTACTTACTTATTATTATTGTTATTATTATAGAATTGGAAATTGGAGGGGCAAAACACGTGGGGTTCTTTCTAAAATACACATTTCGTAAAATAAAAGAAATCATAATTTATAAACTATGCCAATATCAAATAATCTAAAGTTACTGATTGACTAGTTAATGTTATTTATATATTTATTTATACAAACCATGTGAATATTTTTATAAATTGGAGAGGACATTAATAATATTTGATGAGAAGGAAAATAAAAACATAAATTTTGAAATTTTTTTGATAAAATAAAACATGATTTATAGTCTATGTTTCAATTACGGTGCAATAAATTATTTTAATTAAAAAAATATATATTGCAAGTTTTGTTTTAGTATAATATATATTGAGAAATTAATATTGAAACTTTCATTGCCCAAATATAATAAACAAATTTGTTACTGTTATGAATTTAAAAAAATAACCACTTGAATTTTTGCAGATGATTATTTTTAATAAAATAATTATATATATATGTATATTTTTTTTGTCAGATCAAGATTCAAAATAGAAAGATGCATTGGTAATAGGGTTTGGATTACTAGTCACGAACTACCATATAAAGGCCAATTTTCATAATAAATAGACAGTATTACGATCTGACACTTTGAAAATATAAAAAAATTACAGTACGATAAACTCATAGTAATTGCAATTTAGTGTCAACGAAATAAATACAAATGCACAAAAGTAATAAATGACACACGACTTTGTTAACCTAATTAAGTTATAATCAACTTACATTCCGATATATCAATTTAGGGGAATTTTCACTGTCATCCTATCATTGTATTACAATATTCATCAACTACAAACACTTCTCTAACCCTAATTTTTCATCTTTACTTTGCAAATCCTACACAAGTACATTAGCAAAGAGTAAGACAATCGATTAGTTGATTAAGATCTCAGATTGATCCTCCGATTCTTTCAATCTCTGGCGACTTCTCCGACAACTTCAAAGTTGAGTAAACTTAAAAAAAAAATTTAGAAAATTAGTGGAACAAAATAGAGAGTATGAAATACACTTTCTCTCACTACAACAACTCTCATCAATGTACATATTAATTAACTCTGTATTCTTTGGCTGGTTAATCAGCCTCAGAGTTGACCACAAGAAGACAATATAATTTATTTTTTTCGCACTAATATGAAATGTAGTATTTTCATGATTTATCATCTATCTTTTTACAACTTAAATCAATTATCTTATATTTCCTAGACACTGTTAACAAAAACCAAAAAGGATTGCACAGTCGTCCCGTTGAACCTCCGACGCTTCATGTCACCTGTCACACATAGTCCGCTGTCTTGCCTGTCGAATCTAATTTGCAGTCATCTTATATAGACTCTGCACAGACTTACTGTATGTACTATTTGTGCAGCACTTTTCGATGAATGAAAAATTATATACCAAATAAATAAGAGATTTTTCATTTCAAACATGATGTCATGATGTGTTTGGTTTGTGATTATATTTTTCTTTTATGTTTGTAAAATTGTTTAATATTTTTGTAAGAAATTGTATGTTTTTAAAATGTGATTATCAAATTGATGTAATCAAACTATATATATATATTTTTATGTGAGATATAATAAATCATTTCGGTTATAAAAAAAATAATATATTTAACATTCATCACAAATTATGTAGCATATACTGTGTTATATAATATATATGTTGTATGAGTTATATATATTGTGTGTGTTGTATGTTTTATTTGTTGTATTGAAATAAAAATATTTTGTACTAAAGAGTAGAACTTAAATTGATGAATTTTCTTTTATATCGGCCCCAATGTTATTTTTGTTTTATTAATACTTATGTTATTACTTCTATTTTAAATTAAATTTCCAAACAAACATACATGAGTTTAATTTATTTACTTTTTACTATATAATTTTTGTAATTATTTTAAAAATAAAATACTTTATCCGTCCACTTAAAAAGTGTAAATATATTACATTTTGTACAGAATTTAATAATTGTTTTTTTTTAATGATAATTGATGAAGTTTTGGTATGTAAAATCTGCACCTATAGTGTGTGGATATTGACGACAATGATTATATATATGTAAAAGTATTTGTAATACGCAGTGGATCTATACATATTTTTTAAAAAAATATATTTTGTATTAGAATAATAAAAAATAACAAAATATATACCTATCGAGTGGATCGAGGAAGTATTATTATTATTTTTTGTTTATCCAAGTATTTTTTGTACTAATACGATTCTAAAAATATATTATTTAAAAATGCAATAATATATATATCCAATCTATTTAAAAAAAAAAATCAAAAATTCAATATAATAATTACTTCAGATTAATGTTCCAACTTAATTAAATCAGCAAACTCTAACTGTCGATTTAGGTCGGATGCCACATTGAAATTTTCGTCAATGTCTATACAGTAAATACTAAAATTAATTACAATTATATACAATAAGACTAAAATCAATGAATTCTTTTATATAAAAAACCTGATAACCTTTGATATTTTGAGTTTATTATTTAATTTATATTATAATATTAAAAACAAAAAATTAATGTAATAGTTTTTACTCCCTTTCTCCCAAATAAAAATACCTATATTTGTCTAACTTTTAACTTCTAATTTTTACACAAATTATAAATATACCACTCCATTACACATATTTTTTAATCTAAGTACAAAATAATAAAATTCAAATAGATAAATGAAAAGAATATCATTATTAAATAAATTTTAATATAATATAAAATAAATATTTATTTTGATGTTGAAAAAGAAAAAAGATTTGGTGAAATAAAAATTTTGATAATTTCTTCTTAAAAACACACACAGCAAATGACTTCCAATAAAAAATAAGAAAATGTTAACATGCAACTTTTTTACATACATATTTACTTATCTTTTAACCCTATTCATCAATAATATATATATATACATTATATATTTAATGTATATATATATACATTATATATTTAATGAAATATTACAGCAAATAACTATATATATATATATATATTTACTGCTATTAAAAGTTTTAAAAACTTAAAAATCTCTACTTAATCAGAGCCAAAGTATGAAAACTTGTGCAACTTAAATGAATAGACAAAGGAATTACAGGCAAATTAGAAGAAGCATAAGATAAGTAAAGAGCATCACAATCAACTCTGCAAGAAATCAAATGTGCAAAATTATACAGCTTAGAATCAAAATGCATAGAGGAATCCATTCTAGGCAAATTAGATATAGAATAATAAGCACAAGAAATCAAAGTATGATGACAATCTATGTGCGCCAAGGAAAATCCGCGGGTTAAATTTAATTCAAACCTTAAAAAAAAAAAAAAAAAGAAAAAAAAAAAGCCCCAAAAAAAGTACATAAGAAAATCGAACAGATTAAAGGGAAATTACAATATAGAGCAGGTCTTGGCTTTTCCTTTCTTCTTCTTTTGCTTTGGTGGCTGAAGAACAACTTTGATGGCTGCGTCGAAAACTCCTTTCACATTCTGGAATAAATATGAAACAAAAATCAATCTTGTATGTATTATTATACACATTGGATCGAAGAATTGAAAATGGTAAAAGATAAGAGGGGGGGTGGGGGTGGGGGTGGGGTGAATTGCATACCTCTTGGGTTTTTGCACTGCATTCGATGTAAGAAGGAGCATCAATCAGTTTTCGCAGTTCCTCGCCCTGGAATTCAATTCTTGTATTAATAAGAGAGGATTGAGAAACAAAAGAAAAAAGAAAGTTGGACGAATGTGTGCATTCAAAATACCTGAGCTGTAGTGATCGGCACAGCCCCTGGATGATCTTCAATGAATTGCTTGTCATCCCGAAGATCTGAAACTCATAAAAACATTATAAGAAACAACCGTAACTTCAGCTAGGCGCTTTGTGAAGTATAAGCAATTTTGAATCACAACACAATTAGGTAGAGAATGAAATTGTTATAGATAAATGATACACCGACATTTAGGTCTCAATTAAGATTATCAGGTTTATAAGATGATCTAACAAGGATGGCTAAATAAAAGTTAGAAATATATAAACTATGGAAACAAAAAATTAGAAAAAGAGGGTGAAATCTATCAACAATACTCAACAGAGGCGATCTCGAGCTTTCTCTTCCATCCATGGTTGCTTACATTTAACTGACAGTATCTGGAGACTAATCTTTCAGAAATACTCTCAGTGAAAATAACTCGTCTAGATTAAGTCAACAGCAGTTACAACTGATAGTTGAAAAGGTATCAATAACATATGTTTTAATAACGCTGCCTTTAAACATAGTACCCAAGAATAAGTAATGTGACAGCAACACATCATGGTACATTACAAACTTACAGAAAATTATACATAAAAGTTTATTCAAATACCATTCATAGGTAAAAATTATGATGAGTAAAACAAAAACAAATTTGTATGAACTTCAATCAAATCTTTACAGAAAAGGCAGAAGAAGAGACTCAAGTTGCGCTCAGCACAGTAGCATTTGTTGAAGCTTAAAAATACCATAGTACAAGAACAGCATTCAGACTAGGTGTGCATATGCCATGGACAGCTATAGAAGCATTGCATACGTAAGCTGTAACTTGAATGAATAAACCTCAGGTTGTCATGACATATAATAGATGCGCCATGCTAAAATATTTAATTATCACCTAGAGCAGTTATAATGCCAAAAATAATGAACTCAAACTACTTATAACAGTCGTCGTCCTCCTGCTTGTAGCATTAACTCCATCACATTACAAGTAACTTTTAATAGATAGATGCATATCACAACCATGCAAATTTAAAGTCCATAAATTATTAACAGCAGTTTCCACGATACCTAAGACAAATTTATTATGCATAGAAATTTATCAGTGAACTGAAGAAAAATTGGAACAAATCATACCAAGTTTTGTGCCAACAAGGACTATGGGTACACCAGGGGCATAATGATTCAATTCAGGAATCCACTGCAAAAGTTAAGTACAAGCACAAAAGACATATCAGGACAAATGAGACTGTTAGTTGGTAGAAAAAAGGCAAGGGAGACAACAAAAATATCTCGCACAGGTCACAGAATTGTTACCTTCTTGGAAACATTTTCGTAGCTTGCCTTGCTAATGAGAGAAAATGCAAGGATGAAAACATCAGCTCCGCGATAACTCAAGGGTCTTAATCTGTTATAGTCTTCCTGTCCTGTTCGACAAGTGAATATTGAAGGTTCATAAAATGTTAACAGGCATATACAAAGACACATTCCAGGAATATAAAGCTGCATGTACAAGCATTAAAATGCATAAACATATTTGCATAGGTGTGTGTTTGTGTGGTAATTACCTGCAGTATCCCACAGGCCAAGGTTAACAGTGGCTCCATTGACAACCACATTTGCACTGAAATTATCAAATACAGTAGGAACATAATCCTGTTTCATTCACAAAACCATATTAATATTGTCTCACATCATGCAGTATTATAAAAGATAGGTTAACATCCAACGAGATCATAAACTTTAAGTCACCTACTTGGAGGCATGCATAGGAATATATATATTTGTAACAACTCTTCAAATAGCAGAACCAGTTTCCATATGGTATACATTTCCACATTACACATAATTACTATAATCATTATAGCCTAGTGCGAGTTCTTCTAAGGATGTATGTTTAACGATGAAGATTATAAATAGAAGGAAAACACTGTTGATACTTAGAAACTCAATAGGTTAAGACACTAGAGTTTATCACCGATTCATAACTAGTAAGAAAATCACTGCTCATGAAGCCACATGGCATGAAACACAATAGATCTGATTGCACACAAACATTTTATGCATAAGTCAAGAAATCTGAACCTTATCAACATCACCCAGAATTTTCAAATCAGTCTGCGACATTAAGCAAATGCCAGAAACTCAAAATGTCAAATCTATCGATGTCTCACTAATTAAATTCAAAGACAGATTTGGTGTACATAATTTTATGATTGAATAAATCTAACATACAACCATCCAATTTCTCAAAGATTCTCCGTTTCAAGAAATTCCACAAAAACACAGAGAAAAAAATGTGACATCCAAAATTATCATGCTCGTCACCATGCCATATCTAATAAAAGCGGGCTCATGACGTCCCTTAGTGTGGAATACATAAAGACTTGATCACATACAAACAATTTCATATAAACCACATATAATCTGCACTCCATTAATATCTTATCATCATAGAAACAAGACACTGTAACATTTAGGCCTCACAGTATCAAATGCCCATGAACTTCCCACTAATCCAAGGATATCTTTCAATAAATACTTCAAAAACCAAATAATTTCATTTGTACATAGATATTCAATCTCTCAAAATTGTATTATTTTCAAGAAATTTCCCAAGGGCAAGGAAGATCTGCAACAACAAAACATTATCCGGAAGCAGGTTCAAAATCATCAAGCAAAACGGTTTATCCTATTCACAACAAAAATGATAATGAAAAACAGGGGAAAAACTTGAATATCGCAAGGAATTGAAAAAAAAAACGCGCACTGATTAAATTAAATGAGATCTACAGCAACAACAACAGCGATGATCAGGAAGAAGAATGGCAGACCGTCGGAAAGGTGTTGCTGGTGTAGGAAATCAAGAGACAAGTCTTCCCAACCGCACCATCACCCACCGTCACACACTTGATGAATCTTGAAGCGCTCATTCTTCCAAATGAAAAAAATTACCCCAATCTTCTCCACTCGCTCACTCCGAACCGATCTTCCCTAAAAGAGCCGATGCAATTGACACACGACTAGATCATCGCCCGCAATCGTCAGCCTAGGCATTGCTCCACCGACCAGGTTCAAACCCTAACCCTAATAACAAGACATTTTTTGCAATGCTCGGAAGAAGAAGAAGATAGATCGAAAATGGAGAGTCGAAATCCCGAGAGAGAAACAAAAAGGAGGTGTTTAATCCGGAAAGGGTGTGAGAGAAATTTGGGTGGCCATCCATCCTGCCATCGCCAAAAATAGGATTCCCGCGGAAGGAAGGAAGGGAATGCTGCCGTTGAAGCGCTCCTCCTCCATTAACGCTTTTCACGCAGTAAAGTCTGCATTTATGTCTTTCCTACCAACGGCTCCAAATACGGGTCCCCCCATTTCTCTTGCCTTGCCTTAGCATGTCATATTTTTTTCTTACCCCTGATTTTCGGAATATATCGTATTAGAACTGTGTAATAAAATAATAATTAAAAATTTTAAAAATATTTATTATACTATATAGATAGTAAAATTACTATAAATAATATTTTTGTTTTAAAATGAAAAAAATAAAAACTTAAAAAATATTTGTTTTGTGTTGTGATTTGAAGAAATATTTTTTGATATAAATATAAAAATTATATAGATAATATAAAAATAATGTTAAAAAAATTTTGAAAAAAACGAATCCATTATATTTTAATTTGAATTTTTTTTAAAAAAATTTGAAATATAAAAAAATTATAATAATATAAAAATAAGTAATTTTTTCCGAGAAATAAATCTATAGCACGTGGGACGGGATTTGGACTGGGCTAGCTATAATTTTCTCTTAGGCCCAATTTACATTACAAATTCGGGCTGGCACAAACCAAATTGGCCCATTTTCGCAATTGAAATAATCAGCGGATATATATGCACGGACAATCTTCCGTGGTACGCAAAAGAGAGCGTAAAACCCCGCGCCATTTTCAGATTCCACTGAGATAAACGGGAGTCCTTCAGTATTGGGTGCGCGGGATTTTTTTGTACTGAGGAAGCTGAAGCTCTACCAGACTATCCGAGGATTGACCTCCCATGGGGAAGGGGAAGAGGAACCAAGCCATCGTTATTTCGTCATCATCAGACGACGGTGAAGATAAAAGTAGCAGTGGGTTATCGAAAACCGGTCTAAGATCTTCGAAATCAGCACCCACGAGGAAAAACCCTAAAAGGGCTAAAAGGGTTTCGCAGTCGCATTCCCACTCCCGGCCGTTGGAGCTCTACGGTTTCAGTGATTTTGATGAGGTACATTTCTATGATTTGTGTTTGTCAATAGAACTTTGTAAAGGTTTGTGAAATGAGGAGTCTGCGTAGAATATTTATTTTCATTGATTTCAATATCTATTTTCATCAGCAAACATTCTCAAAGACCTCTCTAACATTTAGTACTTTTGGACTTGTGTGGTAGAGGAGGGATGCTGGAGCCTAGATTGAGTTTTGACATAGTTTTATGTGCCAAATAATTCTAATTTGTAGTTGATTGCACATTCCTCATTAGATTTTTATTTATTATCTTAATCTTAATAGAAAAAATAGTTTTGTGATCATTCTTGAATGCCTCATGGGTTTATATATATATACACACACACACACACACACGTGAATTAAAGAATTGTCACATCAGTTATGACTTATGAGTGGAATATCTAATTCCGCAGTTTTTTATTTTTTTATTTTTTTAATTCATTATTTTATTATGGGAACTTACATGGTTTTCTCTTGCCATTGCTATTTGTAGCTAAAAAAGTTATCTGAGGAATTTGATCAAGGGTTTACACAGTTCAAGGTAACATCTGGTATGCTGCTGTAAAAGAATTTTCCACGCGACTGCATTTGTTTCCAATTGTAGTTTGAGATAAATTTTCCTGTTTTTTATGATGAGACCTCACAATTTATAATTTTCTATTTGTTGATGCATGACTTCGAGATTTGAGTGCATCATTGATTCCTTTTGAAGTTAGTTCTTTTATATAATCCATGTTATCTCATGATCATTATGAATTTTTTTATTCAAAGTGTGCATTTGTCATCTCCCATTCCATGAAAAAGTCATTTTATATCAGTTCGTAAGTTAAATAGGCCATGCATTCTTCATGCACACTATATATATATATATATATTAAATTTTATTTTATCAAGTTTACTATAATTCAATGAATCCCTGCAGGTTCAAGAAGTAGCAAAGATCAATGGGTTGAAAAGTATAAACCTAGCTGCCTGGAAGAGCTTGCAGTTCATAAAAAGAAGGTATATATAGTTGTAAATGTTTAACTATGTATCTTATTATTTGATTTTTAATGCCTCTGTGTGCATCTTGACTTGCAGGTTGAAGAAGTTAAAAGGTGGCTTGAGGAGAAACTCCAAAATTCTGAGGTATTATATATCTTTGATCATAGTCCCATTCTTTCCTGTTAGAGCATATTACTTTGAGTAGTTGCTTTTCCTATGGATAAATATACAAGCTACTCTAGTCCATTAATGTTAGGTGATGCTTTTACTTTGAGGTTCAACCTTCATTAGCCTTCTGATGTTTGCTTTGGTTTGATCAGGGGTCCATGATTTTGTCACATGACCAACACTATTTATTGTAGACTTAAGAAAAGTGAATCCAAGTCAATTTAAATTGTGACAACGAATGACAATAACTTTTATCATCAACTTGTACCCATATTAGGGTAATAGGGTGTGTGCCTTTCAAGGGTTAATATAATCCTATATATTTCCTTTCCATTTGACACATTTGTAATTTTGTCTTATATTGTTCAAAATAACAAATTACATAGGTAAAGACACGGGCAATAACTAACCTTACAGCTTGATAGGCATGAAGAACTCATTAAAATATAATGATGGCACATGAACTTAGCTGAAGTAGTCTTAGTTTTATTAGGTTGGTTATATTTACACATAGTGTCAAAGTAGCAAGTAAACATTTTCTGCCTTATTCGTTTCTACACATCCAATATTGCTTTGGATTATGTACAGGTTAGTTCACGCAGTAACGTGATCCTACTTTCTGGTCAAGCTGGAGTTGGAAAATCTGTAAGCACTATTTTTCTCTGGAGTTAAGTTCATATATTTTTTTGAAGCATATCATTAGTATGCATTGGGATAATCTTTCTTTCTCAGCACATTCACTATTTCAATATATCTGGAACTTATCTATGATTGACATCATTATGCAGGCTACAATTTATGCAATTGCATGTCATCTTGGAGCGGAAGTGCTTGAATGGAATGCACCAACACCGACGATATGGCAAGAGCACCTGCATCATTCTAATTCTGGTATGATTAATTGTCTTTCAAGATGCGCACCTCGTTAGCAAGTACTACTTGTATCTGCTATTGTATAATGTAAGCGAAATGACAAAGGTCCTTTCAGAAAAGATTCCAAGCCTTTTCAATGTGTGTAAGCAAATTATCCAAATATGCAAACTCGTGTCATGTGGAAGAATGTTTTATTTCTTGTTCTAATGGGAAAATGTAGATAATTTTAAAAAATATCAACTGCATCTTAGAGGCCACATAAATTCCTAAATGTATACATGTAACTGCTTTGTAATGAAAAGATATCTTTTCATTTTTTTTTTCTTCTTAATCTCTCCTTTATTGTCACCTATCAATTTTTTCTCTATGTCATAAACCACTTGACGTGATTTTTTTGTTAGAAGGTAAGTATATTGAGACCTTTAGGGTGTGTTTGTTTGGGGGTTTGGATTTTAAGTTGGGTTTTGAATAGTAAAAATTTTGAATTTGAATAGTTGTATGATGTGATATAAATAGGTGTTGATGTGATGTTTTGAATGTAAAATTGATTTTTAGTATAATATAAAAAATGAAAAATGGATGCTTGATTTGATGTTTTTGGGAGAAAAAAATGGGATGAATAGTGTATTTAAAATTCAATCCCCCAGACAAACACACCCTAAATTAGATTCCACTATGTGATGAATTTATATATGGGACTTTGAATGAGGTAGAGCCTTAGAGGTTAGATTTGACCTCCACTGCTGTTTTGGGTTGGTGCAATGCAGGAAAGAGTAATGTTTTGAAGTTCTAATTACTGTAGACTTCGGAATTTCTTTCAAAACTTTGAATTTGATGCAAGTGTTCGCATGAAGTAATTCCCAGGTCAATTGCAACATCATTAATGCTTTTTTATACTTGTTTTTCTTAAGAATATATTATTATTAGTATATTTATTTTTATTTTATTATTATGTTGGTGTAGCAGCTTTTGGTTGAGTACAATATCTTGGTTAGGTATTGGGGATTGCGTTTTGATGTTTGGTCCCAGCTTCATTAAACTTTAATGTCTCTCTTTTTCATTATGCAACTCCTGGGATTGTCAACCAGGGATACAGTACATCTCAAAGCTGGACGAATTTGAAAGTTTTGTTGAGAGAATAAGGAAATATGGAGTGAATTCCTCATCTTTGACTCAAGTATCTCCATCTCCAGTTATATTTTTGGTTGATGATCTTCCTGTGGTAAATGGAAAGATTGCGGGTGGAAGACTCAAGAGATGCTTGCATCTTCTTGTGCAATCTGTTTGTCTTCCAACAGCCATATTAATCAATGACTGTGGTAGATCTGAGTATGTGGACCACGGCAGTCGGTATTGGGAAGAACTTCAGCTATCTCTACAAAATGCTGGGGCTTTTAAGGTTTTCTTCTCAACTTGTCCTAATTGAATCCTATTTTTTTTATAAGCAACCTTCTCTCTCTCTCTCTCTCTCTCAAAACATTTTCATCTCTCAGGTTACATTTAACCCAGTTACTGTCAATTCCATCAAAAAAGTTCTTTCCAAGATATGCAAAGCAGAGAGGTTTGAAGTAAGTGATGCTGAGATTGGCGAAATAGCAAAAGCCAGTGGAGGTGATATTAGACATGCAATTACATCTTTACAGTACTTCTCTTTGAAACCACATTCGGTGCATTCTACATCTCTTTCAAAGACTCTTCCAGCTAGTCTAGAAGATAAAGTGGCCGGAAGTGCTGACTTGGATGGTGGATTTCCAATGCCATTTGGAAAAGATGAAACCATATCTTTATTTCATGCTTTGGGTAAATTTTTGCACAACAAAAGAGAGGATGGAGGTGTTGGTTCAGGTATTCTAATATGACTGCAGTTGTCTTTAACTGCTTTATGTGTTTCGGATATCCAATATGATTATAAAGGCTATCTGGAAAAATATGATATGGTGCTTCACCCATTCTGCCTTGAGTTGAAACCCAAAATTTTGCTTAAATGAATTTCTAGTTTAGAACAATTGTAAAATGTTTTGAAGTATGACCATATGTCTTTGGCGTAGATGTACATTGGTTGGGTGCATGCTCATGTTTCATTCCTTCTCCTCTCATTTTTTTTGGTGTTTTTTTTTCCTGAACTTCTTGGTGAGATACTATGGTGGCAAGATGGTATGTGGGTGCACCTAAGATTCAACTGCAACCTAGATAAGCATGATCTTGGCTCTTTAAGATAAAAATTTCAGCTGCCAATTTGAGATGCTTAAAATAGGACGAATGTTGCGGTTTGGTAAGCAGTTTCTATATGCACAAATGTGTCTCATGTTGGTTTGTGTAGTAATAGAGTGACTCATGGTGCTACCTCATTGAAAGAAACATGGCCTATTGATTTACAATACAAGGCATTGAGATGCCAACGACGCATTTAACTTTTTCTTATATTAGTGTACCTGTTTCAACTGTTTGAAACTGAAACAGTTGAGGAATTATATCCACTGATTTGTAGGCAAAATTCGTTTGAATAGGAAGTTATATTGTGACTTTTCTGATAATAGTTTCTATTGTATTGTAGATGGAGCAATTCGTCTCAAGGAGAAATATGTCCGGTGCCCACTCAAAATGGATGCTCCAGAGTTGGTGCTTAGCCAGGCACATTGCCAGGCAAGGAGTGTTGGAGATTTTCTTCATGAAAATGGTAAAATTTGCTATGCAAAAAGTGATCTTCCATATGTAATTATGCTGGTAACATTTACAAAGTCGTTAGAATTCAGAAATTTCTTGTTTCTATGATTGTGCTTTACAGTTTTGGATTTTTTGAGCGAGGAGGCAATCGAAGATGCATGGGTTGTCAGTACGTATTTAAGTGATACTGACTTGCTCCTTAGTCCCCCAAGAGGATCTTTGCTTCGAAACTTTGAAGCTGAGAATCTCGTACAATCCATTGCTGCATCAGTTGCCGTTCGTGGAGTCTTATTTGGAAATACTAATCCAGTGTCTAGGTATAGTTTTAAATAGAATAATTTCGTTTATTTTTGGTGAATACTATTTTATAGCTGTCATTCTGGCAATGTAGGTGGCATGCTATTCGCCGTCCGAGGATTTGGCAAGTTGAACAATCAATACGGCTCAATAAGGTTAACTCCTCCCTAACTCAATTTTTTACTTGCTTCGAAGTTTGTTAGCATACTAAATTGGAGAACTTATTGTTGAATGAATGTATGTGCTTTGATTGATTGTGTTCTAACAAATATAAGTGATTCCAACATTAAATTAGAAATTGTGTTGCAACTGGTGTATTCTGTGTATACGCTAGAAATATATGCAATATAGAATCAATTGCACTCGAACACATGTACCCTATCTGATTATGTTATAGCTTGATGCTGCTGCATCATTATCTTAAAAAATTGGTTACTTATAAAAGATGTTTAATTAGCAAAAATTTACGTCTCTCCTAGAAAGAACACTTTGTATATTCGTCACATGCTCAATTGAGGTTAGCTTTCGTCATATTTCCCCAAAATCATCCTTGAGTCCATTGCAATTGAAAGTCCCGGTATATAGGCTCTGGGTTTTTTATTCTGTTTCTTTGTTATGTAATATCGAAAACATATTTATTTTTCGTATAAAACATCATATCCAACAATTAACTAAAATACAAATACAAGGTAAACAAACCCGTAGAATTCCATTGTTGCTTATGACATATATTCATCTGTCACAGGTGATCTTGGAATATTTCTTTTTAATATGCTGAAATGATTGCCAGTGTTCATTCAAGCTCATGTTTAGAATCAATCTATGACACTTCCTTTCATCTTTTTCTTATTTATATCCTCTCATTATTGATTCTGCAGTTTCAAATGGTGAGTGAAAGAACACAAGGACGTACCAGTATAATCTTGAATAGAACTTCGGCTATAGCGACTGAGTTTCGGCCTGCTCTTAATTATTGGCTCAGATGCCGAACACCCGAAAGTAATGAAGTTTATTCCATTCAAGACAAGCATTGTGATTCTGGTTTGGACAGCAATGCTGATGATGAAGATGAAGATGAAATAGAAGAGTGGTAAATATTTGTTGGGTAATGGTTTCTCTTAGTTCTATTTGTCTTTTGTGATTCTGTATATAAACTGTGTATCTTTGGATTGGATTGACTCTTCTAATGGTTGTATAGAGTGTTTCCAAAACACGGTAGTTTATTCAACATAACATAGTACTGTTGTAGAGTTTGTGGTTTTTTGTTGAGATCTCGAATTAGTTTTTTTTTTTCCTTTTTGCATTACTGATTTTTAATTTCATAAATTGTTAGATTTTTTTTTTTTTTGATTTAGCATTATTTATTAATATATTTTCAGTTCCAATTCAAATTACATTCTTTTATTATTTCTATTTGTTCTATTAAAAAAAAATCTATATTAATACCAAACTACATTTATTTTTTACATGGATTATAAATGCCATTGCACAAGGGTATCTAGAAAAAGTAATATTATATTAATGTTAAAATACTAAAAAAAAAATTAAATACTTATTAATAATATAATTACTTATAAAATGTTAGTATTATTTTTTATTAGGTCTGTTGGAGTAGGATTGAGAGATTATAATTTTTAAATTATGGCATCAAATATTTATTTTTTATTTATAAAAAAATAAAAAATGTATTTTAAATATTAGATTAATCCGCTACTTATATTTTAAAAAAATTAATAAAAAAATTATTATATAATAAAAATAATGACAAATTAAAATTAAAATTAAAAAAAAAATTATAAAATCTAAAATATGATTTTAAAATGTATAATTATATTTTTTTATAAAAAAAGAAGAAATTTATGTGGAGGGAGTGGTATTATATACCATTTCCTAAATTAAAATAAAATTTGAACATGAATCACGAGTTAAACTAACTAAATGGAAAAAATGACACAAAGACAGAAGAACAACAAAAAATATATATGTAAAGATAAAACTCCATCATGTGTCTGTCCTAAAACACACAGAAGCAGCTACAACTATGCTACACCAAATTTTCAGCACAACAAAAACAAACTACTAAACATTCCTAAACTTGAAGAACCTAAACTAAAACCTAAATCATCACTGCATTGCTAGGGAACATGTTGAAATCTTATTCTATAAAAGTCATCCCAATCGACCCTAAATCCCGGCATAAACACGAACACAAACACATATAAACAAACTCAAATTGAAAGGCTTGAAATCATAACCGTAAGCGTACCTTTTCTCCGATTCAGTTCCATTTCACGGCATCAACAATTTCACGTTATGCAGGTCGCCGGTGCTCTTCGCCTGATTCTGCACAGATTCGAATCCCTGCTTGCAGACGTTAGCGAATCCCGTCAATGCCTGAAAAATGTGCGGGAGTCCCATCTGTAAGTTGTTCATCGTCATTGCTCTTGTGACCCCGACTGCTTTCTCGTGCTTAGCTTGCTCATCCTGTGCCTTACTCCTAACCATCTCCATTTTCGCTCTTTTTTCCCGGATGGGATTCTTGGTCGTGGAGGATTCTAGGGTTGAATACGGGCCGAGCTTGTTTTCCAACGAACGGAGTTCAGCTGCCTTCTTCTCGAGCTCCTTATAAGCTGATTCGGATCGCTTCTTTTGTTTCTGTTCGTCAGCTTGTTGCACGACAATGGCGTGGATCATCGACAAGAAGCTCTTGATTCCCTCGGAGGCCACTTTGTCGGGGGCGTTGTTGATCGCGAGCTGCCATTCTTCGCAGAGGGAGTAGACGGCGGAGTCCTGCCCGGTTTTGTGGACTGGATTGTTGCCGACTTGGAATAGGGAGAGGCGTAGCCATCCCGTGAGGGATTGGACGTAGTCGCGGTGTGCTTTCATGAGGTTGCAGAAGGAGATGTGCCATTGCTGAGCTTCAAGCTCGAGCTGGAGCGTCGATTGGCGATGGATTTCGGAGGTCGGCTCGGTCGACGGGATGCAGTCGAGATACTTGAGCTGTTGGACGATGTGGGTCTGGACCTGATGGAACTCGTACATGCTTCTCCACATGTTTGTCAGCCTGAAACGGGACGAGTCTTTTTAGAAGGTGGCGTAGTTTAGATCAAGAATGGTAATTTGTATGGAGAAGAATACTGACCCTTGTATGAGCTCGAGTAGTTGTGGGTAAAGCATCGATTCCCTCAATTTGATGATCTCAGCAGAGATGGTTTCGATGGCTTGCGAGGCTACCAGCATCTGTGATTCAAATTTCTCGGCTTCCTTTTTTGCCTTCTCTGTCTTTATGTAATCGGCGTTCTTTAGCTCTAGCTTCCGGAGTGCGGCCACCTTTTTCTCGTGCTCTAATTTTAAGAACTCGGCATTCTGAAAGCATACAAAAGATTATGTGTCAAAACATAGATCACTGTCAAATCGTCGTGTTTATAGATCTTATTGCATCAAGAATCTAATAAACACAGTAATAACTTGATACTTCACTAGTAATAACTAGACACAAAAATAACATTTAGGTTGCTTTCTTTTGTGATTTTACCACATATTTTACTATTCAAATTCTTTTTCCCCTAAAAAAATATCACATAAAATAATTACTTTCTTTTTTATATTATACTACAAATTTATTTTATATTTAAATATAAGATAAATCTCTATTTATATCACATCAAACAACTATTCAAATTCAACTTTTTACTATTAAAAATCCAAATACTAAAACCCGCAAACAAACACACCCTTAGAAGTTTCGAAAATATGCCTATTGTAACATCATGTTTTTTTACACTCAAATTGTTCTAATAAATCCCTCAAGGGTTTGGATCAATTACCGATGCTATTAGAGTAAACAAGAGAGTATTTACGAAACATTCTCAAACACACGAAGGAAATATAAAAGAAACTAATTAACTCCCAAAGAACAACCTAAGAAAATGGATCTATAAGCCACTTTGACATGGCACATGGACAAACAAAACCTAAGCACGGATCGATTTCAATACAACATTATTAAAGCATGAGAGAAATCAGCAAAACCAAGATCCAATGTCTTCCTACCCTACCCTCGGAATAAGCGGCATTACTTAAAATTATGTATGGTTGATAAGATTAAACTTTGGCAGTGGCTAATATGATATACCTTGACCTCCTGGTAAAGTTTCTTCTCCCATGTGTATAGCCGCTCGACCGTTGAACAATGGTTGAAAGAGGTATTACCATTGAGTGGGCCTAATTGTTTTTCGAATGGATCTTCACAGAACTTCCCAAATGTGTTCCATTTCGCACTGCTAGAACCCCACGTCCACATTAGCGGATTCAAACTTTTGCCATGTCCATAGTCCTTACCTGCAATGCAGAACTCCATGATTAGAACACCACAAAATAATCTTTCCCTGTCGAATTAGATTTCTAATCAAACTCAAAATTCTCAAGTTCTCCCCCTAAAGGCTCGAATCCACTACTTAGATGTCGAATTTTCTACCATAATGCCAGACCACATAACCCAATCAAAGCTGTAGAGAAAGTTAAACCAGGAAACAATGTTAATATTGAGAGATGTGGTTTACTGAAGCTCAGGAATGTTGCCGGGCTGTCTTGTACATCCCGAGATGATGATCTAAACACCCAATATATAATCTTTCACAATCCTCCCTAATCTTGATCTACATTACCATAATACCAGATACCACATAAGACAATCAAAGCTGTAGAGAAAGTTAAAACCAGAAAACAAGGTTAATATTGAGAGATGTAGTTTACTGAAGCTCGGGAATGTTGCCCGGCTGTCTCTTACTTCCCAAGATGCTGATCTAAACATCTAATATATAATCTTTCACAATCCTCACTAATCTTGATCCACATTACACCAGCAATGTGCCCGAAAGGTATGACTCTTTAGGCCTGTGGAACGGCTTTTTAACAGAGGGTGAAAGTATGTTCACATTCTCAATGATAATTCAAATTCATTTATCAACAACCAGTTCTAAAAAGATTCCTGCAACAAATTTTCTATATAAATAGATCTGTACTGTACCACAAGGGCTCCACCTTCAACCTCCATGAATCTCATGGAACTAATTGGGGAAATTCTCCAACCTACTCACTGATTTAAATCATGGACAATTTTAACCTAATTTAATATTTGGAAGAAAGCAGAAAAAGTAAACATTACAGATGCAACAGGACAAAGAAAGGTTCACATGGTTAGCAATTTGCAGATGAGAGTTACCTGAAGTTGTTTGGCTATGGAAACTGCCGGTGGGGACTTCTAACAGCGACGACAGCGGCCTACCGGAATTGGCAGCCTGCAGGAAATAGTCGTCTAGCTCCTGGATGATCTCCGCCAGATCCTTGCTCTTGGTGGACACCACCACCGCAAGCTCGCTGCCGGTGGTCGTGTTGGAGGTGGACGTCGCCGTCGCTACAGACGGCGGTTGTGTTCCGGCGACGGTCGTCGCGGCGGCCTCCGACGCCGACGTCGTCGTCGCCTCCTCCTCCCATTCCTCCTCATCCACAGACCGTCCGGCCGTCGGCATGAAAGGATCCCAAAAATCCCAGGCGGAGGTGCCTGCCGCAGGCGGCGGAGGCGGTGGATGGATGGCGGAGGAGGTCGCCGTGGAGGTTGTCGTCCAGGAAGTCGGGCTCATCGGCGGGCGGGGATGGGGAGGGGGCGGCGGATTAGTGCGGCGCGGCGGACGAGGCGGAGATGAAGGCGGCGGCGGTAAGTGGCGACGGTGGAGTCCATTCTCGGCGGTGGCGAATTGCAGGAGCGCGGCGCCGATACTCCGCAGCGAGCGGACGTACATGACGTGCGCCGCCGCGAAGGAGTGGCGCGCCTTGACGACCTGCTTCATGTACCTCATCCTCGCCTTGCATCTCGACACCTTCTCCTCTCTCTCGATCAATCTCGAGTACCAACACCCCATTCTCCACGAACAATCCCCAATCTCGATTCAACTTTCAGATTCCGGCATTTCCAGTCCAAAATCCAACAAAAAAAAAATGCACGATTATCGCTGCAAACTTAAAAAATCAGAGGTTCAAAAAGCACACAATCGTCAATCTTCTTCTTCTTCGCTGTTCCGAACACAGATCGAAATCAAAACAGCACCGCAAATGGCGAGGCGGAAGGAAGCAGGCGCGGCTGCTGGTTCAGCGTTGGAATGAGAAATGGGAATGGGGAAGAAGACAAGAGTGTGTGTTTTTGATGGTACAGAGCAAATGAGCTGTTGGGCAGAGTGCCGCCATGGCTACCTTTCTTGCTTTCTCTCTCTTTTTACTGCGGTCTCTCAGTCTCTCAATTTGTAGTGAATTTACGGTTTTACCCTCGTCTTCTTCGTGTCTATCAACATTCTCTGTATATATATATTTTATTGCTATTATTTTTATAGTGGTTGAATTAATTACCTTTAAATCTTTAATTAATATTATTACATCTCAACTCTCAATGCAGATTAGAATAATATCAGTTTTTTTTTTTTTTTTTTTTTTTTTTTTTTCCTTTTTGGTACCAAAGTTGGGATAATGATAATATCTTTCCTAAAAATTTTAATTTTAATAAATATACAGATACACAGCAGTTAGATATATTTTGAAAATCTGAAATTGCTATAATTATATTATATAAATAATATTATAACATTTACACAATATTTTATTTTGTCATTATAGATATATTCAATTTGTATTTAGTACTATAAAGATATTATATAAATAATACTATAATATTTACCCAATATTTTTTTTAGTATCAATTAATTATTCATTTCATACATATAAATATATATATTTTTATATTAATTAATTATTTCAATATATTTTTATTTACTAAACTATAATTTTAATTTTATAAATTTTAAATGATTAATTTAAAAGTTAAAATTAAATCAAAATAAAAAACATAAACATTGTTAATTAATTAATGTATATAGTATTATATACACTTTACATTAAAAAGAAATAATAGAATAAATAAACTAACATTTATAAATATAATTGAATTATAAATTGATTAATAATTAATATTATACTAATATATATATATAAGATTTATTATTTTATACTTTTACACTATTCTTAATAAAAGTAATACTTATATTTTTTCAATAAAAATATATAAATAATTATTTTATAACATTTTCATACTTTCTAATATTAATAACCAAATTCCCAATATTTATAAACAAAAATAAATGTAGTTTAAAATGCAAATCAAACACATCCTCCGTGTCAACAAAGCATTTATTTGATCGAGGTTTACTCAGTGCGCGCTTTCGGTTAGTGACTACGGATTTCCACATCATATAAAAAAAAAATTAAAAATTAAAAATAAAGATATTCGAAGTAAACATATACAAGTTAATAAAGTACACCCCATTTTCATATTTCATTCCTTAAATAATAATAATATTAAATTATTACTATTATAAGACTTCATTTACAAGGCATTTTTAAATAAAATAATATTTGATGTGTGATTTATATAAAAAAATATAATATATATTATTTTAAAATAAAAATATATACTTTTTACTTTATGTAATGAGCTTAATTGTCTCTTTTTTATTTTCTAAAATTTTAGTAACAATTAGTCATTACAAATTAAAATCAATAATATTTTAAATTAAAATTAATACTACATTATTTAAATTTATAGTTGATTTTATATCAAAATTATTATTATATTATTCATTCGAAACAATTTTAATAAAAATATATATTTTTTTTCACCAACATAATATTTACTCAGTCCCGTAGAAATGTTACTGTTTATTTTTTGGACGTAAATTTTTTAATATTAGTATTACATTGGATTGTAGTGAAAAAGATAAAAAAAAAAAAAATGCCCCTAGTGTAATAGAAAAATAATGATATTTGTATAATATAAAGTAAGTTAAAAAAGTATTTATTATGTTACAACCTTCTTTTAGGACGAAATAAAATAAAAAATAACTAACATTTGAATTTGATTGAAATAAAAAATTTAAATAAATATTATATTTTAAATCAATTTTTTTTTTCAAAAAAAAGAATGAAGACATAAATTATTAAACCAAAACACTTTCTTTTTTTGGGATTTCTACCATCTCTATAAAAAATTTCATTTAAAAATATTAAACCAAACACTTTTTTTTTTTTTACATTTTATATTATACTAAAAATTAATTTTAATTCAAAATATTACATAAATTATTATTTATATCACATAATACAATTATTCATATTCAAAATTTTTACATTTAAATATGGATCCAAAATTAAAATCCTCAAACAAACAAACCCTAAAGGGACAATGGAGCATTATTTATTAAAATTAAATTCAAAACTTTTGTATATATTTTTATACGGATGTCCAAATTACTGTAATTGCCTTCTATAATTAACTAAAATTCGGCCCACGGAAATGCAATACAATGCAACAAACGCCCCTCCTTTTGTGCAGTGGTTTCTTCTACCTTCGTTGAATCTGAGTTTGCTTCTCCAATGGCGGCCGTGAGTGAATCAAGCTGCAGCTTCCTGTTCAAAGCTCACAGTATTAGTGAATTTCTCCTCTCCATCTCTCTATTAATGGCCGACCGAATCCATTTCTCTCCGGGAATTAATTAATTAAGGGTACTGCTTAATTAAGGTACGTACGGTACGATGGGCGCTTGTACTATTATGGCTCATATAGTGTTTCTTCTTCGGTTCTGGCTTCTGCTGTCATCTTCTTCGGCTGAAGACGTCGTCACCATCGATGTGAATGAGGCCAGAAGCCTTCTCAGCAGTAACGGCGGCGTCGATAATAATTACCTTTGTTTGGATGTCAGGTAATTGTTGAAGTACTTCCATGAAATCGTATTTGACTTTATGCTACTACAATTTGATAGATTGATATCGATCTCTGGAAAAAATTGAAATAGAACTGAAGAGGAATTCGGAAAAGGACATTTGGAGAAGGCGGTGAACATTCCGGTTATGTTTGATTCTCCTCGTGGTTCGTTCTCTTCATATGATTTTGTGTTATGATATTGATGTCAAATTGAATAGTTGATTTTGAGGATAAAAAAGATTCAAATTCATCTGCAGGTATGGTGAAGAACCCTAATTTCATAGATCAAGTTCGGTCTCGTTACGGCAAGGAAGATCGGCTGATTGTGGTACGATATATGCGTCGAAATATATATATATATATTTTCATAATAAAATATCTTTATCATACATTATTTTTAATACTAAATTCAAGCCAAAATTTACACAAAACCAATAAAAAAAATATACCTTGTTTACCAAAACTTCACTAAGAAATTTGGTAATTATTTTCAGAAATAAATATTATTAATATTTTAAATGAAAAAATATATGTAAAAAAATAATAAATAATACTTCATCCATCCCACTTTTTATATCCACCTTTCCATTTACGTCCGTCCCATTTATTTTGTTATTTTTATTTTTTGAAAAAAAATTATACATTCTAATCTTATTTTAAAAAAATTTCCTCGTAAATTCTCGTATCTACGGTAAAACAAACAAAATATGCTGACGGAGGGAGTAGATAATTTGGGAAGTGTTATGCTTGATGCATTTTCTCTTATATTGAAATATATAATTTATTTTACACAATGTTATCATGTTAATTTCAGAGCTGTAGAAGTGGAGTGAGATCTTTGCCAGCAGCTACAGATCTTGTCAATGCTGTAAGCATTTTTAATTTTAATTTTTATTAATTTTTTGTTAAAATAGTAATTTAACAAATCGAAGAACAACACATTCGAATTATTACTATTAAATAATGCAAGCGAGGGTAAACTTGTACTTTGCAGGGGTTCAAGCATGTGTGCAATATGAGAGGAGGATATCTGGCGTGGACTCAGAATGGATTTCCAGTTGTAAATTCACATAATGAAGAGCTAAAATAATAATAATAATAACAATAATAATAATACACAAGTTTTTTTACTATTTTGTCTCTGCCTTAAAAAAAAAAAAAAAGAGTACATTTTTTTCACACAGACATCTCATCAAACATTATTTTAATACAAAACTCAAACCAAATTTGTGATTCCCGTTTAACTAATAACTGAATATTTCCAGCATGAAGTGCAAAAAAAAGGAAAAAAAAAAAAGGAAAAGAAAAAGGTTTGATAATTCATTCCTTCATCTCCATCCTACTAAACTAAGGGCAGCAAATTTTACAACCCACCTATTTAATTCTGAATTTGAGATCGACTATCAACATTTGAGAAGTAAAAATAATAAGTGTCACCAATTTTTAATAAAAAAAGACAAAAAATCTAAATCTATGCTAAATTTAAAAGGCTAAAAATACAAGGGCAATGCCAAATACCTCTCTGCCTACTCTGATGATTTGCATATACATTCTGGGAATGGGTTTTGGTAGAATGGTTCCTCGAGTCTCAATCTTGCGCGGCCCTTGATTCCAGAAGGAGCACCGTGTCTTCTCCGTGGGGCTCCAGACCTGAAAATCCGAGGTGAATTTATAAAGTTTGTCGAAGTAAATGAGTGTTAAGATGGAACCTTTTTTTCTTTTGTTTTGTTTTTAATATGAAAATACTGTAAAAGCAGCCTAAGATGGAGACTAGTGATTGTTAAAACTTGCAGATCTAAGCTTCACTTTAATCAGTTTTTAAAATACATTAGGGATGAAATTGAGTAGTCCATGGCTTTTCTTTGCTATAATAAGGATTTTCATTCTCATGATCTGAATCAACCACAAAAATTGACACTTGAATTGAAGTTCCGTAAGTAGAGGGCACATGTATTAAGCTATGAGAAGTAAAACATGTACCTATTTCTATGCAGTTGCCTAACAAGACGAGAAAAGGATGACATGTTAAGAGTTCCAGCCTCCAATTTATCGAATAGTTCAACCAGTCGTTGCCTGCAAAATATATCAGTCAATGATGCGCGAACCAAAAAAAAAGGTTATGAAGTATGATGGATTTCGACTTTTATCAATTCTCAAAGGTGCCTAACCATACCAATCTGTCTTTTACAGGAATTATTTTCACATAAGTTTAGATGACCCGATACCAAAAGTAAAGCGCGGTTTAAATTGAGATTCACATGTTCCTTGCGTGCTGAGACATGTTAGACATAATTCGCAGCATAACAGAATATCCACAGGAGGAGAAAGGACACACATATCAGTCTATGTAAGTAACACAGACAGACAATTTCAACAATCATGCTAACCCCGGCCGTACTGATAAAAGGGTAGATACCCACTTTTTGACAAACATGGTTTGTCGATTAAAAAATATATCCAATGTGATAATGAAAACAAAGGAATTGAGATGGTGGTATTTAGGAACTAAAGCTTTTCTTAAGTTGAATCAAATCTGCACTTTTGCTGCAGTTTATTGAATTTCCCCATTGGCACCGCTAGATGCTCATTAGCTAGAGTTAACATAAGATGATGTCACTATGTTTATATAGTAAATAAATCTATGGGGGGGTGGGGAGTGGGGCATGAGAAGAATGAAAAATACCACACCATATCTATGTAATACAGAAAACAAGGGACTAGCTTAGATTATGTAGCAACATGAATTTGATGCCAACAATACCTGTCTGGAGTGATCGTTTTCCGATGCCCTAAGAATCTGCGATGACCTTCCACTGCTATTGCCATGTTCCCAGAATGGGATGGAACAAAAAGATCACTCTCTAGCGATATTATATAATCAAGGGCGGCGGATTGGGTTGCATGATGGGAAAAAGTTTTTAGTTCTTCTTCGGTTGCAAGCATTTCCTGACAGGAAAGAGAAACTCAGTAAGGCTGCTTAAAAGTATTGGTTTTGCAGATAATGCTCTCTAGTACTAGTAAATTGAATCCAACTCAACTAACTTTGGAAACTACGTTTGGAAAGCGAGATGTCAGCTCTGAGAGATGTCTGTCACCGCCATAAATTTCCCCAGCAGCAATATATATCAAGGTAGATGGTGGGTATCGGAGAGCTTGAAGAAATATTCCAACCTCTTTGGGTGTTAGAGGGCAGAGGCCGCCAATTCTTTGTTCTATTGGATTGATATTCTTAATCTTCCAATGATTTGTCTTCTCCCTGACAAATCCAAGAGATACAAAAAAAATGGCAATGCATGAAATGTGGCTCAGAGAAATAATATTGATACCTTAAGACATCAGAACTTTTCAAAGAGCAGCAGCCAAATGATGATAACAAAGTTATGTGGAAGGTGAATAATTTCAAAGCAATGCTGAGATTTAATGAATTCATAATGTCACCATATACGAAGGGAAAAAAGTGTTTCACCTCATCACTCTGAGCTCCTCTGATTCTGCATCACTGAGGCCGTAGGTACATCCAGTAAATGACAGCATATCTTTCTCATAGCGTAGATGAAGCACAATGTATCGTTCTGCACGTGATCGCAGTCGCCCCACAAGCTTCTGTGGTGTTCACTGTCATTTATACTCATAACCTAATATAAAGGTAATCCCCGTAGGAAACCTCTTAAATGCTTGAGTAAAAGTAAAAAACAGTGTATAATTTCTCTACCTCGGCTTTGTAATATGACTATAAAAAACTTTCCAAACCATTACATCAATGCAGTGAATGGTTGTAAACATTTAATGGGAACATATTCAAGCTTTCTCTTAATTGATTATCATTGTCCTATTAGGTTTCATATTTAAGGGAATAACAATGGTCTTCACCTTTGCCAGATTTTCGATGGAAGGAGAAAAACGAAGAGCATGATACAGAGCACGGCATCTTAATCTCTGTATATCAAGAGGCAGGTCATTGTTTGCGAGTCTAGAATCTGATTTTGCAACATGAATTACCTACACAATATATGAATAGGTCAACCAAAAGCATAAATAATATATTGCAAATATACTAACTTGCAGTTAAAGAGAAATCTAAGATTCCAATGTCCTACTTTGGATGCATGTTTTCCAAAATGCTCATATCAAGGCAGAGCATCCCAAATCTTGTGAACCATTTTAATATCTTTTCAGTTCCATGTTCATACAGCTGAGACATTCCATAAGCATCTTTCAGTGAGAGAGCAGGTATTTTATTTGTTTGTTTATATATTTTAGTTCAAACTTTGCAAAAGATATTTTGACAGTGTTTAATCTAGAATTCAAATTTTATACATATTATAAGAAAACAAACCATCCTGTATAGTATTGCGTTACTTGTCAGGTTGAATTGGGCAGGTCACTTTTTTTCTAAACGCTTTACCTTCAATGCAAAGATAATGTTTTAATTTGTTAGGTTGTTAAATGAGTTTGGATAGCATTTTGTATAAAGGGATTTTTGAAATGCAACACTTATTGTAATGCATTTTTTGCCTTCTTTTTAACGTTATCTTGCAGTGGATTGTAAGGCTGTTCAATTGGAATCATAGCAATATTAGCATTTACCTTTCTACAAACATGAATGCTTATGAACACTAGGTCTACCAGTTTCAAATCACTAAGCATTATTTGTTCCAGACTAAAGTAAGGATTCACATGATAACACTATATTAACCTTCCTTTGCTCAATGTAGTAGTTCCCCACAATCATATATATATATATTGGTACATAAACATTAACAAGGTGGATTATAACAAATGCGAGATACTTGCCCGATAATCTTTCCATAATTGTTTCATTTCCTCGTAGTAGCCCACACCAGACCATGAGGTGAAGTGCTTCCTAGCTCGAGGTAGAGATTCGAGTTCTTTAGGAAGCTCCTTCACAATCCTCACATCTTGTTGTAAATGTTTAATGAAATGAGGTTCATCAAATACATCAGAAAATGTACTGCAAATAATCCAATGTTAATTAACTCGAAAGCAAGCAAGTACTCATATACGACATCTATAAGCATAATATTATGATATACAATAAGACAGCCCTTGTGACAGCCACATTTTTTTTTTTCTGATATATAACAATTAATAAGTTGGTATCTGGGCATGAAGCAAAAAATAAATTTCAGCAAACCCACATACCTTGTATCTTGCCAGAAAGAACGCTTGTCCAGTTGTGGAATCACCAACGTGGCATTCATTATGTGTGCCACAGCAACCATATCGGCTATCTAAAGTTATTGTAAAAGTGACAATAAAAAGAAAAAAAGAAAAAAGAAAAAAGAAAGAGAGAAATGAGATTCCTTGCATAAAAGCTAAGGTTGGAAAAACATCATGTTGAACTAATGCATATGTTGCAAACCCCCTCCAACTAAAAATTGAGACGTGGGATGGTTTGTAAGATATCAACTTTTCATTAATTTTCATATTATTATATAATAATTTTTGCTTAGGGTTTAGCGTTTGTTTAGAACTAATATGAATCATTCACACGGGTCATGGGTGAACTAAAATTATTCCACCAAAAGTTTACAAACCAAAACTACTTACCCCAGTGCGCATTTGATTCAGTCCTCCATTACTTCGGACAGTGATATAGCGATCCCAACCCAGCACAACTAAAAATGGAAAAAAGGTAGTTCAATTTTAGTGGGTCGCAGAATTATATCAAGGTGCAGAATGAGGCAGGGGTGGATGAGTGGCGTGAGACAAGAGAACACTTAGTTCACACAAATGTAGTAAGATTCAAGTTCTAATTTTCAAATCAAGCAGTTCATCAGAAATGCTTATGAAGATGGTATGAATTCTTTTGCAAATACTGTTAGTTAAGAACACCCTCTTACAAGGACAACAAGGTTAATTGTAGAAGAACACAGGACAGTACCTTTATATTTATTAGTTGGTTCAATGCATGGATGTAAACTGTAGCTAGAAGGTGTTTCCCAAAGTTGAACCTCTAATTGCTGCAAAAAAAATAATGGAAACTATTTGTGGGAAGCTTGATACATTTGAATAATTTAAAAGACTTATGATCACACTGTCGCAATTAGGTATGCCAGAACCTCAAGGATTCCTTGGAGTTGTCAAGACAATAGGCTATGCATAATGGTGGGTTTGCCAAATTGTACAGAAAGTGGATACAAATAACTCAAGGAGCTTTAACATAATGAATGATACTAACCACAGACACACCCCACACAAATGGAACTTATACTAGTCCAAAATGTTCTCTGCTTTATATCTTTCAAATGCTAAACACTAACAATCCATCCTTTTCCAAAGGACAGTGATTCTAGGAGTTTCAGATGTAATATAAAAAACTTAACAACAAATCCAATAATTCTAAATATGGTGTTATGTGTATTGATCTTTTGGAATTTTATTTAGCATGAGATCGGTGGCTAGGTGATTGAACATTATCCCTTCCTCTCTCAGCCTACTTCTCTCCCTATTCAGTTAATTTACTCTACCCTTCAAATTCCACCTATAATCTCTCTGCTTGTCAAATCTGGGCAATTTTCTTTACTCTTCTCCACTTTTTTTTTTTCCTTGAATCAATCACAATATATGGATTCTTCAAATTACTTATACCACTATATTTTTATAAACCTAAAATTGACAGAACTTAATGAATCCACCTCATAAACAATGTATTACCAACTATCCAATTTCAATGTAATAATACTACTAATAATAAAATCCCTCAAACATCCAAAATCCACCGGAGTGATCCACGAATCTCTAAAATTATCCAAAAAATGGCAGCCAACAATCAATCACAACGTCCTAACAGCTCCGATTTGCTTAATGCGGTAACAAACATAACGAATCAAATCAATAAATTAACCAACTTATAAAATAAAGAACGAGTGGGGGCTGGAGAGAATCCTAACAGTCAAATCCATACACGATAACAGAAATATATACAATATATATCAAATAAACGCACCTGCTTCGATTCGGACTTCTCAACTCTAAGTAGAGGCATGGCGTGCTCATCATCGAGAATATCCTTACTGTACAGTATGAAAACAAATATTGACAGAGTGAACAACAGGATCACATAGAGTGCTACTGACAGGACAGAAGATTTTATGGACTTTCGAGACGTCGACGGGTTCTTCAAGTGGCGAAGGCCTCTGTCTCTGTGGGTAACCATTGTCACCTCTGACGGACGACACCACAGGTTAATGGAAAACTCAAGCACACCTGTTCCAAACCACTTTTTCTCATAGCTTCGTCTTCCCTTCCTATGGGGTCCCACGTCCCTCAGATCTTTCTTATTGGACGGCTACGATCATCTCCCTTCTCATTAAATCCTGTCCGTTGATACCTTTGTTAGTTTCATCTGACGGTCGGAATTACTTGAGATTTTTGTAATTCAATTTTACAGGACCCTCCCGGCCCACAATTGGGCCCACCATTAATGGGCCAATACTGATCGGCCCAATCCACTATGATTCGGCCCAATATATATATTTACGGACGTATATGTACGAATCACGCGGGAAGGGCGATTTTTTTGTCAGCATATGGAGAGTAGCTGTCGCGGCGAACTTCGCAATCTGCGGCGACGTTGGAGACAAGGCAGCCGTCGTCAACATCGATGTTTGGACCTCGTAGGCATCGTCGTGCATCGACTATGTTCTCGCCGCCAGCCAGTTCATCACTTTGGATTCATCATTCTGACAAAATTCTCTCCGTATATCACACCCTGCTGCAATTTCATGTCGTGCCCCGGGTTTGGACTTTGGACCCGAATTCTTTGGAGAGTTGGATTGATCGATTCCTGATAGATGGACAGCTCGTTGCAGCGCGCCAGAAGAAGAAGCGGCTACGAGCCGTCGGATACGGAGACTGACTGGCATGAAAGCCCTAAGCGCGAGATTAGGCGGCAGCCGTCTGATAATGCGGCGGACTATGATCTTCTCAATCGCCATGAAATTGGTAATGGTACACCTCGGAGGAGGCACAGCAAGTCTCCGTACAGACCGCGTGGAGAAGCCGACGGTGTTTTGAAACCTGATTTGCGCAGAAATGTGAGCCCTCTTTCTCGAAGAACTTACTCTGATAGATATGTTAGTCCATTCGTGATGTCTGAACAACGGAGGGCAAATTGTAGCGATAATGCTGGTAAAGCTTGTCAGTTTTCGCAATCTGAGCGTAGGACTAATACTGATAATGATAGGAAAACTAGTGTCAGTCCTTTTGCAATGTATGATCGCAGGAGCCATTTTGATACCGACAAAGCTGCAGGGGAGTATTTCGAAGCCAGTAGGGGGCGTGAACGCTCGGGTTATGGTAGGCGGGCAGCATCCACCCCAAAAGGGAGGTTAAGAGTGAGAGGACAGCAAATAAGCAATGATCAAGGGGAGCATAAGAAAGAGCACAGAAAGCTTTCCCCATTGCCTAACAACCACAAGCATGGTGGCCCTTTGGGGGGTGAGATCAATGAAATGGTGGCAAAAGCCAAGATATCCCGTGGGTTGAACAGACATGCTGTTGACATTGAGAGCACTGATTCCATTTCTCCGGGAGATATTTTCTTCTCCCGGGTGATTCCATCTCATCCAAAGGAGCTTCTGCCCAAGCCACCGGGTTATGTTGATGCAACTGCAGAGAAGGCACCGTTCAACAATAATTCTCGAGGAATGTCACAAATGACCACAAATTCTACTTCTGGTGTTAGCAGGCAAAGCAGCACTTTAAGTGGCTCAACTACGACTACTAGTGCGAGTGCAAGAAAGTTTATAGCAAACAGGCGAAAGAGTCACTCAGATGTGTGGTTTTCTTGCATTAAGAAAGGAACTTGCAGGAAGTCCAATAAATCTCCAGAGAAAGACAGGCCTTTTGATGAAGCTTTGTTTATTAGTAATGCGGTTGTGGTTGAAAGATTGAGACCACTTTGGGCTGATAAACATCAGCCTGCTTTGTTGAGCAGGTTCACTTTTCACAAGCAAGAAGCACTGCTTCTACAGAAAATTGTAAGTCTCTACAGATGCCTTCACTAGGGATTCAAATACATTGTCTGTACTTCCACCCAAAGACGAGTACATATCTGTTTAACAATGGCACACTCTAGTTATCTTTTTTGACATTTAGCTATGACTGTAGTTAAATTTAATTTATTGGTGACTTACTCTAGATTGTTTCTTAGGCAAACAGTGATATCTTTCCTCACATCTTGATGAAAGGACCTCCTGGTACTTGTAAGAAAGCATTGACAATGGCACTTCTCCAAGAGATATATGGGGAATCTGTTTCGAATGTACGTCCTCTGAGATTGAATACACTTGACTTTATAAAGTTAACTTCAATTTTCTTATCAGTTAATGCTTTTTTTTTTGTGTTTTTTTCCCCTTTTGCAGATATCACACGACTTACGGTACTTTCACATTATGGTATGCTTGAAATTTGATAGGTCCTTCTCATGTTTTTATGTCTATTGGAAATGTTTTAAATTTTCATGTTCTGAATACCCATTGGAGTCATGCTCAAACCTGCTTTAGTTTTTTGCTTATTGCACATATGTCTATTATTAGTTTGAGTTGATGTTGAGGATGAATAGAAGGAAATCAACACTGTAGTCATTTATTTGAGAATATCAATATAAAAGTCGGTAGATGCATACATGCAAATGGATTGCATTACATGTTAGTTTAGTGCCATTCTTATACTCAGGCACTTGACTTCATTAAAGCACATTAGTGGCGACCACTTTAATCCACCTTTTACTATTATGAAAACTATAGCTAGTATAAATTCATTTTATTATATTTCTTTTTATACTGATGGTCGATCTGGCAACTAGCATGGTTGAACCACTTGCACCATGGATTTGGGAAGATGGTCGATCTGGCAACTAGCATGGTTGAACCACTTGCACCATGGATTTGGGAAGATCTTTATGCCATGCACCATTCACAACTGCGCACAGGACTGTGCTTTTTAACTCTCAAATGGTTGCTTTTTAAATCACCTGTCTGAATAAAATATAATACGGCCTTCCCAACTTCATAGCTTGTTGATCCTCCAAATTACCAATCTTGTCATCAATACTATTTTCCTTATTTTCTTGATCTTAATTTTATTCTTTGTTTTATAAACAGGAACCAAGGCCGATGCAAATTGTTGTTCCAGTTACTTCGAGCCCTCACCATGTGGAGCTCAATGTATACTCAGAACCAAAAGCAGCATATGCATTAACAGCCCTAGTCAAGAAAATAAGCAGCGAGCATGCGGCCCCCCCAGAAATAAGTGTTGTTCCTTTGAGGGCAGATTATAAAGGTGCATCTTCTCAATTGTATCATGAATGTGCTCCCGCTTGAAATTCATTGTCAGAAATCAATGTAGTAACAGATTTCATCGGCTACTGTAGTATTGGTTCTCTATGATGTTGACAAAGCTACGGATAACATGCAACACTTGATAAAATGGATCATGGACTGCTACACCGATTCTTGCAAACTACTTATCTCCTGTGAAGATGATGTAGATGTTATTGAATCTGTAAAGAGCCGCTGCAAGGTCATCGAAGTTGAACCTCTCAAAACTCATGAGGTAAAAAAATACTTTTTGCTGTTATTTTCATGTCCTGTTTTGCTTAGTCAACATGTCATCCTTTATATGTATTTTATTTTATGACATGGTTTTAAATCGTCCTGTCCCATTCTTTTATTGCCTGCATAGGTAATGGAGGTTCTTTCCCAGATAGCTAAAGAAGAAGGCTTTGAACTATCGATGAGTTTTGCTGCCAAGATTGCAAACAAATCAAAGCATAATCTAAGGAGAGCAATCATGGCACTTGAAGCCTGCAAAGCGCACAAGTACGTTAATCAGTGACAAGTTATTTTTATTTTTTTTGATCTTTTACTCTTCCTAACAAGCATGTATCTTCAGTTATCCTTTTTCTGAAGACCAACCTATTCCTCTCGGATGGGAAGATGTTGTTGTTGAACTAGCGGCAGATATTTTAGCAGATCCAATGTCAAAGAGGTTTAGCTTTGACTCGTTGTTGCTATTTTGCTAGTAATTAAAGATTTTCATTGTTACCGATGATCTTTGTAGCTTGTCTATCAATGAACTTTTTATTCAATATTTCTAACAGCGAACCTTATATTTCTTTTGGCTAGATTATTTATTGTAAGGGGGAAGATCCAAAAACTTCTGGCCGATTATGTTCATCCAAGATTAATCCTCCTGGTAATGTACTATACTTATAAGCGCCATTTTCCATGCTCCTTGTATAATTCTGGAGATGATTTTATTAGACAGACATTATGCATTTGCAAAATATGCAATTTCACAAACTGCTATATTACAGAAGCTTGTCGAGCAATTACTTCATGGCATTGAGGCTAGTCGGAAGAGGGAAGTTTACTATTGGTATGCTTACTACGTAAGTCAAAACCCCTTGCTATACTTACTAAACTCAAGTTCCGAATAATGAGGATCTGAAGGAACAACAAATGAATGATTTGAGTTTGATTTGCAGGATAAGAAACTCCCTATCGGGATGACTGCCTTATTAAAACTAGAAGGTAAAAGAACCACTTTGAATAGCTTGGTGACTTACATATGAATATACTATCGTTTTTATTTCAAATTTAACATTTTGTAACACTGGAATCAAACTCTTGAGAGTTTCGACTAGTTCTCTTAATGCCTCACTAATGTGCTCCGATGATGCAGAGTTTGTGGCCAAGTTCATGAGCATATACAGGAAGGGTTCTTCGGCAGGCCGCCAATTTTAGCACACATTTCAGGTGATGACTAAACACATCATAGATGGTTGTGATTTGGAGAAAGTAAATTTTTTCTTTTCTGCTTCAATTTGCCATGCTCGATTACAACGTACAACGATAGAAACCATTTTTGATGAACTTCAATTTTTTACTGAACTATCAAGTGCTCGTTGTTGTGTGCGACACTACTACGTGCATTAGTCACAACATTTGGATTCATTAGTGTATTTGTGAGGGAAAAGAGAAACCCGAGAAAGACCACACGCTTAGTCGCGTATGAGTAAAAATTGTGTGTTTATCATAGGCTCCGAGAAGTTCAAAATGATGTGAAATACACCTGAGATTCGATTGATTCTGTATTGTGTTATTCATGCAATGCCTATGTTTATCTTAGGAATTTTCTTGCATGTATTAGTCTTCGACCCCATACACCCGTCGTTAGGATAGCAACGACCCCCCAAGAATCGAACGATTTTAAGGATAGTCATATCATTCGAACTTCTAACTGTATATATCTTTTATGTCCCGTGAGTTGGGTAGGCTATTTGAGTAGCCAGTTCTGTCTACATAGAGCTATAGATATCTCATCATTCGACGAAGTCGACATAAATAAGGCACAAGTTCAAGTTTTAGGACACAAACATTCATAGTAACCTTGTCTTTAAAAGAGTTGGGAAGTTATGAGAATCTTACTGTTTCGGAGTCCAGACACGAAGGAGTCGATCGTAAAACGAGCACGTCGCAATCACCGGAAGATTCGGCGACGTGCCTCTTTGCCAATCAGCTCCGTATGCGAGCGAACCATGTTTGTTGTAGGTTTCGACCACTTCGATCTTATCGCTTTCGAACCTCACAATCGCAAAGCCATTGTGCATGCACGCTGCGAGCGCCCGTCCCGTCCTAGACGGATGGTGTTTGATCCTCCAAATGCCTCCGCCTAAACAAATTGACGACTCGACAACAGGCTTTGACATCGACCTAACATCCCAAATCCTCAAGTGCTCGTCGTAGCTCCCGGTCAACAGTGTATTCGAATCGCCGGGGCTTTTCGCGACGCAGCAAACGCCCATTTTGTGAGCTTTAGAGTTTTGGAATACCAACTTGGAAGGATCGTCGCGGATATCCCAACAAGCGAACTTGCAGTCGTCCGAGCCGGTGTACACTAGCGTTGGTTGCTGGATGTCGAATGAAGCAGCCCAGACCTCGAAGTCGTGCGCCTTCCAATCGTGTCGTATGCTCAGGCGGGACTCGTCGAGCGAGACTACAGAAACCGATCCATCGGAACGCCCGACTGCCATGGCATTTCCCGACGGATTCCAATCGATGTACAAGCACATTGAAGAGCTGATCATTTGCCCGCATACTTCGCTTAGACAATTCTCTGCATTGAACCCGAAATTCTTAGGAATAAACGAACTATCCCGTGTCGACAGAAAACAACACGAGTGAAAAAGGTAAGAAATGATCAACAACTTTGCCTTAAGATTGAAATCGGAACTTAAGCCTCTACATTCTCGCTTACAAAGTATGCGTATCAGACATTTAATTTTGATTTTTTTCTTCAGAAAACGTGAAGGCTAAATAGTAAAAAATTGTATACAAGCTAAAAAGAAACACACCTTATGAGATGTAAGAAACACAAAAATACGCGACCCTCGCCTTTAAATAGACCAATTTTGAACCTTTTTTCTTCAGAAAACGTGAAGTCTAAATGGTGAAAAACTGTATAGAAGCTAAAAAAGAAACACAAAACACGCGACCCTCGCCGGTAAATAGACCAATGGTATTGAAGCTACGACCATGTTTTTAGCCTCCAAACATTCGATCATATCATCGATAAAAATAAATACACGACCAAAACAAACCTTGGAGAGAAGTCGCAAAAATCAAACCACAATTGTTGAAATGATGAGGTAGTGAAGTCCGAGGCTTTCAAAATTAGGTTTCGAAAGTGCTTTTCAACTCACCGAATAATCACTATCAAGAACAAAAACATTAAGAAATCAAACACGACTCATACCTTTTATCTGCGAACCATCTGAACCACGACATTGAAGGCTATAAATCCTAACATAACCATCGGCGTCCGCTTGAGCAAGCAACGGCAAGCTGCTATCGGAGGAGAGTCTCGGGCTCCACTTGACATCGAAAATTCCGGCGGTTTCGACTGTCTGAATCAACTCAAGCAGACCAGCATCAGCGTTAACATTAAATAGCGAAATGCTACCTGACCGGCGAGGCTCATCGCCCTCTTGAAGGACATAAGTGGAGGCTGCTAGCACGTCGGAGCACGATTCGTGGGGACAGAACTCCACGGCATCTGCATTTCCGTCCAGGATGTAATGTCCTACGTCCATATGTATCTGTCTGTTTATCGATCTGAGTGTAAAGGAAACAGATGGGATTAGAAGAAAAGGAATTCAGCTCGGTTGCGCATTTCGTCGAACAGGTGGTGGACAAAAACGACGAATGCCTAAAAATGAAGCTTGAATTTAGAACAACGTTGAATTTTGGGAATCGATCGGCCAATGTAAGCTTACCAGTTGTGATTATTGATTCCCGAAGCTTGAACAAGGAAATTAAAGAATGGTTGCTGCAAATAGTTACCGTTAAGTTCGTTGGGATGAGAAGAAAGAAGATGAAGAAATAGGGGAAGTGTAACAAGTAGCCTTAGCAAATTTTTTATGCGTAAATATATATATAATTTAAAATTTTAATTTTTTTCCATGATTCGAATTAATTTTTTCTTTTTTGTGTTATTAAAAAATATTTTTACTTTCTTTTTTATTATAAAAAAAATTATACTATTTATTACACATTTTCATTAAAACTTTTACATATATATTTGGATACAAAATTAAATGGAGTGTTAAATAATATAAATACAAATGTGAAAATTAATTGAACTTTGGATCCGGTTGCTTTGCTTGGCACTGTTAACCTTTCTATTTTATTTATTATTATTATTATTATTATGTTTATTATATATAAATATATATTTTATTTATTTATATTCATATTGAAAATACTATTTAATTAAAGTATATATTTATTAGTGAGAAGGATTAAATAGAACAAATAATGAAGTGATACGATGAATATACTTATTTTTTTATTTAGGACCGATGGACAGTATAATTTATCATAGTTTAACTTATATACATCATGACATTATATATTTATGTTATACTCCTTTCGTCCGTCTCTATTATAGACACTGATGAAAGTATCTTTTGTAATTTTTTTTTTAATTTATACTACGTTTTGATATAATAATTAATATTTAAAATCTAATACGATAAAAAAAAAATGAAACTTTAGAGCCAAACTGAAGTAATATTAATATAAAACCATCCGGAAGATATGCCAACTATTACCCAGTCGGAAACGTCGCCGTTTCATATATTTCAAATCAGGCATTAAAACGGTAAACCAGAGAGCCATTAGCATAAAAACTCAAAACATCCAAATGAAGATAGGCGTGAACTTGCACCCTGTTCTGATGTGTTCATTTCATCCCCAATTCGACGTATAGATACAGACCTGTATGTGTGTATAAACATATGTATATATATATACCTCAAATACAATCCCAAGGACAGTTCGAAAGAACGGCAAAGCCACATAAAAAGTGTCACCATCATCATATATTCGACTCCGGCTCTTCCACTTATTCGCGTAGCCACGCTTTATGTACCTTCATAAAATTGTTTGCAAGGCTCCACAGAAAATCAATTACATGGCATGGAAATTTCACGAACCTGGAAAACAATGCGACGCACAACTTAATGATTATTTTCGATTAAGGTAGGATCGTTGCAATAAAAGGAAGAAATTGTTGGTTAAAAGGTGGATACATTGGAACAAGGCCGCTGTATGATTAAATCCACAAGATATTTGTGTAGCTTTGATGTTCTCGGGAAGGTTGAGCAACATCGGCTCGCTGTAGTCAACATCGTCGCCTTGTCCCTGGAAATGGCCACTTTATTTAGTCGATATAATGAAATTTGCATATGAAGTGGAACACAACACAAACAATATTAGGTATGTTTGGTTTGTGTTTTGAACACAAATCAACGCTATTCAGTCTGCACAGTTTTAATTTTTTTTTTTTATTTCTTCTCACAAAATACTGCATCAAAATACTATTTAAATCATAACTCAAATAAAAAACTCAATTTTTAAATCAAAACCAAACAAACCCATTGCTTCTGAAATATGTAATTTACTCACAAACTTATGCATGATTGAAATTTCTATATTTTTGGAGTTTCAATTTTTTTACTATGCAATAATTATAATTCTATACAAAATACATTATTTTTTTTACAAAACATCACATTAAAACCTCTGTTCAAACAAAAAAACAAGAACCGGAAAATTAAATCAGCCTTCAAAAGAATGTGCCGGATTCCTGAAAACAATTTCTACATTTATATCTCATTTAGTTTCCATGAATACTATAAATTAGGAACAATAATTTCATCAATTATTTGGAAGATGAGACCAAATCCAGACGAGTAACGGATCAGCCACTTACTCTTTGATTCACCAAACTAGGTATGTTCATTTGCAATAATCATGTCGATTCAATCCGTGAACAAACCAAGGTAAATCCACTAAACAAAATTTTCTCAAAACTAAAACACAACTGGCAAATGGAGATACTAGTGTAATATGGCGCAAATACTACTATCGAGTGTTCTTTTCTGTAATAGTGTTCGTGAGTGATTTATTCGATGGATTAGCTGTACATTTAATCAAATGGGCTCAAGGAAAATCACTCAACATAATGCAATAGGAATTCTCAACGAGCTGATTTGAGTAAAATTATGAGCATAAATAATTTTGCAAGAAAAAGTACGGTGATAAAACTGACCAATTGTCCTCCGGGAGAATGGCCATCATCTTTAAACGTTCCATTCGATCCACCCCAGCCCCATGTGTAAATAAAGCCACCTAGAGATTAGCAAAACGGCAAGAGGCATGAGCTCCAAATAAGAAACGATACCAAATTCAAACCAACAGAATACTTCATGTTAATTAGAATAGAGAGTTAGAAAGAATTGCCAGAAATTGCCGCAGTATGCTTCCAACCACATGATACCTGTTTACAGCAATATTGTATATGAAAACAAGAATACGCAACTAAATGTTGGCGATTAAATTGGAATGGAAAATATGATTATTTCAGCATTATTTTGATGCCTGTAAATGCGATTCTAGACATGCTTAGGACACAAATCAGGTAACAAGAACAAGAACATTGCTGACGACAAAGCATGCATCTAAGTTTTCAGGACAGTAGACATTACTAACCTTGGTAACTGATTGCCTCAAGAGTGGACCTTGAACTCTTTCAGGGGTGTAAGAAATATCTGTGCCACTGATAAACATTACGCCAATCAAATGAAGCACATTATTGCATAGAAAATAAATTACAACGAATTTCTTATATAACATGATTATATGTGAAGCATAGCATATACCCTATCCCAAGGCAACCGTTCTCGTTGGAGCCCCAAGTGTACATTTCTCCACCGTCTGCCATAAAAAGAAGTGTTTCTAAAACATTTTGCTTTACAGAGAAACTAGGCCAGAAAAGTGCAAGGAAATTGGTAGTGGTAATGAAATTGGATGCTCTTTGGACGTTTAAATTGATAGTATGTCAAAATACCTAATCTGAATAATATGACGAAATGCAAAAAGATTCTTTGAAGCTCAACAAGCGTGTGTAGATGCACAACTCCAAAATTACATAGTGGTTTTTATTTTTTATTTTTTTCGGAGAGTAGTAGTCTCACATGGTTGAAATTGAAGCCAATTTTGTGAGCTTGTGTTACATGGTTTAATTTTTATTATCGTATTCCTGTGTCTAGAATTTCCGTTATCCTCGTGGGATTTATCATTAGACAGCGCTAGAGAAAATTTTACACTAAAGTAAAAGGGGCTTCGGAATTGGAAGATCCCTAAAAACGATGAACGCACTCAACCCAGTACTTCTGTTATATCGATTAGGCCAGTATTAAAAAAGAAAAAACAATGCATTGTATAACTCCGACATAGAATGAGAGCATAGTCCACAAATAATTATTATTCAACTTAAAAGAGAAGCTATAGAGATTATATAATGTGGAAGTCCAAATATGTTTTTTTTTTTTTTTTTTTTTGTGAAAAATCATGAACTGGTTTAAGACATTATCCATATTGGTTTGTATAGGAACACATCTATATTCGAAAAGCACATGCTGTTTTCTCTTCAAACTATCCTTTGATGCAAGTTTCAATTGAGAAAAGCTTAATATTTAATATCTCAAATTCGGAAACAGGAAAGGTGTGAATTACTCATGCTCTTGTTTAAATGAAAATGAAATTAAAGCATATGTTCGATGAAAGGATTACTTGTGACAACACAGGTGTGATAACCACCACATGCAACCTCTTCCGAAGTTGGTAGCGGGCTAATCATAGATGGAGTCGTCGCACTTTTAGCTTTTCCAAAACCCTTTTGAAAATAAAGTTAATGATAATTAGACAGGAGAGTGAGTGGGAGTTTGTAGAAAACATTGTAAGAATCGGATTGCAGTAATTGATGAATTAAGATCATACCCATTTCCCTAATTCTCTTTCGCCAAAGAAATATACACAGCCATTTTCTGTGATATTTAACCAAATTTGAGAGCTTGGTTAAGCTAATTATAAGATAAAAAATAAGACGAGCACATTAACCGTAAATACACAAGTGAAATACCACAAATGCAGGTGGAGTGCAGCATCCCCGCAGCAACACTTTTGACCTAATATAGTGATTCATTGTTCTCAGACAGATTCTTCAAATGAAATATAGATTTTAAGAAAAAGTAAAATGGTAATGTAAAAACTACCTTGATCCCCTCAAGCCCCTTAATTAGTCGGGGTGTATACTCACTGCATTTGACCATAGGAACAACTTGATCAAACATCAGTCAGAAATTGAGGAAACCAAAAAATATATAAACCGGAGGTAGATAATGGATTGCTACTCTTGTCTGCGAGCAATGTCGAAAGAAAAAAAATAAAATTATTTCTTATCAGCTTTCCTAGTAATTTTTCAGAGACATGATCAGCAACACAGTTGACAAATGAAGAATTACAATCTAGAAGTCTTGTTTCAATCCATCAAATGACAAAAGCACATGGAGTTACTTTTTCTATGGAACAAACATCTTTAACAGGCAAATAGACTTTCTTTACCATAAAAATAAAAATATATATACTCAAAATTTCTTATTGTTTCACGAAGCAATACATGCTAATAAAGATGATAGGTGCCGCACATTCTATATGCAGAGTATCATGATACCACAGTTTAAAATTAGATGACTATAATTTCTTAGAAGAAAACCTGCTACTTGTTTGGAAACCAAAAATGCTCGACCCATGTCCATGCCCAAGTCTTCCAGACTCTCCTCCTCCCCAACTCAGAGCTTCCCCTTTATCTGGTGAAAACATATAAGAGATAACAATGGTGAACTATCTGCCATGACAGCAATTCATAGACAATTGTAAAGTACTGTGGACAAGGCTGCTGGTTGTTAGATAAGAGCATTAAGATACATTTATCAGACCTGTGACAGCAATTGAATGCTCGAATCCCAATGATACACTTTTAATGGTGACTCCATCTAAGCATTCAACTTTACGTGGAAGAGGAATGATATTTTCTGCTTCTGCAAATCAGCCCCAAACAAGAGATGATTACAGCGGATGCAAGTGAATTGTAATAACTAAATTGATGAAATTAGACAAATAACAAAAACCAAAAATCTGTTTGACCTCTAGATTTATAATCACTGATAATGATGATACTTTTTAACAATGCCATGTTTTCAGGCACCTACATCAGGGTTTAAGACTATTCACATTTATGACGACAGAATTAAATGGAGACAGTATCACTTACTCTTTCCAAGGCCGAGTTGTCCATTTGCATTCTTCCCCCAGACATAGAGTTCACCGTCAACTATGAAGAGACAGATTAGCATATAATTAGAGTACAATGAAAAAGTTCTTAATACATCGATTGTGAAAAGCTGCTGCAACTACAACAGGCGTGGAAATAAAGCTCCAAAACCAGCCAAAAGACATTAAGTTGTCGCAACAATAGATCGTTTAATCTATGGAGTAATCGAATTCAGTCATTTAAAATTAAGTAAAAGGGAAATAAAAAATTAAGCACATCCATAATATAATATTAACTCAGTTTCAAGGTAGATATATACATACTGGCACATGGATTCACTTTGTGGAAGTAAATATACAAAATCTCTGGGAAAGTTTAGCAGCACCATCGTACTTGCTAACAAATTTAAAAAGATGTTTTTGAATACTGAACCTGTAATGGCAGCAGAATGATGATAACCGGCCGAAATTTTAATAATCCTTTTAGGAATACTAGAAATCCTGAGAGGCTTCTGCAACGATTATTACCAAAATGAAGTATCAGCAGACAAAGTGAACCATTGAATCTTAAAAAAGAAAAAAAAAAGTTCCTTAATGATAAAGGAATGGGCAAAGAAGGAACTGTACTCTTTCAACATCACTATAAGTAACGTGAAAATGTCTAAACAGTGGAAGCAGTAAACACATAATATTCTTGATTTTTGCCAACACAAAATTATTAACCAATATCAACCATTTTAATTTATTTATTTTTCTTGAAACAAAACCACTTTTAAACAGCAGAGTGGGAAAAATGGGGATATTGTCGCGGTGGCATACAATTGCATAATTTTGAAAATCTGATATCCCTAGCTGTCCGAAGTCATTGAGTCCCGTAGCATACACATCTCCATTTTCTGCCACATAAAGTTACTTTAAGAAATTTCAATAGCTGAAATATAGATAAAAGTAAAGCTATATTCCGAAGTTTACAATAAAAATCCTATAAATCCACCACTTGCAATGATCAAGTGACGAAGCACAAGATTTCAGCCATCAAATGGCTGATTACAACCAGAAATAAATGATTAGAAAAATTCTGCAGCATCATAAGCTATTCTCAGAGATACCCGAGGTTCGTCTACTGCGCAAAAAGATTACTTTTGTTACAATTAATTGAAAATTGCATTTTCATATGCAACGATTGCCAAGAACTATAGCAGTTAGCCACCAAAACATACACATTTTCTTTGAACAAAATGAGATCGATCGGAGTATGCAAAGTTTAGGGCGATAAAAATTATGGCAACATCATAAGCTATTTTCAGGCATAACCGAGGCTCGTATACCGCACAAAAAGACAATTTCTGATGCCATTAATTTGAAACTGCATTTTTCTATGCATCGATTGCCAAGAACTCCGGCAGTTAGCCACCAACACATACACATATTCTTTGACCACAATGAGTTCTATTCGGAGTATGCAAAATTAAAGAGCTTATCCCCTGCAACCATCTAATTCATCGAATTTACGGTGATCAACAAAGTCCATGCTTCAAAAGATACCCCATACGCCATTCTTTCATTCCCAACAAATCCTTCAATTCAGAAACCTTTTGTTGTCTAATTATTACGACAAATTCAAACAGAATTCTAGCAATAGCCATTTGAAGTTCAACAACATCCACAGCAGAAACCTTTTCAATGTAAATTCAAAAAAACGCGATGGATTCTCATCAAATCATACTATCCATTGTCCAATGTCAAAAAACAAAATGTTCGAAAACAGACAAGAATAAGTAGAAAATTCACCAGTGAGAAAAACTGTGTGAGCGCCGCCGCAAGCAACCTCGATCAAACTCTGATCATCAAAAGCAGACGACGCAATCGGTTTGGGCCTCCACTGGGAATCCAAACTGCCCAATCCGAGCCTCCCGAAATCCCCATTTCCCCACACGCCGACGAATCTCTTTCCTTTATTTAACTCTTCCGCGCGTCCGCCATTATCGACAGAAACCCACCTTCGAGGGACCGATCCGAAGGCTGGACTTTCCTTGCTCGCTAAGTTCAAAACGGGCGCCAGTTTCTTTGCGCGGGCATAAGCTCTTGACACTGCCGCCATTCTCAAGAACTGTGGATAATCAACCGGAGCTCATCGAGAATTGGGGGTTTTTGAGGTTCTGGATGACGGGAAATTCAATGCGATGGAAATATAAATTTTGACTTGTGGCTTGATTTAGTGAGACGTAGTGTGCTTTTGCTGTCGCTGCGTTGCAGAAACTAATTCGCATTTGATCGTTTGTAGCATTTAATGCTAATCTTAATACAATGTCCCCATGATTCGATCCAATTCATTAGCCCAATAAATCAGATCCAATTCATTCAACCAATTAGTAAGAGCAGAGTTTATAAATTTAATTCATTCAAATTAAACTTTTAATAATTAATTAATTATTGTATGTTTTTATTCTCCATTTTAGAATAGAATTTTAATAATAATGTTAGAATTTGACATAATAATTTGTAAGAAAATAGTATCAAATATAATGTACTTGAAAAAGTTCAGAAATGGAATGATACAAAATTTTTTAAAAAATAATACCATGTTAGATGATATAATTGACCATCTCACCCAAAGTTTTAATATGTTAAAATACGGATCATTTATTTATTTACTTATTTAGTTTTAGATTTAATAAATTAAAATTTAGTCTTATCTATATATTTATATTATTTAGATTTGAATTTATCAAATTGTCTTTATTACCATTCAAATGTCTCAAATAATATTTCATTCATCTATATGTATGGGTCACCTTTACTTTTTATTTCATTGTATTTAATATTAAAAATATTTTTATATTTATATAATTTTTTTTTGTACAAATGTCTTTATATTAGTATTATAAGATACTAATTAAAGTATTTTTACAATTTTTTTTTATTTGTACCACATTTTGATATAATAGTTAATAGTCGAAGATCAATCCACAAAAATCAAATGAAACCTTAGAGTCGGACGAAAATAATACAACAGTATCATAAGTGTTCTAGTACTATAATTTTGGCTGCAGATTTTACGCTGATTTGATCCAATCGGAATATATAATAAAAGTATACAATATATATATATAATACTCCCCCCGTCTCATTGAAATGTTACCATTTTCTATTTTCGTCCGTCTCAAAACAATATTACCATTTTATAATTTAGTTATTGTACTACCTACCTAACATAATAAATACTCTTTCAATTTACAATATGTTACACAAATGTATTACTTTTATAGTACACCATACTAATGGGTATTTTTATCTTTTTATTACAATCCAATATATTACTAATATTAAAAAATTTACGTGCAAAAAGCAAATGTCACACTTCCAATGGGACGGAAAGAGTATAATATAATATATATTGTATTATTACAAATCCATATATTGTGATTCGGTTAGCACCAAATCCACACTCCATAATTTTCCTAGTACAAAGTGAAAGGGTTCAAACGGACAAAAGAAAAAGAGGAAAGCATAACGAGAATTTGTACTTTTTCAGCATTCAAAGAGTGCTCTTCAAGTAAGGTGTGTTTGGTAGTTACCATATAGAATTGAAATATATTAAAATTTTAATTGAAATAAAATATTTAATTATTGTAACAATAAAGTATAAATTATTTATTACTATGATATTTTAAATAAAACTATATATTTAATTTAATAGTTTAAAAATATAAAAATTAGTGTGAAATTACGTCCTCATTACTTTTGTTATTTTTAGTCTTAGAGCTGTCTTTTAAGATTGTAGAATTTTAATAATTTTTTACTATTTTTTTTTTTTTTTACGACTTTATAAATATATTATGTATAAATTAAAAAAAATTACAAAAATTCTTAGACATCCCAATTAAAAAAAGACTAGAAAGAAAATAAAAATTGGGACGAATATAGTATAAATAAAGTGATTATTCATTGTATATACAATTTTTTTTTTTTTTTTTTTTAAATGTGAATTTGTTCATATTATATAAATTACAAACTTGGTGTCACTTTAGTAGTCGGAATGAGTTTACTCTTCCCTCATATCATAGCTTAATTAATTAAGCAAATTATGGCACCTGTTTCAGGTAAATAGATTTCTTGAACAGATATTTAAATTTAATTTGGCTGTTGGAGCAATTTTCATTTACAAGTATTTGTTGAAATTTTATTTATTTATTTTGTGAAGGGGTTGGATTAATTGTGCCGGAGACGTTGACGGAGGATAACTACGAGCAATGGAAGCGTTGTCTGAAGAATTATTTGGTCGGGCATGACCTATGGGGCGTTGTCTCCGGGAAAGAACCCGAGCCGGATAAAAGAGAAGAAGAATTACACGCCAATTGGAAGAGGAAAAATGCGTTGGCGTCGCATGCCATTCAATTGTCGTGTGGAACGAGTATATATTCCAAGTTCGACAAGGTACATGTATCCGCTTTGTATGCATGGACTCATCTCGCGGAAAAGGCTTTGGTGCCGCGACTGCCACCTTCGTCCGATCATGAAGATGAACATCAAGTCGTAGAAAACGGTATAATATGGGTTTGTTTGTTTAGTATTTTGATTTGAATTTTTGTCATGTCAAGGTATGGAAAATTGCGTCGGTAATATAAAATATAAAATTTTATGTTAAATGTTGATTTTTGTGATATTATAAAATATATATGGAAATTGTGTTGGAAAAAAAATGATGGGTGAATAAACCTATAATTAATCACATTTTCACAAGAGGGAATTATAATTTTTGGTGCAAAAGATTTATAAGAAAATGAAATGTTCATATTTACAAAAATTGTGAAAATTCAAGCTTTAAAACGTATAGATACTTTGATAGGAGGAAAAAAAATAAATAAATGGAATTTTAGTTTTTATAAGCAAGAGATTTTGACTTATATTTGTTTTTGGATTTTCAACTTAACTTTTATTGTTCATTAATTCTTCCGATTAAAAAAAAAAATCAAATTGAATATTTATTTTTTGTATTAGAGTAAAAACCAATTTCATTATTCAAAACTCAAATATCAACCTCTAAATCGATAATAAAAGGAACGATAAAGAATGAAATAGAAAATAATTTACTTACAGCTCGTGTTAAATAACCAAAATACTAATGAGTGTCACTTATCGTACTAAAAATAAAAATTCTCTTGATCTTATTGCACAATAAACTATTGATATTATCGCGAATCTTATCATGTAGAGACCAAAACATACCTCAAATACGAAGTCCTTTACCGTGCAATAGAAGACGGCGATTTTCAGAAAACGAAAGCCATGATTGAACAAACACCGGATGCAGTTAGAGCAAGGGTATCATCTCACAACGATACAGCTCTCCACGTTGCAATTTTATGCGGATACATAGAGATCGCCGATTATTTGGTAGGCAAGATGGAGGGGCGCGACTTGGCGATGATCAATGACTATGGAGCGACTGCGCTATCTCTTGCCGCGATATGTGGTGCGACCAAATTGGCGAAGTTAATGGTGAATATGAACAATAGTTTACTGACCATGGAAAACGAGCACGAGGATGGCCAGCTTCCGGTGATCGTTGCAGCTTTGTATGGACAGAAAAAAATGGTTCATTATCTCTACAACGCGACGCCAAAATCGAAGTTGAGCTTGGAAAATGGCGAGAATGGAGTGAAGCTGCTCAATTGTCTTATTACTGCGGAAATTTATGGTAAGCCTTTACTATGTATATATAGTGACGGAATCAGCCTCTTAACTTTTTGAGGATAAAGCTGTCTAGTCGGTCAATTTTTTATGATTTCATTTTAGTTTTAACTTTTTGAACTATAATTTTGCAATTCATACTAACAATTCGACTTTTTAAAAAATAAATAAAATTGTAAGAAAATAAAATAAAATTTCACTTAGAAAAAAATTAAAAAAGTATTGGAAGAAGCTGATCAACACGCAAGCCCCTTACTAGATCCGTTGCTATGTATATATATTGAATATTATGTTTTCTCACTGTCAAAAGGGTAAATTTTTTTTTATTATTTTTTTGTTAGAAAGGATAAATTTACTTTCAAATTCGAGTTCTACAAATATATCATCTAGTGTAGCAAATTTTAGAGAAGAATACATTTAATGAAGCTTGTAAAACAATGTTCTTAAATATTGTAGGGAAATATGTAATGATACTTCTTATCATTTTGATATTTAAAGTGAACAAGTATGAAAAATTCATATATTATTAATTTCACTTCTGTAAAAAGTTTTTTGGATAAACAAATCTATTTTTATATCGATAATTTTGATTAAATACTTGTTTTTTGTATAGATACTGCTTCGATGCTTCTTAAAAAGTATCCTAGATTGGGTATCACGCCGGACTCTACTGGCCATTATGCTCTGAAAATATTGGCGCAAAAGCCCTCGGCATTTCCTAGCGCGACCAAGTTTGCGCTTTGGGAGAAATGGATCTATTATTGTAAGTTTTTTTCATTTCGAACCGATGAGCACAATTTATTTCAAGTAATTATAGGCTAAACATAGATTATTTTTACATGAATTCGTAATCTTCGTTGTTCTAACTATGTAGGGGGTTAATGACTTATGCCTACGATCTCATATTTTTAATTTCTTACCAAAATTGTGTTATATGTTTACATATATATTTGAACTCGATCGCGCGCGTGCACACACACACACACATATATATACATATAATTACATAGGTGTTCGAATTCATTCTCCTTGGGACGATGAAAAAGGACCATCGCCGCATGGTGAAGACAACACCGACAATGTGGAGCACAGAACAGTTCATATTCACGAACCAACTCGAGAAGAATTTGATAACAATAACATGCAAGACGATGAGAACCCTACTTTTCGAGGTGAGTATATATATTTCCACTCGCTTTTCCTTCAAGTTATATAAATTATAATTGAGTTCAAGTTGAAGTCGATCATAAGTTTCTTATATACCTTGTATTAATTAGTGTTATGAGAAGATTACGAGTTGTTTTGGTTTATTGTTTTTTAGACAAACTAATTATTGGATTTGATCTTTTATATAGAAAATGAGTGTGTTCTTTGTTGACAACGATGGGATTAATTACATGGTAAAAAATGACAAATTGTAATTAATCTCAGCATACGATTGCATGTCAAATTGTATGTTGTTACTAATGTTGTGAGGTTTAATTTTGGAATTTGATTTTGCTAATTAACCTGTTAGAAATTTTGGGGGAAAATAATGAGATTGTTTTATTATCGTCAAATAAGGAGCCTATATATAGGCCATACAAAATAGACTCGATAGACTCAAATCTAAGTAATCATCTATAAATAAGATTAAATCTAGATATAAATCTACTAAATATGAATATCTAAAATATCTCAACATAACCATTTTTGAATGTTTTTGTTGCTCTAGGTTTGTTCCATAAATTAGGGTGGACCATATTAGGATGCTTTGGTAAGTATATTCTTTCCTTCTTGATTTATATGTAGACTTTAATTTATTTTAACATGGGTAATACATAATTTTATTTCATTTTTTTTATCGAAAAAAATATTGGAGATATTAATATTGTCTTATTTATAATTTTGTATAATTGGAGATATATATATATTTCTAAACACCTTATATATAGACAATCCTCAAAATACTATCATGTTATATGATAAAATTGACAAATGTGTATACAAGACAAATTTCACATAATTATTCCTTGCAAGTAAGTGTATGTCTATTTTATGTCCCATGATCATCACATTTCATAATAATTAATTGTTATATATGTTCATATTTAATTGCAATTTTTAACTAATTCAATCACATTAGCAAGCTTTTCTAAAATTTTATTTTAGTATATTATGCTAAAAAAAAAAAAAATTATATTTACCCTTTTGATTATTTTTACATTTTATCGACTAATTTATTTGAAATTTAGTTCCGAAGATAAAATCAATCCATCATAGAAAATTGGTACACGACGAATCTATGAAACTCCTAAGTAGCATGTTCCAGGAGCTACAAACATTGAGCGATATGGAGCTTCGAAATATGGGCATTGACTCAATAATTTACGATGCTATAAAGCACGGGATTATTGAGTTCATATCCGAGATGCTAAAGTATAAGCCGGAGGTCATATGGAAGAAAGATGAAAAGGGAAGAACAATTTTTGCACATGCGATTGTGCTACGACAAGAAAGTATATTTGGCCTCATACATGGCCTTGGAATCAAGAAAAACATAATGGCGCGCAGACACGACGCTTTCAAAAACAATTACTTACATCTCGCGGCAAAATTATCTCCGCCTTCTCAACTAGCGCGTGTTTCTGGAGCAGCGCTGCAAATGCAACGGGAGCTACAGTGGTTTAAGGTATTATTTCATCCGTTCGATGCTTTTTTTTATTTAATTTCTGATTATGGGATAACAACTAAATTTTTTTATGACATATTTTATCGTTTTGGTCGCTTAATTAGACAATGTACTAAGTTGTCTTGTATCTCATCCATCCGCGTCGATCTAATGGCTTGTGTGTGCACGTGACACTTATGCATACATTGTGGATTCGATCTCTATATGCATAAGTTTCAGATGTAAGATTATTAAAGTGAAGATGAATGAGATACACGATAATTTCTATACAAGATCTCTACTATGACTTTGTTTGTTTATTACACAGTTCTTAGTAAAAATATATTATTTTCTATCACAAAATATTTGAAAATATATATTTTACTAATGTTTTTATAATTTTTAATAATTAACAATAAAAAATTTTAAAATTGAAAGAACGCAATCTTTGTGTCGATAATAACACCCTTCACGAAAATTGAGATAGGATTTAGGGGAAAAAAATCAGACAAAAACATTGGATGTATTTCTTTAAAAGTTGGCTTTAGGTTTGAGGTTTGTAAACAATAACAATTTGAATTGAAATAGTATTTTGATATAATATAAATAGATATTTGATGTAATATTTTTAATGAAAAACTCTTTTTTTGTGTAATATAGTAAATAAAAATTAGATGTTTGGTTTTGTAATTTTAGAAAAAAAAATTAGATGTAGGCTTTTTATTTGATATATATATATATATACTCGATTATTACTTTTTAACGATTCCTCTATATAGGAAGTCGAGAGCATTGTTCAACCAAAGCTCAAAGACGAAGTAAACGAGAACAACAAAAACCCCGAAACCCTTTTCACGGACGAGCACAAGGCCCTAATGGCCGAGGCGGAAACTTGGATGAAAAACACCGCGGGGTCGAGCATGATCGTGGGAACCCTTATTGCAGCCGTCATGTTCACCACAGCTTTCACCGTACCCGGTGGTAATAGAAACGACAATGGCCAACCAACCATGTTAGAAACTCACCCAACTCCATTTCTCATATTTATGATCTCCAACGCGCTCTCGCTCTTCACCTCCTCGACCTCCTTGCTAATGTTCCTCGGAATTCTTACAGCGCGCTACGCCGAGGAAGATTTCCTCAAGTCATTGCCCACAAAGTTGATTTTCGGGCTCACTTGCTTGTTCCTATCCATTGTTACGATGATGGCATCTTTTGGGGCCGCGTTGTATTTGATCCTCCATGAGAAGCTGTCTTGGATCACTATCCCGATCATTGTTCTATCGGTCATCCCCATCGTTCTTTTTTCCATGTGCCAATTTCCGATATTAATTGAGATGATCGCGCGCACTTACAACTCGAGGATTTGTAATAATCCTAAGAAGAATGTTCCCGTTGCTATGCGTCTCGGTTAATTTTTTTAGCCTAGCGAGCGATATGTTTTCTTCGATGTTGTTTGTACTTTCAATTTGTTGAATGTTTTTGTTGAGGATTGATTTCGAGCGGTATTTGAGTAAGTACCGAAGTTTGATGTAATGTTTTGTATAAAAAAAAATGATTGTGTTATATGTTTGAATTTTTTGAGAAGTAATTCACGAGATCATGAACTCGTCCTTCCTTTCTAGTTAGAACAGCTAAATAATTATGTTCATTTGGTTGTGTGGATGTTTTAATAAGAGTGCATAATAATTATTACTTTTTCATTTATAGTATAAAAAAAAAAAAAGGTATAAAAGTGATACTTGGTCCATCAAAATTATGTTTATTTTACCATTTTATTTTGTCATACCATTTTTAGTAAAAAAAGTATAATTCATTTTATAATTTTTACACATTATTTTGATATTAATTTACATTTATGTCATTTTCTTTTTACACTCAATTTATATTATATTTTTATCAACCCCACAAAACTTTCAATTATACTCATTTGTTTTGGATTTTGTATTTAAGATTTGAAAAGTAAAATTTTTGAATTTGAATACTTATATAACCTAATATAAACAGATGTTGATGTAATATCTTAAAAGTAAAATTGATTAAATATTTTTTGAAAAAAAAATAAATTATTAAATAATAAAATTTTGGATAAAAACTCTAAAAAAAAACACATCTTTTTCTCAAAAAAAGTACAAAAGTAACATCAAAATACTATTTTTCTTAATCTACATTCCCAAAAGTTTTTAGCATATTTTTTGATGGATTGAGATAATTTTTTTTTTTTTTGTAAAATGAAATAAAAAGTAATTTTTTTATTTTATGACAATCCAAAAAATAAAGTAGATATCAATTTGAATGACAAAAAAAGTAAATTTTTGGTAGAAGAAAAGGAAAATTGAAATTGTATAATACAAAAAGAAAAATAAGTAGAAAATAAATGCATTAAGTACATATTTCTAATTCCGGGATTTGATTTTTTATGAATCTATATAATTTAAAATATATATCTTAAAAATAAATATGCATATGAAAAATATTTTATACATCATATTTTAATTGGATAAATATCAAATACGAATGTAATAATATTTTATAAGTACTATAATAGCATACTACAGTATTAAGTAAATATCAAAGTAATATATATATATATATTTAAAATATATATCTTATAAATAAATATACATGTATACATCATATTTTAATTGGATAAATATCAAATACAAATGTAATAATATTTTATAATACTATAATAGCATACTATAATATTAAGTAAATATTATACTCCCTCCGTCACATATACCATGTCGACGTTGCCGTTTCTGTCCGTCCCACGTACCATGTCACTTTCCTTTTTTGGAAAATTATTACACACTTGAATCTCATTTTAAATTTTTAAATTTTATTTTTTTAATTAAACTAATTAGTTATATTAATGTTAATTTATAATTATTTATATTATAGGATAATTATTTTCACTAATACATTCTTAATTATCTATTAATTACATCCCTCCTAAAATACCGTGTCTACAGTGTAACAGACACGGTATCTGGGACGGATGGAGTAGTAATGTATATAGCATAGAGAACGGTTATTCTAATTTTTCAAATTAGTACCTACAACAAATGTGTGTAATAAAGACAAGTGTGTTGTATAACATTATATAGTGTGCTAAAATCAATTGTTGGGCGTGCTATAATAAATTATATAATACATATACTGCGTACTGTCAGTACAATATTAAATTTTAAAATTCAGCACTGTAACCGCCGTCCTATAACATATTATTATAGTAATTATTATATATATATATATATATTTCACATAATATTGGTGTGAGATAGCCTAAGATATTTGGTGGTTAATAATATTATTAATTGTATATTATATTAAGTATTAAGATATGGTATATGATATTATAAAGCAATGAGTGTGTAACCGTTACAAGATTTCCTATTAATCTTGTCACAAAACTTTATCCACAATTATCATATGGCTATAAATATGTTGTCATGCATTAGTAATTTTATTCGAGTGAAAAAAAATATATAGATACATATCGATATACATATCATGGCGAAAATGGCTTCCTATGTTTTTCTACTTGTCTTACTTCTTTTTTGCAATGGTACAAACTTATTTTTTTTCCCTTTATTTTATGCTCTTCAAATTGAAAAGGAAATATTCAAATATTATATTATATATATATTTGTATTTCAAGAAAAAAATCATTTGAAATATATATTTTTTTTAAAAAAAATCTAATTTATCTTCTTTCTCGTGCATATAACAAGATTATTGATGAACGTCGAGTTACTCACTTAATAATATGAAAAATATATTTATTCATAGGTCATGAGCCGGCGGCCGGGATTTGCACAAAGACTATTCCTTCGGGCGACTTGTGCCAGCGGGCCAAATGCAATGCCGACTGCAAAAAAACATTCGGAAGTCTAGCCAGCGGGCGTTGTTTGATAGTTGATACATGTACTTGCACATATCCTTGTAAATGATGAATAGTGATATATCGCTTTATCGTGGTTTAAAGAATGAATAACATATAGTCGTTATTGGCTATGTTTTCTACATTTTTTTTTTCAATTTTTTTTATTATTGAATTACATCGTTCTTAATAAAATATATTTATTGGATATTGCAAACATCGACATGAACTAAGTTATTTAAAAAATAATTAAAATCAAAAGTTATAGGATTTAAAAAGAACACATCCATTATTTAGAGGAAATTGTTCTTTTATATATGTATATAGACAATTTGAGCATCGCAATTTTCTAAATATTCTAAATAATAAAAGTCTAGAATAGACAATAATAATAATAATAATAATAATAATAATAATAATTCAATAAACTAATTTTTGAAAATTTTGGTCTTTCTAGACCTAATCTAATGCATTTTTCGAAAAAAATAATAAGATAATCCAGCCCGGTCCATTAGACTCAATCCAAACCCTTTAATCTGATTCTTAATCCAAACCCTTTAACCCTAACCCTAAGCGTGTTAGATGGTTAGATGATAAACCGTGGGTTATTTGAGGGTTTGAGAGGTTAGTTTATAGGAGGGGTAAAAATATTCTTTTGACAAGTTTTCTCCAATTTTACTATTTAAATTTTATCGAAAAAAAAAATTTATATTTTTATTTTAATAAAACATCCTATTAAACATTATTTTAATAATAAATTTAAATTAATTTTTTTCCAAACACAATCAAAATTTATCATATTTTTTAAGTGAGGAGTGAGTCTCATTTTTAAGAGAAAAAAACCTCGAGGGAATCCGATGGAGAGATAGAGAAAGAAGAAAGGGAGAAATCATGATTCCGGTGAGGTTTTCGATAGCCAATTCCGGTGAGCGTCGAAATCCAATTATCCCTCTCGCCGGTGAAAGAAAGATAAAGATAGGAAGTTCGAGTTCGTCGGGTAATAAGAAATCTTCACGGGAGGAGTTCACCGCTGCTAATATTTTGTATTTAGTATATTATTGAATATAAATTCACAACACTAATGTACTATTATTTGCCTTTAAACAAATTTCAATACTACCGGCACAAATTTTATATCTTGAAGTTGATTTCAACAAAAATTTTGATAATACAATCAAATAAATTTTTTATTTTTTCGAAATAAACGTTACAATCACACCATTTCTTAAGTTATGAATGAGTAAAATTAACCTTCATGGAATTTCATATATATATATATATACATATATACATGCATTTTGGAAGATCGCGGGCTAAAGTACGGATATCGATCTGTCAGGATCGATCAAGAAGTCTTCATATGTCGCGAGAGATTTCAATTGACGACTAAGAGAAGCAATCGTCTTTTGGCACTCGGCAAATTGACTAGCGGTTGCTGCCAATTCTTGATCCTATGCATCGGTAGAAAAATATTGCATAGTAAAAAAATAATTACAATAAAAAATATTATATTTAACAAAAATAAACAACTCAAAACATTAAAAAAAAATAAAAAATAAAAAAAAATTACTTTCTCCATCCAGACTAATTATATCATAATACGAGGACACGGAAACTAAGAAATGATCGTATTTAAATATAAAAATAAAGTAGATAAAAAAAAGTAAAAGTATTATAGAAAATTTATTAAAGAATTAATAAAAAATAAATAAATAGAAAAATAATATTAAATTAGTTATTATTTATTAAAGTAGAGATAATGAAATTATGAATAGATAAAATTATTTACAATAAATAGATTATACATACGTACAGATAACTAAAGAAAATAGTACTCCCCCGTCCCATAAAAATGATACTATTTTCCATTTTTGTCCACCCGAAAAAAAAAATATTATTTGCTAATTTAGTAATTGTACTACCTACCTAACATAATTAATACTTTTACAACTTCCAATATATTACACAAATACCATTACTTTTTTACCACACAATCTAATAGGGAAAATTTTGTATTTTTTCACTATAAACCAATATAATACTAATATTAAAAAATATACGTGCAAAAAACAAATGTTACTTTTTTGCGAGACGGAGGTAATATAATTATTCTGGACGAAAAAAGTATCTCAAAATACACGTAAATATGGTCCTAGTATTTCTACCATAAAAATGACCAAACAAAAAGTTTATTCAATGGACAATATTGAAAAATTATATATTATGTAATGAATTATGTATATTTTTTTTATTAATTTAAACTTTTAGGTGAAATGACTATTTGACGCATAAGTTGTATATTAAAGGCAAAACAGTGTATAAAGAATCGAAAGGATTCTAACCTCGTCAAAACTCGCGAATCTTGTGTGATGAGAATCAAGTTTCATCCTCGACATCTCGGCTTCCAATTGTTCGCCCTTTGCGATAGCTTCCTTCGAAAAATACCTCTCCATCTCGAGCTCTTTTTCTAAGTTAGTAATGCTCGACCGCAATGTTTCTAACTCGGATCCCATTTCTACAATCTTCGCCTCGGCTTGTTCTTTTTTCGATTTAGTATCCACAAGTTCCTTCTCTAGTTTGATCTTCGCATTGTTTGCTTCATCCAAACTATCTTTTATACTCGTAAGCTCGACACTCATATACTCGGCCTCTTCCCGAGAATTTCTCTTTGCCTCATTAGCTAAATCCAATTCTTTTTTCATTTCAATCGCCTTAGCCTCCATTTGCTTCAACTCGATTCGGGACTCATTCAAAGCAGACTCCAAATTTTTGTTCTCAAATTTTATTTTCTTCAAATCCTCTTCGAGCTCGGCCACAATGTTCGTCAATGCATCCATTTCATTCTGAGAAGTAGTCTCGCCATCGGGTAGGGCCGCGAGTCTCTCCATCTCGAGGAAATCATCCATTAGATCAATCCCGACCGGAGGACTAATTGAGCTTCTCGAAAAATTTCTAGTATCACGACTCGTAGACAAAATCATTGGCTCGAGCTCTTTGGTTTTCGAGTGTAGTTTTGACTTTAGCGCCGAGTTCTCGTCCTCGGCAGCCTTGACCCTAGAGAGCGCATTATCCGCTTCGGTTTTGGTGTCTTGAAGCCGAGCTCGAAGCTCGGCGAGCTGGCTTTCGAATTCGGATTTTGTGGATTCCCATTTGCTTGTTTCTCTCACAATCGCGTCGCAGATCTTCTCCTCTTGTTCCTCCCTTGCTCGCCGGAGCTGTCTCAAGCACTCCTTAAGCGCTCCATCGAGATGGCCGATGTGCTCCTCGAGAGCCGAGGTTTTTTGAGCCAACGCGTTGTTTTGCTTCTTCAAAGATACAACTTCGTTCTCCGCTCTTTCCCATCCTATGTCCGGAATAAGAAATGTGATGATCAACATGCTAGCCAGGGACGGATTTACATGGGGCTAGGGGCAGCTGAAACCCAAGCCCCAAAATATATGTATAAAAAATAATAAAATTATTAATTCTCTCCCCCCCTTCTCCCAACTGATTTTTTATTTTATAATGATTTTTTAAGTAAAAAATATTTTGTCGAAAGAAATTTTAAAAAGACAATATTGAATTGATATAAAAAATATATATATTACCCCTCGAAATTTTACAGTTGATTCCGTCACTGATACTAGCCGTTGGTTGATTATATAATATGTAATTAATTGTGCACTCATAAACTTATACTTTTAAGAGATGGTCATTTATAGAACTAACTCATATATATATATATATAGAGAGAGAGAGAGAGAGAGATACCGGAGACGGCTTCCTCGGCAACTTTGGCGTGTTTCCTTACTAGGTCGTCCTTGGCTCGAATATTAATAAGGGCGTCGGATAGCTTTACCGAGAGAGTCTCGACCGTATTGTTGAGTACTTGCCCGTCGCCGCTCGTGGCTACATTCCAAATAGGTTCCGAACATTGTGTGTTATGATTCAATTGTATCTGTCAACAATGAAACGACATCGATCAAAGCTAAATATAACACAAAATGTACGTTTCAATTTATTTACTATCAAGAATTTATTTAAAAATTGTGTTAATATTACTTTGGTAAATCAATAACTCAAACACGGCCTTGAACGGGAAATTCAACAAGATTTAATTTGTTTTGAGATGGTAAAAGTTTTGGAATTTAAAAAATAAAAATAATAAAAAGTTAAATACATGATATTTTGTCTAAAATAATAAATATTTAATATAATACTTTTTTAAAATAAAAATTTATTATTCGAGTAAGTCACATGTTGGTGTCGTAGTAATGTAGTATGAACACTCTGTCCTGTTTGTTTAACACAGACGCAACAGACTATAGATAAGACAAAACCTTCATAACATCAAACACAAATGGGACATGTAATGTGAGAGATTTAAATATTATATTTAATTTTTATTTAATTTTTTTATATAATTAACTATTTATTTATTATTAAGTTGAAAATACAATAATTTTTTTTTTTTTGTGAACAGTAATTTTTCCATCATCTGTTCTTTAATTCCGTTCTATATTAATGGACTTTTATAATTTTGTAATAGATTAAAAAATAATAGTATTTTATTAATTAGTGGAAGTGCGTAAGAGTTTTTTAATGTTTTTGCTTTTTGTATTTGGGTGTGTTTGTTTGAAGGTTTGGATTTTGAGTTCAAGATTTGAATAGTAAAAATTTAAATTGAAATAGTTGTATGATGTGATATAAATAAGTATGAATGTTTTGAATGTAAATTTAATTTTTAGTATAATATAAAAAATAAAAAATAGGTATTTAATTTTATATTTTTTGAAAAAAAATTTTGTGCGAATAGTGAAAATTCTCCAAACAAACACAGGCTTAGGTATGAAGTAACTGTATATGTAACGGTATATTTATAATTTAAGTCAAAGTTAAAGGTATTTTGGTATTAGTGTATGATTATTTTGTTTTTTAAAAAAAAAAGATATTTTGAAATAAAATAGATAAAAATAGTAAAAAATACTTATAATATAGGAAGCATAAAATATACTACCATTTTTCATTTTCGTCTGTCCCAAAATAAGATTATTATTTTAATTGTACTACCTATCTAATATAATAAATACCTCTCAAACTTACACTATATTACATCAATGTCATTACTTTTATGTTACACAATACTAATAGAGGTATTTTCGTCTTTTTCACTACAATTTATTATAATACTAATATTCAAAAATATACGTAAAAAAAGTAAACGACAATCTTGCACCGAGACGGAGGAAGTATAATATTTTCGTATAAATATATTTTTTAAAAAGAAACGTGGTATTGTATACTTAAATTAAATTAAACTAAACTTAAAAAAATAAAATAAAAACACGCCCCAAATCTACCATTGAATTTAGATATAGAGATAGCTTTTGTGAAATTAATTAAATATAATAAAACGATCGATAATGAAACCGAACCTGATGTTGTTCCGGCGAGCTGCCGACGGTTTCCCGGCCGGAAATTTTGTCGGAAGTCTTCCGCCGCCACGGCCAACTCCGGCGATCCATAAAGAAGATTCCTTCAGTGCCAAAATGGCCAAAATCCCATCCCTCTTTATATAAATAAATTAAATTAAATAAAATAAAAACTATTCTTTACACAAAAGCCTCCAACTGCTAACTAACTGCTCACCAGAAAAACAAAATCCCAAAAAAAACCCATATATATGCAATATTTGGGAGCTGACCAAAATGAAAGAATCACACAAATAGGTGTTTTTTTTTAACTTTCAATCTGGTTGGGTGAGCAGTCAGTGTTTCTTACCAACCCAATCTCATACACAACAACCTCAAAACCCTGTAATGAGTAAATTAAGGAACATGAATCGATATGGAGATTATTTATATATATATATATATTAAACTTATTTTTAATTAGCTTAAAGAACAAATTTGGCAGACAGATACTGTGACGGGCACATTTCAGTTGTCCCACACAAAAATTGATTTGAGGAAAAGATTAGATACTATTTCGTCCCGCTTAGATGGTTTCATTTATTTTTTACGTCTTAATTTTAAATATTAATTAATATATCAAAATATAGTATAAATTAAAAAAAGAAAATTGTAAAAATACTTCGATTAGAGGCCATGACGCAAAAGGTAAATGGATCATTAGAGGCGGACGGAATGAGTAATAAATAAAGCTATGTGAAAAGAAACTTTATTCAGTATTGAGATATTTTAGATATTTAAATCACTACAAAAAAATAATATATTTGTAACGAAATTTCGTCTCTAAAGTTCAACGTAATTCCATTACTAATTCCGTCTCTAATGTCATTAGTAACGGAAAAAGTAGATTTAGAGACAAAAAAAAAATTTTGTTACAAAAATAATTTTTTCTCGCGCTGAGGATTTCATCCCCAAATTTCCATCAAATTCTACAGCTTCTTAACCTATCATCAAGATTAACGTCATTCCATAATTGTTTTCATGAGATCCTCGCTCCGTCGCTCTGATTCTTTGCAATCACCGTCCATATACTTGTCTAATTAGGATGATGAGTGCAATGCGGGGATATGCAAATGCAAGAGATGAGCACGTAGAATACCTTGCATCAAGGCAGAAGCTAAAAGAGTCGATCAGAAAGCAGATGAAGATGAAGAAGAAGAAGAAAAAATGAAGCAAATTCTTGCGACAAAACTAGTACATGTACATTGGCGCAAAGACAACTATGGTTCATTTTTTCGGTCCTTGGCAACTTGTTATTGCTCAAAGAGTGATTCAAGAAAGCAGATGGAATCCCGATTTGGAAATTACTAAATCTCATACTACTAATAAGAATATGAAGAAGACCTCTACTTGCTTCAGCCCCATCTAAAACCTCAATCCAACTTGATGAGAAAAATCCAAATGCTAAAATACACAAGGGACTATTCATTTCTATTTTCCGAACAAGATATCCAAATCCTCCTACAACTGTATCATCCCAACATGCTGCTGATGATGATATGTTCGTAAATCATCAGTACAAAGAAAGGAGTATCATGAAACGAGCAGCAGGCAACCAGACATGAAACCGAAGCCTAAGAGGAAGCTCGACGATGATGATGATGAAAATGCCATAAATATGATCAGAAAGATGTTTGGGTATAATCCTAACAAAATTCCAAGACTGATGATGATGATGACGTAGCGACATGGAGGCCGGTTTTGATGATATTATGAGGGAGGAAAAACGAAGTGCAGAAATAGCTCGAAAGGAATATGAAGAACAATTGCGATTGATCCAAGAGGAGGAAAGAATGTGAGATTGGCTAAAAAAAAATTGATGATTAATATAACGTGATTTTCTAAATTTTCATAATTTATTTTTTCACACACTACAAAAAAAATAGTATATTTGTAACGGAATTCCGTTTCTAAAGTTCACGTAGCTAACGTAATTCCGCCTCTAATTCCGTCTCTAATATCATTAGTAACGGAAAAAGTGAATTTAGGAACGAAAAAACCTCGTTACAAAATTGATAATTTCTTGTAATGGCATGTTATCGGAGTCTACTTTTCTGTTAGCAGTAAAAATAGTCTACTAACTCAAATTGGTTTCTGTTACACCACTTTAGTTTAAGGGAATATTGAGATATTTTAGATATTAATATCTCTTTTGCAAACTCAACTTGATTTTTGCTATACCACCTGAGTTCTGCTATAATCTGAGAGAATATTGAGATATTTTATATATTAATCTCTCTTTGCAAACTCAAGTTGGTTTTACTACAAGAAAAAATCATTTTTGTAACGAAACTTTTTTTCTCTAAATCTACTTTTTCCGTTACTAATGACATTAGAGACGGAATTAGTAATGCAATTACGTTAGCTACGTGAACTTTAGGGACGAAATTCCGTTACAAATATATTATTTTTTTATAGTGTTTATGCGAGACGTTGAAATATTTTAGATATTAATCTTTTTTTGCAAACTCAAATTGTTTCTATTATCCCACTTAAGTTTGAGGAAATATTGAGATATTTTAAATATTCAATTTTAAATTGAATAGATTTAGAGTTGGATATATATATATATAGACCCTTTATTTTTATAATAATTTTCTAAGTTTCCAGAACTTTTTTTGTTTTTTCTTTCTAAAGGAATTGAGAAACAGATAATTTAGATAAGGTTGCCGTAGACATGTTTGTCTTCAATTAAATTCCAAGAATTGGAAACCCCACAAATGGAAATTGTGCAGAAAAGAAAAGCACATGACCTGCATGTGATGATGAACCTGCAGTTAAATTGAATGTACATAACAAATGGTTGAACAATTCGGTGCATTCTTCCACAATTTTTATAAAAATATATTTTTCAAAAAATAAAAATAATATATTATATACTTATTATTTTTATATTATTTACACAATTCTCTGTATCTTTTTCAAACAATTTTACCCAATTCAGTGTTTGGTACAGAGAAATTGAAATGCCTCAATTTTTCTTGTTTGGTTGAGACAAAGAATTCAGAGTTGAGAAATAAATTATTTCATATTATCTAGTTTAATTGAAATTGAGAGAAATGAAATTAAAAAAGTGCTATGTATTTATATATTTATTTATTTTATTTTTATATTTAATTTTTACGATTTAATTTCTATTTATTTTTTATTTTTTATTTTTTTACTATTATTTATTTTTTATAATTTTTATATTACTCAAATCTCATAAAATATCATATCTAAATTATTATTAAATAAATTATCAAACTAAAAATATAACTAAAAAATACAATAATATTTTTCTTATCTAATTTATCATTTTTTAACCGATGGATGTATTTTTTTCAACTGGCAATATAACATGCATTGTATTTTTATATTTTTCAACAAAAAAAACAATTTTCATTTTTTATTACGATTCAACACCATATAAATAATCTCATCCGTTGATCTTATCCATCATCTAATGGCCACGATGAATTTAGGCTGGTGATTAAAGTTGTGTTTTTTTTAAGGTCCAGCACAATTTTACTATTCAGATTTTTTTCTCTCAAAAAAAAAAATTAAAAAATTAAACAATTACTTATTTTTATATTGCACTACATATTTGTTTATATTCAAAACGCCACATCAATATATATTTATAACACATCGCAAAACTATTTAAAATCAACTTTTTACTATTCACAAGTCCAAACCCTAAGGCTATCTCCAATCCACAAACTCTATTTATACAGATTTAACTCAAAAAATGTTGTTACAATATTTGTACGCCAACCCATAACTCTATTTTTATCCAGAAAGAATATTCTTCAAATATTTCAATTTATATATTATTTTAAACTATTTTTTATATCTACAATTAATATTATTATTAATAAAAAAATAAAAATAAAAAATAATACAAAAACTAATATACAAAAATTTAAAAAATAATTAAAAAAAAACACCATAACACCAAAATTAGCATTGCAACTCTGGGTTGGAAATGCCTTAAGTGATTAATATATGAAAATGATTTGATTACATGTTCCAAACACATGCCTAAGTCATTGATCTTGCCATTCTAAAAATACCTAAAACAATAAAATTAAAATATATATATATATATATATTTAGTTATACTAAAACAACTATGAAAGTTCCCACATGCCCTCAAGGGTGGCCGAGTTAGTGTAATGTTTAATCTATAGTTAACTATTCAAATCCTACCATCACTTTTTTGGCCAAGCCTATTACCCAGAACTTGTCTTTAATAACTTTCCGGCTTCCGTAGTTTATATGTTATTACACTCGACCCGACGACACCAAAAGTGTCGAAATTTCGAGAAAGTTCAAGAACTCAACCACCCTACACAAGGCAAGAAACCCTTTGAAGCCCACATGTTTGTTTAATCACAAGTTCTAAAACTACTGTTATTGCTAGTATACAAAAATTAACTTCATCGACAATTAACATATAGACAATGTCGACTAGAGGCACTCTAATTATCAACAGATCAAAGTGATAGATACCAACGGGCAAGCTTAACGTCTACAACCAAAACTGAAATCCACAAAACTATCACATTAAAGAAAAATTAAATCACAGAATCCCAACCACAACCAGTATACGGTGTCTGTTCCCAAGTTCAAGGATCTCTTTAATCCGGCAAATATTCCATTTACAGTCAGAAAGCAAAGCATTTTTTTTATTGTAACCCAGAATTCTCGTTCTCAGTTTCATAATTTTCGAGCTCTCTATGTGAGGAAGACAAGCACAAATAGGATTATAAACAGAACGAGTAAGAACACAACCATCAAGATTTGCCCTTTTAAGCTAGCCTTCTTCATAACCATGGCAACTTTTTTCTGCATCAGAACAATATCAAAGTGAGATTTGCATACAAACATTCAATACATGCAAGGGAAATTGCAATTCTTGATTCATAAGAAGTGTTTGTGTCTATACAAATCCACCTTCGGTGCAGAGAAATTCAGATTTTAAACTACAATTCAATGCCTGCTACAACAATAAATCAATTTTTGCATGCATAATTTTGTGTAACTCGTTAGCAGGTATTTTTCTATTTTCTGGTTAAATCTGAATAACTAAAATAAAACTAGTACTTTTTCAAAGACAAAGTGAGAGTGTCAATTTATTATTATTATTATTTACAGATTCATAGAAACCATCAAATGTCAATTTTATGAATGCCAATAATGTAATTAGCTGATCGCATGGGGCATTTGTAGGATGCAGTTTGAAAAAGAAAATGTTCACCTGAACAAAATCGAGTCGGTTTGTTGTGCTGTCCATTTCTGTGCCCAATTCATCTATAATCTTCTCCTGAAATTTTAGCACATTACAAATTTCATCATCTCTTCACAGAAAGAGAAAAGTATCAGAATGGAAGGCTAAGCATCATCTGAAGCTAAAAGAAACCTGCCAATATATGCTACCATTACTTCAAAACACAACATTTACCTGCGCAAGGAGCTCTTCATGAATCGTGAGCCCGACACCTCCAATTCTTTGCACACTAGCACTGAGTTCATCTAGCTCTTCATCTTGTTGCCTGAATGACACAACTCTTCTCAGTCGAGAGATTCAAAACATGTGGAGACAGCATATGCTTACTTGATGGCATAAACAAAAACATCTTTGTCAAGAATTAAGGCTACTACATAGCATGAGGGAGTATGACCATTAGTGTAGTGGTTAAAGTACAGACATACTGCCTCGTTCATCTGGTTGATCCATATTCCAAAATTTTTCATTTACACATCTACAAAATTAAATGAGTATGGATGGCTCTCATATAAAGATAATAACGGCGTTTTTCAAGCCCTTCTCTTTCACTACAACTTTTTAGTATAAAGTTTGAACTATCCTTGAGATAAAAGATGACCTAATCATATGGCTCTTCCATTGACAGCATCTGCGAAGCTATATGTCATAACCTCATAGCTCTACCAGTCTTTTAGTGTGGATATCACTTCCCTCTGTTTCTTTACCCCCAAGTATTTCATTTTGAGAATAAACTTACTGAATAATGTATTTCCTAGCATTACTCAAATAGAAGACCAGTAGCCTTGCAATCTCACACCCATCCTTGAGAACTTCACTCAGTTCCAGTGTGTTGACTCCAATGTAAACACTTCAATATCGCTACTGACATATATCAATTACCACCCCTCCAATATATATAGATAAAGAATATTAAAGTACACTTTTGAACCAAGCTATAACATGCATAAGACATCAGAATAAGGGAGTCTCAATGCATACAGAATAAAGAAAACCAGCAAGAATATTAAGGAAACGGATTAATATATGGTTTTTTTAAAAGAGTCACCTCATCAGAAGAAGTTGTCTATCTGATTCTGATGATATGAAATCATCATTGTGCTGGGTAGCATAGTGAGCTGATTTATCAGCTTGGTGGGGATCAGGGAGTCTCATAAGTTCCCTCCGCAATCCATTGATATTTGAGGTGCTTGTGCCATTCAACTCATTTCCACTAGCTACAGTTCTCTTCACATTTTGCACCTGTTGCAGAAAAGGCATAGGTGTGGAATTTAATGGACAAAAAGCACAGAGAAACTAATCAATATCAAAATTATGAAATCTGATTATAAATATAATAAGGCACCTGAGTACGAGCATTGCTGGTCCATCTTCTTCGTTTATCAAGCTCTGTTTCATTAATACCATACCAAGAAGGATCTCTAGCTGCAACTGCGATTGTCTTCTCTAATTCATCCACCTTTCTATGAGGAAACAAATTCAGTATCGATTTGAGAAATATGCTTATTTACCACAATGTAATAAGCAACAGAGCCACTATAACAAAGCCATTATCTAAGCAAAGAAAATCTTATAATTATCATCATTTGTGGGGGCATTTATCTTCATGAAATGCTCAAATAATTTAAACGAAAAGTTTGTGAGGTGTGTAATTTTTAAGAATTGTTCAAAACTAGATCTGTAAATGCATGGGAGATTTAGTGATACATGTATGTTCCTTAGGACTGCAAAAGAGTTTTGGGGTCGGAAAAAGAAAAACATAATCAGAAGTCACTGAAGAAGCCAAGATTTACAAAATCTAGACAAGAATTTTGGAAGTAGGGGATTCAATCAGAACACTCAAGTTAGAGAATTCGCAGCAAGAATTGGACCGTTAATCAATGCAATAAGGTGCAGAACAATGAGATTCTATGATTTTGAAAAGATATGTTTATGTACAGTTCTATCATAAAATAAAATCCATGCAGTTCATGATATTGATATTGATGCTGCAAGGGTACAGATAATGGGAAAAAAAAGTTTGTCCAGTCTGAAACAGAAGAACAATGATATTTTATCGTATTGGAATCGCTTGAAGAATGAAGCTCTACACTATCAAGCGAGTAAATCAATACTTCTAGCAAGTACTCGACATATTCACTTAACAAGTATTTCTGGGAATGATGTGTTATCTACTTGGTTGTATCAATGTTTCTCTATCCGCCACTATATCAATAAAATCTCATTTTTTTCTCCAAAATAAAATAAAATAACAAAGCATTTATGTGAATTATATGACAATTTGAGTACTTCTGACATATACATTCCAATGTAAAGGGGTTCCAAAATATTATAAGAGAATACTTTGGCGGAATTTAATTAGGTTGAAGTATCTGGCCTAGCTATGGTAATATTTCTGTAGGTGAATAGTTGTCACCGGTTATGTATGATATGATTATACGAATGTATGCCTTCTTTATCTCCCATTCTATATGATAGCTTATACACAATATTAATTTGAACATACATACAAGATATTGAGATGGATTGAAGCGTCTTTAATATTTAGTGTAAAGAGCAATCAGTTCACAAGAATTAATTTATGATCGCATCTAGATTCTAGTGTAATGTTCAGAAACATACAATTTTGTTGCCTTGGAAAGATAGATCTTGACTAAAGTACATCAAAATCGTACCTGCCATTCAATACTTTCACATCCAGAAAGAAGCTCTTTGGTCAGATGATGTTGCTCTCCCGTATCAGAAGGTATCCGTTCCCATTGGTGATATGTCGAAAGCAACTTATCAATCTAATAAAACAAGGGTAGATGGAACTATTTAACATCACATAACAAGAAGAAGCCAACAAAGATATGCATTTGGGGGATGATTTCAAACAGATTCCATTGATTCCAAGATCTAAAATGCTACAATGTTAAATACAGCTCAAACACATACGAAACAAAATCAAACCAATATAATTGAACCCATTCCACTATATGAAACAAATTGACAAAAACACAAGATACTGAAGAACCTCATGCTCAGAATCCAAAAAGTAATGGGTGAAATTTTGTTAGCACACACAAATTTTTGGTCTCCTTACAAGCAATCAGGGAACTGCTTTACAAGTTCAATTTCTTGGTCAAGTGATTAAAACCATATCTGAAAGATTTCACTAAAAAACATCCCAACTGATTTATCAAAATTACATGCATCAACACAAGATCTCATAGCTTAAAACCTTTCCCCATCCATTTTTTTTAAATAAGAATATCTACGCATTCTTCTAAAATCCAGAACACCTTCATAATTCTTTCAGTGCACAATTTTTCCAAAGCTTATGTTAAGCCTCCACAGCATCGATCTCAAATACAAATCGCCAAACTTTTAACTTCAAACAAGATCCACATCAATCTCAGCCAGCCACATGTAATACAAACATACATACACATACACAACAGAATATTAATCTCGAGTTTTATACCAAACCTATTTTTAAATACTACTCAAGCAGTAAAGCATCAAAAACCGCCATTGAAACACAAAACGACGAAAGGATCCCTAAAAACGGACATATTGGTAAACAAAATCATCATAATTAAAAATTATCGACCTCAAATTCGTAAAGGGGAAATTAAGCAGAAAAAGATGCATACCGAATCCTGAATCTCGTCCTTGACAATATAAAACGGGTCCTGAGCTGAAGACATCCCAACTGCGCAGTCCAAAATGCCGACACCTAGAAGGTCACGAGACTACAAGATCTATCATCCAAGACTAAGCGGATAATCAAATCTGATCCATCGCACTGGAACCCAAAACGATAATTCAGATTCAGAGACGGCTACGCGTTGCATCTGAAGATCATCGAGGAAATTGCCGAATATATAAGCCCGACCCATATTTGATCCGATTCGATAAATGGATCTGGGTCAATTGGGCATTATGTCTGAAATTGACCCATGCCCAGAAGTTGTCCTAAACCCATTGCTTTATGAAAAATAATAATAATACTCCTATGTCCCACGTACAGTGTCTGTTGCTACAGTATTTTATGAGCGGTATAATTAGCAGATAATAAAAAATGTATTAGTGAAAATAATTATTCTATAATATAAATAATTATATAAATAATTATAAATTAAAATTAAGATAACTAATTAGTTTATTAAAATTTAAAAAATAAAATAAAATTTAAAAGTTTAAAATGAGATTAAAGTGCATAATTGTTTTCCAAAAAAGGAAAGTGACATGGTACGTGAAACAACGTGGACACGGTATGTGGGACGGAGAGAGTAATAACTAAGGGTGTGCTTGTTTTGATGAGATTTGAAGGAATTAAGTCGGGATTTGAATTGGATTTTTGAATTCTTAGAAATTTTGTGTTTTTAAGATTTACACCATCTCCAATTTATAATTTCAAAACTATCACAAATTTCTTTATTTATACAATAAATTATCGCTAATTTTACCTTATATTTCTAGCTGATATACTAATTCATCTCTAATCATATTTTTGCAAAGTCAAATAATATTTTATTTAATATAATTTATTTTAAATATTTTTAAAAATTTATAAATATCATCAAATATTTTTTATTATTTTTATATATTTCATCTTTTTTTTTTTATTCAAACACAAAAATCCGTTTATTTTTTTAATATTGCATGTTTAAATTCTGTCTTGTTGTATTGTTATTATTCGATGGAAGATATTTTCTCTTGTTAAAATGTTCTATTGAATTAGATGTTTGGATCTAATACTTAATCTGATACAGATCAGTAATGTATTTGTTGGAATCTAAAATTCAACGGTTTTAAGTCTATTCGTGAATTCTGTTGTCGGATTGGAGGCGACTTCTTCGCTGTAGCCTATACCGCGTTCAGCCTAAAGTTTGGATAAATTTACTGAAAACTGGATAAAAGCATGCTGAAAATATAAATTAACAATAGAGAACATGAATTAGAACATATTTGATAAACTATTGAAAAAAAATTAAAGATACACTTTTGGATAAATTGGATGTTTTTGTGGTGTGTGTTTTCCTACATTTATCTTAAGATCAAAAAGTAATTATTTTTCTACTAAATAGGTGGTTTTTAGTTATTTCTTCCACTACCTACAATTTCTGACAACTCTCTCCATTCAATTCTCACTCATTCCACCACCTGACAACTCCCTCTACTCAATTTTCAACCGTTGGACTTACTCTGAGCCGCATCCATTGCACTTGAACCGGTCTACGACTCACTCCGAACCGTCTCTAGTATACCTTAGCCGGTCTACGGGGTTTTATCCCCACAACTTTGAATTGTACGGAGTCTTCATTTCTTTCTTATGTCGGTCTATCTCCAGGAAATCTTTTGAACAAAACTTAGAAGCACGTGGATCTACCATTGTCTTTTGGTATGGAGTTGTTATCCTAGAGTCAAAGGAGGTTACTATTTTTGGCTCCGCGGAGGCAACAATCTTCAACTTTATGAAAGCATTGTTTCGGAGTGGAAGCGACATTGTCCAAAGATTTGTTGTCCCAAAGTTAATGGACCAATCTTTTGCTTTGTGAAGGCATCACAGTCCAATAGAGATTGTTGCTTTCGACTCCGTAGAGACAACAATTTAGTTCCGAGGCCTGAAAATTGTTGTTAGCGGCTCCGTAGCCTGAAAACTCTGGCTATTATAAGAAATTTCTACTGTTCCAATAATGTTTGGTTTGTGTTTGTTAGATTAAAGAGAGAGGCAGAGTTAATTTATTTTTTATGCTATAATTGTTTATAAAATGAAATATCTATTTTTTGGATAAGAAAGGAGACAAAACTTTGGTTTAACAATATACATTGCACAACACACTCAACTTGCATATACTTTATATAAGAAGAGGCAAAACTCCCTGGTCTCTCAAGTTATGCAACTTTCACAGTTACAAAGAGTTTCTCACAATACATATTTTATTTACAACAAATATTTAATCATATCATTCTAATTTCTAACATATTCTTTCATCCTTACTTAATTAGGTCAAGAGTAGAATATATATATATATATATATATCAAAGAATCGATTCCTAGTATATTCTAACCCTGCCCTGTTTTCCTTCTAGAATCTTCTAGATAATCATAACAGGAACAGCCCTTCCAAATTAGGCTGCCCTGCCCCGCCCCGCCCCATTTCTTTTCTTCTTCCTCTGTTCTTCTAAGTTACTCAAAAGGGCTTCTGCATGTACCCAAAGGCGGCGTCGGGGTGGAAGAAGAGCCCCGACAACTGGTCTCCGGCGCCGGAATTGTCGTAGTAATGGATCATGTTGGAGACGAAGGGATCATTGTGATCGAACCCATCCAAATAACTAACACTACTATTACTCATTAACTGAAAATCGTTTTGCACCAGCAGGTCGCTCCATTTCGGCTCGCTCTCCACCTCCGGCGACAGCACGTGCTCGGACATCATGCTCGACGACTCCGGCGATGTACTACTGGTCTTGTTCTTGCAGCCACCCACATTGGGCTTCTCCTCTTGGATATATTCCGACATTAATTCGACCTCCCCCTTCTTGATCGGACCTTGATCATCGCCGCCGGCGACGTGCCTCTCCAGGGTCCCTTTCTTGTTGTATATCCGGCATAAAACCCAATCATCAAGCTGCAAGCAAAAAAATCATTAATTCAATCGATTGAGACAATCTTTAAGGACACACGAAATGGCAGATAGGATGTTAAAAGTTCATTACCCTTAGATTATTGTTGTTGTTCTTCTTCTTGTTGTTGTCGGCGGATCGATCGACATTGGCGAGGCGGTACTCGTGCATGATCCAATTGGTCTTGACGCCTCTGGGGGCTTTGCCGGCGTAGAAAACCAGGGCCTTTTTGATCCCCAGAGTCTTCGGCTTCCCGACCGGCTTGTCGGCGCCGGTCGCCTTCCAGTACCCGGTCCCCGCCGCCCGGTTCGGCCGCGAACCGTTCGGGTACTTCCGGTCCCGCGGTGAGAAGAAGTACCACTCCTTCTCGCCGTACAGAGACATTCCTGCCATTGATCAATCCATCAATCAATACAGATCAATTTTCAATCAATTAATTATGCAATTAATCTATTAATTAGTATGTGATATGCATACCGGGAAGCTGCCATGGATCGAAGTTGTAGAGGTTGATTTCGGCGATAATGGGGACGGAAATCCTCTGTCCGGCGCACTTCCGGCAAAGGTAATGCTGGACGAGCTCGTCGTCGGTGGGATGGAATCGGAATCCCGCCGGCAAGTTCAACTCCCCACTCTTCTTCATAATCAATTAATTAATTGATTCGCTGATCTCTTCTTCTTCTTCTTCGGATTATGATTTCGATTCTCAATTCTCCTCTGCTCTGCTCTGCTAAACCCTAGCTTTCTTATTTGTTGTTCCTTCTTCTCTAAAACGAAGAACGTGAGAGCGGTGGGGATGTATATATAGAGCGGGCGATCGGCAAATTGACTCAATTTTCTACGCAATAATATGATGAATGTATTTATTATTTTTATTTTTAGAAACGTGGGACATTGAATCTGGGCTGGTGTTGATTTTTATTTTTATATTTTTTGTAATTTTATAATTAATTTTGAAAATGTTGTTTTCTGGTGGCGTTGATTTTGGGGATTTAAGGTAAGGGGTGGGTTTGTCGCGTAGCGGTGGGTGGGTGGGTTGGGGCTGCGTGACTCTTGCCTCCCTCATCTCCTCGAACGCCATTTTCTATCAACTTGTCTTTATTATTTTATTTTATTTCATTATTTATCACCACTATGATTTATTTTTTTTAAAAAAATAATATTAATCTGAATATAGTATACAATATATAGCTTTTGTTTACGTATATCTTAAAGATATTTCATATATAATGTTTTTTTAAGTAATACAGCATTACAAATATACATAAAATATAAAAGATAAAAATATTAAGATATATTTTTTTCATTTCTTAATAAACTATTTTTTCTTTTTTATTTTGGTCGATTTTATAACAGAATATACATTTGGTTTTAGTAATTTATGTTGTTAATATCTTTTCAATTAATAATATATTATACAAATATAATTATATTTATATTGTAAAATACTAACAAGACTAATTTAGTTTTTGTTACCTTTATTTCTATTGCATTCTAATATAATACTAATATTTTTAAAAAATTTTGCAAAAAGCTAACGAATAGATAGATAAATATGGGATAGATGGAGTATTAAATACTTCGTTGGTCCGGCTGCAAAGTTGTCATTTGATTTTTAAGTCATTTTACTTGGCATTGAAAATATCTTTATATTTAAATAATTTATTCTACAAATGTCATTGTATTTATATTATAAGAGATTAATAAATATATTTTATCTTTTATTTTTTTATACTATGTATTAATATAATAATTAATATTTAAATATCAATATACAAAAATCAATGGCAATCTGAAGATATTTTTACTCATTAATGAAATATTACTGTTATTCTTTAATTTATTATAAAATTTTAAATAAATTCTTTCGTCGGGATGATGACGTATAAATTACAAGGAGAAAATAGCAAGTACAACTATTATATTGGTGTGGGACCCATTATATTTTGATAATTACTACTTTCGTTGTTCAAATGTATACTCATTTTTTTTTAAGTTGTCATTGAAATATATTCTCGCTTTTTTTTTAAGTAAAAAATTATTATATTTTTGTATTTTTTTTACTATAAAAGAAAAAAAATAATTATTATTATTTATTTTTATTAAAATTCGTATCCAATCAAATAAACACACAATTGTATTAAAAACCGAGGGAATATTATTTATATTATTTGCTTTACAGTGCGGCCGAAGCTGTGAAGGTAATGTGTTGTACTTTAATATTATTTTATTTTACATTGAATTACAATATAATTATTTAGTAAATGATACTTTTATTTAACGGTTGTTATTAGAGAGGCTAAAGAAATTATATAAAATGTTTTCAATAATTTTTATATGTTAGAATTGTTAAATTAAACAGTATATTATGTCGAATAATGTTAATGTTTTATTGAATAATTTTTATTTTTTTTTATTTTTTAGTTCAACATTTTTAGATTAGATTATTTTTAAAAAATACACATTTGTAGAAAAATTAATAATAAATTGAATAATAAATAAATAAAAATATAAATAATTAAACAAACACTTGTTATAGATGTTGCCCATACACTTGTTAACTCTGTGTTTTTAAATCGATATGTTTTTTTATAGGAATTTTATGTATGATAAATTGTATTGTAATATTAAAAATATATTTTCTATTGAATTCTTAATTTTTTTAATGAATAAAATATTGTATTATATATATATATTGTATTTTTAGATAATTGTGTCAGCAAATGACCAAAAACACTTAGGGTGTGTTTGTTTGAGGGATTTGTGAAGATTTGTACTATTTATTCTATTTTTTTTTCTCTAAAACATCAAGTCAAACATCTATTTTTTATTTTTTATATTATACTAAAAATCAATTTTACATTCAAAACATCACACCAATACCTATTTATATCACATCATACAACTATTCAAATTCAAAATTTTTACTATTCAAATCCCAACTCAAAATCCAAACCCCCAAACAAACACACCCTTAACAAACATATTAATTTTTTTTGTTTTTCTTCTCATTTTTTACTATTTTATTTTTTATTTTTAAAATATCAAATTCAATTTTTATTTAATACTACAAAATACAATTATATGTAACAACCATCTTTACCTCAAAAATACGAAAGCAAAAATAAAAGTAAAAAAAGATATGTCCTAACTTACATACATAAATACCATATATATATTGAAATATTATATAATGTATCTTTTGTCAACTAAATCTGTATTTATTTTTATCTAATTTATCCATTAAATTTATCATATTATTAATTTTTGCGAAATAACAATAGTATTTAATTATTTTTTATTTCACATTTATTTACACTGAATATTATTATATTTTATTATATTATCTTTTCATTTATTTTAATTTATAATTAAAATTTTAAAAATACATTCAACTATATTTTAATAAAATAAATTTGTTTTTTTAATATCTGTGTCGAATCCAAATAAAGTAATATTAAGGGTGTAGAGATTATATAATTAATAAAGTATTTTTTTCTTCTAATTTGAAATTTCCATCCTCCTTTTAATATATAATTAATAATACAATTTTTATGCATATGACCTTAATATTTATCATTAAGTAAAATCAAATATGGGTCATATTTAAACTCGACTCAATTTTGATATATTACTATTATTATTAAGCAAGGCAAAATTAATCTATGTTCAATTTAAATAAATCAATAATATGAGAACTTTGAAGAAATAAATTACTCGGTATGTTATTTAACTGTGTTCAAATACTTGGGCATGAGTTTTAATAAAAATAAATATTATTATTATTTTTTCGGTTAATTCTCTTAAAATTCCTATTTCACAAATTGTTTTCGTCAGTCCCTATTCATATATTTGTTCCTTGTAATTCCTTACTTATTACTTGCAACTCTCTATTTATAATTTTACACATTTTCATTTATAAACTTCCAATTTTGCCCTCAAAATAATATTTTATTTATAATTCTATATACTTAATGTAACTCAAAACCCTTAATTTATATAAACAATTATCAATTTTATTTTATTTTTTTCGTAAAATAACGATGAACAATGTTCGAAGTACATGTTCATTAACTTATTTATACTTTATTCAATAAAAAATTAATATTCTTTATAAATATTTTGTATTAAAATTTAATAAGTGTGAACATTTAAATATATATATAATTTATTTGTACGTGTATATATATATATGAAATTAATTTACTTATTATTTAACAACATTTGCAAAATTGAGTATCACATATATTAATATTTTAATAAATATTTTGTATTATTGTTTAAGAGTTGCAAATATATATATTTTTATAATTATTTACTTTTTATATTGTTGTCTATCTACTTATTTGTTTCTTTTTTAAGGTAAAAAAGTGAAATTATACGGTAGAAATTAAGGTTTATACGTGAAGATAACAAAAAAATAGCAGAGATATTGTAGGAATTTTAAGTAAATAAAGGATAAAAAGGAATAAATTAATAAGAATACGGAGTAAATGAGAAGAATTTAGTGTATAGGGAATGATAATTAAATTTAAAATTAGAGAGTTTAATAAAAGTTACCTTTATTTTTTATAATAAAAAACACAAAAAAAGTAACGTATTTTTTGCTATAAAGAAAAATTATAATATTATTTTATAACAATTGTTTTTTTTTTAAAAAAAATTAAATTTGACAAACGGATAAAATATTATAGCAGTAGCTAGTTACTATAATATAAACTAATTAACAAGTGATGAATATATATATATATATATATACATTTGTGTGTATTGTAAAACATGATGTTGAAAGGCAAGATAAATATTTTTATTCCAATTGAGCTAATGATGAGTTGTTTTTAGCGACTTTTGAGTTGTTTGCTAGTAATACAATTTTAAAAAGTAAATTATATATTTATTTTTTTTGGATAAAGTGGGAACCCGCAGTCGCTACCTGAAAGTCTTCCGGCCGAACCTAATACTTTGCAAACCAGGCCCGACGGGAAAGTCACACTAGGCGAACCATATGTGACAAGTGACATGAGGCGTCGGAGGTGTGAACCCATAACCTCACGGTCCCACGTCCAACCCCTACACTACCAAGCCATCCCTTACGGGACAAGTAAATTATATATTTGATTACATAATTTGTAGATATTATTTTAAGCATGTATATCATAAATATAAAATTATTATTTTCTTTAATTATGACAATCTTATATATTCTTGCCGCACTATGTAAAATTTTTTTAAAAAATAATTATACATTATATTTTAAATTTAATAATTTATAATTTTTTTTATTTTAATTAAATTAGTTAGTTATTTTAATTTTAATATATGATAATTATTTTTACTAAAATCTAAAATTACTAAAGAAACATATATATTATATGGAAAAAATTTAAATCAATTTAGAATGCAATTAAAATCGAAAATTTTAAAATAATAAAAAACTCTTTAAAATCTTAAGGAGAAAAGGCTGAAGAATGCTCAGATTGACTATTAGTTTTAATTCTTTAGTTTAATATTTTATTAAATCTTGAGAATGGTATAAACTAAATAATAGTAGTATTAGTTTTTATTTAATAAAAAAAAAACAAAACCTTCATATTATTTTAAAATTTAATTAAAAAGTTTATAAAAATAATTTTAAAAGTATTAAAATTATATAATTTTTGTCTCACATAAAATATTCATTCTTTCAATTCAACATGTTTCTTATAATTTATCTCTTTCTGTGTTTATAATTATATAATTTAATCATATTTTAAAATTAATAATTTATAATTTTTTTAATATTAATTAAATTA